CTTGCCACTGTGCATTGCAACATGTCCTCCCTCAGAGCTGCCATCTCACGCATCGCAGTAGAAAATGTTCCACGGTTTCTCTCGCTCGGCCGCAAGGACAAAGGTCTGACTCGACCGCTCCGATTCGGCTTAGAAGCCGTTCAGCCTCGCCATTCCAGTTCGGAGTTGTGCCAAGATACAGGCCTCTTTTCGTTTCAACTTGTCGTAGAGATCGCGAGTGTGCTTGCCAGGAAGTGCTACGTCCAGAGCCGTTGAGAATTTGCCTACGCCTTCCGGGAGAACTCTCCCCTGTCGTTGTTTGGCCAATGCCAGCCTGATTGCGGTGGACTTGGCTTGGGGCCTTTGGAGGTTGGGTATCTGTCCTTGTCTCGTTGTCCTTTGTGCTGCCGCCTTGGCCTCTGAGCCCAACGCAAAGTTGGCTTCCGCTGGGATTCACAGGAAGTCGACTGAGTTCCCTCTTTCTTGGTGCAGTCTAGCCAACTCGTAGATTTGTCGTATAGTGCCTTGGCCGGACTGTTGTCGCGGTTGCCTAATTGCTGCTAGCGCTGACTGGTTTCTGGTAACGATGGTGATGTGCCTATGGCAGGCGTTGGCCAGAGTCTTCTCCAAGGGCATTGCGATGGCTGCTAGTTCTGCTGTGTATGGGTTCTGCTCCTCCCTGGTGCCAAGGGTTATAGCGAATCTTGTCACGATCTCGTTGGTCCTGTTGAAGAGAGTGTCTCGTGCGATGCCACCAACACCGACAATGCCTTTCTTCACGGATAAACTGGTTGCAATCACGATGCCCATGGCTCCGTTGGCCATCTCGGTCGCCTTCTCTCGGTCAACCTCGATCGTCGGCTGTAGGCGAGGTGCCCAGGGAGCGACGGCGTATTCTTGGATTGTTTCCATTTGGTCGACTTTTACACCTTCCGCGATACGGGCGATCTTTTGAAGCGGGGAGACGAATCGCACTGTTGCCCGGATCTTCCTGAGCGCGAGGGGATGAGTCCCAGGCAGAGTGTGGATGTTGATCCATAACCTGGCTGCCGCCCGGGTATGTCGTTCTTGTATGGAGAGAATGCTCGCTTCGGCTTCTGCTACAGCCGTAGCCACGGTCCGAAAGGCTCCTGTGATTGCTAGGGCGCCAATCTTCTGAGCCCTGTTCAGCCAGCTTAGCGCCTTTCCCCTACACGCATGCATCCAGACGCTGACCGCGTAGTCCATGACGGGAGCCACTGTCGCTACAAACAATTGTCTTGCTGTTCGCGGGGAGAGCATCTTCAGCCTCCTCAGGGCTAGAACGGCTGTGAGACTCTTGGTTGCCGTCTTGGCAATGTGCTTCTTATAACGGAGTTCGCAGTCCATTGTTACCCCCAGGATCTTTGCGCTCTTCTTTGGTTTGATCGTGTCCCCTCTGACTATGAACGGCGTTCCGGAGGATCGCTCCTTGTTCCTTGTGAAGTGTACGATGGCCGTCTTTTCGCTCTCGAACTGGGCGCCGCTTCGTCTTTCCCAATCCAAAGCCCCGTCTATGATAGCTTGGATGCCTGAGCGGTTCGCCTCCGCTGTTGGGCCTACAACCCAAGCCGTGTAGTCGTCAACAAAAGCGATTGAGCCTCCGTTTGCGTTGATTTTGTGCTGCACCAGGTCTGCGTTGAAAAAGAGGAAGAGTATCGGGGATAGCGGTGATCCTTGTGGCAAACCCGCTTGGGGCAGCTCTTGCCGTTCCGACGTGAACCCGTTTACCAAAATGGTCGCCGTGCGCTTAGAGCAAAAGGCATCAATCCACCTAACCAGGGATTCTGGTACACCTCTTGCCCTGAGCCTCTGCAGTAGCCTGTCCTTGAAGACCCCATTGTATGCACCCTTCACATCGAAGCTGACCAGACTGAGCACTTTCCTAGCCCTCCATGCTTTGTAGATTTGTTCTTGCAGCAGTAGGAGAGCCTGCTCAGTGGACCGTCTCTTCCTGGCTCCAAAGTGGTTCGCAGGTAGCAAGCCAAATGTCTCTGCCGCGTAGGACAGGCGTTCCGCAATGACTGCCTCCAGTATCTTGCCAAGCGTGGAGAGTAGCGAAATAGGTCTCCAGGCTTCGGCCAGTGTGTAGTCGCTCTTCTCGGGCTTCTTCAGTGGAATTATCTTGGCATTCCTCCACTGATTAGGGATGTCGCCGTCTCGAAGTGAGGTCTGGAATAGGAGGAGCACTCTAACTGGCAGCGGTGGGAAGAAGGTGGCCAGTAACACTTGGGCTTGCTCTGCCTTGCCCTCTGTGATAGAACCATCAGCTCGGACAAGCGGCGGTATTCTGTCGCCCATTGTGCCACTGCCGGTTTGCAGGTATTTCGCTGCTTGCCAGATGTTCGCATCGTCGGCAAGGAAGTCGTTCCAGTGTGAGCTTTTCTGTCTGCGGATGTCTTGGCAGGCGAGGTGCTGGCGCCATCTGGACGAGGAGCATGCTGTGGGGACCACCAAACTGGGGAGCAAAGTCAGTGGAGGGGAATGCTCCAGGGTAGACAGAAATGGTTACACACCTCGGGACCTTCATGTCAAACTCATAGGACGCCCTGTTAGCGATGATGTAGTCCCATAAACGTACGTCCGAGTGGGATCCAAGTCCTGCCAGCCCTGAATCTCCATCTTGCCCCGGTCTTCTCTCAGCGCGCCAACATAAACACCAATATCCTTACCAAGCCATTCCGTCGTCCCCGAGTTAATTCGAGCGCCTCATAATCAACTTCAAGGAATAGCCGCTGCTGCGGATCCAGCAACTCAACCTCCTGCTTGGTAAAGGACCAGCAATTGGGGTCAATGTTGGCCAGATTCAGCTCCTGGAGGAAGTGAGCGTGCTTTTGACACGGCCCGGGCCGAACCACGTGTCGATGTTGTAGCGGTCCTTCGGCACGCGGCATCGTCCGTCCTGTCCGTTGACCAGGAGGTCCCAGTAGGTCTCGGCGTTATGAATTCGGCCGGGAAGACGCATGCTCATGTCGATGATGGCGATAGGCTTGTAGGAGCCTTGTCGGTGACCATTGATCCCATTCCCGTTCACCCGGGAGGTGCCGTTGCTGTTGCCGTTTACGTGGCGGTTCAGGTGGCCATTGGTCTGGCCGTTGGTATGGGTGGACGTCTCCACGACCGCCATCGCATTCGCCAGCCGCACCCCGGCCTCGTGCGTGGCTTTTACCCCGCCAGCGCGCCCTACATCTCAAACGACTGCGCGAGCATGCCGTCCACGACGCTCATCCACAGCACATTACCACTCTTGCGCGCCGGCGCCGAGCCAGCCTTGGCGCTCTTGATCGCTTGCTCGCCCACCATATACTCAAACAACCTAGCCCGCATAATGTTGAGCGCCATCGACAGGTACTGCGTCTTGCTCGTCTGCTGGGCGCCGCTCAATGACTGCTGGATATGCCGCTTGCTCTAGTTGATTGAAAGCGGCGGGTTCATCCGGATGGCAGATAACTTGTCTGTGACTTGTTACTGAGTATCTCTCGGGATGTGCTTGTTGAAAGGAACACCAAGATTCGCTGCTTTTGGCTTGGTCGGGAAAGCGGCATGTGTGGTTCCGTGAAGGATTATGGACAGGTGAATAAGTAGGTGCACCACCTCCCTACCACATCGCTGTCCGCGTCGGCCGGTCTAGACAGTCTATTGCGTCAGGGAACCGACTATGTACCGCAAAAAGCTATCATTGAGCGAATGGTCAGATAAATGGTCGAGGACGGTAGTACGTACTGTACCACTAAAGCAATCCTGGGCTTGACTACAAGAGGCTGTACCTCGTGGCCAGTTTATGCTCGAAAGGGGGTACACTTACAGGGTATCAGCATCGGTTCTTTAGTCGGTGTCAGCAGAGCTCGAAGGGAGCCGGAGCCACAAGTGAGATCATTTGGCTCACCCATGTGCTGCAAGCCATCGGGACGAGCCAGGCAACCGCCACCACAAGGACTCAATTGCCTTATCTGCGGGTTTCTCCTGACACCATCACAACTGGTTGTCCTACGCAGCCCTTCATCCGAGTTGCTGGCTAACGAGTCAGAACCGGTTGTGGATGCGCCCGAAGAGCTGGCGGTCGAGGTTGCAGCGGCGCCGTTGATAGCTTCGTAGGATGGCACAGCGGAGCTGGACTCGAAGCCGGTTTGACCAAGGTATCCCGCACCGAAGTCCGAGGAGCCCAGACCGCAACCCCATGAATCAAGGATGGGAAGGGCGGGATCCTAACCAACATGAGTTATATAATCTGAGAAATGGAGTGAGGTAGCTTGCATGTGTATGTCGGTTCAGGTCCGAGACCGGGTGCTCCTTGCTTGGTGTGCCCGTTGGATCAATTGTCGGGAGAGCGGCACCCGCTTGCATGTCAAACAAAGTGTGGTCTTAAATCCAGATTGGCGGAAGCTACCTAGAGGGGTCTCTGGATTGAAAGACCCGGACATGCAATCCCTCTCGTGTGATCACCATGAAGTTGTACCTGAACTCGCAAAATCCTCCATCAGCGACTGCTATGATTTCAGCCGAGCTGTGCCTGAGTTTTCTGGGCTTACCGATTGGCGATGTCAAGTGTTGACCTGTCAGGAATGTAACGTACTGCTATCTGCTTCCAAGCCCGGTCATGGGCGTAAACGGCATCCACCAGGCGTTGGTCCTGCCCAAAGGAGCTGTCAACGCGTGCTCAGCTGTGAGTAATGCTGGATGCATAGAAACTCACCTCCTGTTGCATCCAAGGGTCGCGCTTGAGAACGGGATCAAGTGAGTTTGCCCAATGCTTCGCACACTCTGGATTGTTGGGTTAACGGTAAATGGAATTTATCAGAGAGTAGCAGAGACACCAAGTACGGTCTGGTGAGCGAGTCCCAACAGCCTCAGAGACCGACGTCAACTACTCGTACCACGTTAGCGGAAGGATCCCGGATTACGGCATGTCTTCCTGGTGCCTCATCGTTGCATGTGGAGGCCGGACTGAGGGCAGGGCGGCTTCGGCAACGTCCCGGGTGTTGCCATTGCAATGGCTCCAGAGTCTTACTCTCACTTGATGCCTCATCACCGAAGATGTTCCCGGAGACCCTAGTGCTGACATTGATCTCAGCACTTCCAGACTGTCACTGCAAGCTTCGATATAACCGACCCTTACGGGATGTGACAGACATGAGCACGCAATTTTCAAAGAGTCTTGTCCCCTTGCGTGTCCAGGTTCCAGCTGGGTGCGCCTCGGACTATGGTTACAAATGAGCGAGTGCGCTTGCTTTAATGCGCCGCACGTATATTGGGTTGTTGGTGATGATAGTCCGCAGTGCTGCGGCAAATGCTTGTATTGGGTCAGCGGGAGTGCCTGGAAAGGGCCATTGGACGATGCATACAGCTCTCCCGTAACCCCTATGGCCTCCTCTTCCAGGCCCTGGACGCCTCATTGCTCAGCCGGGCGAGCAGGATGGACCGGGCAAACACTTGCCATGCCTAGCTACATACTGTGGTCGCGTGCATAAAAAAAACCCCCATGTCAGGTACCTGTGGGGCACAACAGGCTGACGCGTTTTGGCCAATCAGCTGGACACACCCAAACTTTCCACTTTACACAGTACTGTGGAACAGCGTCTTCCAAAGCATCTCTTATTTTCGATAACTCACAACAGCACGATGGCACGGCCACAGGGATCCAGCGGTACGAAACAGCTTACTACCGAGGAACGCCAGCGAGTTCGGGTTTTATATTTCGATGCCAGCAAAAGCCAAGCTGAGATCCAGAGTATCACTGGCTATACTAAAGCCCAGATCCGGACCGCTATTCGCGCTCGCGACGCCACTGCTAGGCGGAGTACTGGCCGGCCACGGACGTTAACACCAGAGCAAGAAAACGAGCTTGTTCAGTATGTCGTTTCCAGTAAAAAAGCTCGTCGGATGGGCTTCCTTGAGCTCACAACAATCATCTTCGCTGGGGTCTTTGGCGTATGGGTGATCAATGCTCTTCATCGACTGAGCTTCCGCCGACGAGTTGCTCGTAAGAAGCCACCGATAACCGAACGAACCCGGAAACTCCGAGAGACCTGGGCCAAAGAGCATGACCATTGGACCCCTGAGCGGTGGGCAAAGATCCTTTGGACCGACGAGACCTGGGTTACTGGTGGCCCGCATAGGAAGCAGTATGTAACCCGGCGTCAAGGCGAGGAGTGGGATCCTACGTGCATTGTGGAAAAGTATCAACGCAAGGGTGGCTGGATGTTCTGGGGTTGCTTCTCTGGCTTAGGCAAAGGCCCTGGGATTTTCTGGGAAAAGGATTGGGGCAAGATCAACGCCGAAACCTACCGCGCACATACTGTACCTGTGATTCACGGCTGGGTACAGTTGTGCAAGGAACAGCTTGGTGAGGACCTGATCCTGATGCAAGATGGCGCTCCAGGGCATGCAGCCGCAGAGACGAAGGAAGATCTCAGAGAGCGAGGCATTGTTGTGATGGAATGGCCACCCTTTTCACCGGACTTGAACCCTATTGAGTCTTGTTGGAATTGGATGAAGGACTGGATCGAAGACCGGTATGGCCTTGAAGAAAAGCCCTCGTACGAGAAGCTACGTCAGTATGTCAAGGAGGCTTGGGAGGCACTACCGGACGACTACTTGAGGGAACTGTTGGCCTCGATGCCAGATCGGTGCAAGCGGTGATTGCAGCCAACGGTATGCATACAAAATATTAATTAGTTGTTTACTGTATTTACTGTGGAAGAGTGTGGATACCTTACTCTCGGTTAGCGTGGGTACACCGCATGGAGATTTTCATTACCCATCATACCACAGTATGCGCGGTGTCGTGGGTACGGAAAGCTATTGGCCGTGTGTCAAAGTGTCAACTCAATGAACCATGGTCTCAGATTCAGCTTTCTGGAACATTTCGGCAGGCGCCGGTCACAAGCGACAAGGACGGGTCAACAGGACCGGGTGCTGGCAAATCGCGAACCACTAGCACTGTGACAGCACTGTGGCAGCAGCAGACAGGAAGGCCACTGGCAGCAGCAGCAAACACGGCAGCCGTGCTGGAGGCTGCCGAACTGCGCGTGATTTCGCAGCCTTGCTGTTGAAGATGAAAGGCTTACTGTTGACGCTTTCTAGGAAACGTGGAATTTCGAATCCAGCTCTGGTTTCCCGCGATGATATTTTATCCTCGCCGGTAATGCAGATATCTCATTTCTCGAGCATACTTAGATACTACAGTAGTTTGATCTGGACGGACAGGAAGTGAGGTACCTAAGTATTTCATACTGCGTGATTGATGTTTCAATTGACAAATTGATAACACACAAGAGACGAAATCGCAGGTGAGACAGTCGCCCTTGGCTACTGTGAGCCCCTCCCCTCATGCAAAGGCTCAATTCGAATGCAGAGGAAGGTCCCCCTGGCAGCGTGACGTGTACCCCCACCGCTCGCTGCTGCAGAAATACCGCGTACACAACAATATTTTTTGTTCCTGTGTCTGCCAAAATCGCTCGGTGTTGCGCCACAAACCCTCAAACTAAGCCAGCACGCAGTGCCACGTGCCATACAATCAGCATGTCAGACGACATAATACCAGATTTTCCGTTCAAGCCCACGCCTCCGGCACCGCGGTCGGCCTTCAACATCAATCATGATTGCGGTGTCAAGCTCACAGCTGTACGGATTAGGTCAAAACAGGATCCGCTTTCTCTGCATCGCTTTTTGCTGCGCTTCCGCAGACTACCCACCGACCTTTGCTGCAGTCACCGGCGATCCACAACTCGCCCCTTCCCGCCAACGGTCCCGGCAATGTTAGTTTTTCTAATACACTCTTGTTCACGCTTCTCATTGGCGTGCCGACGTTCTGTCATGGAAAGTCGGTGGGCTTCTGAAGACAACAGTCTTCTTCATCCTCACCCTGCTGCAGATCCTGATTGACTTCTGGACCATTGCGTCATCCAGCACCATTTGGCTCAAGTTCTGGTCCGAGGATGTGGCCTCTCCCGATCCTTCACACTCCAACGCTTTCTATAACGGCCTGTACGCCCTGTTCCAGATAGGGACCCTCTTCTGTTTGTTTGTGGTAGCCAAGGTGTGCTTGACTTCCATGATTACGGTGTCAGGAGCAAGACTACACAAGGAGGCGCTGAGGACCGTCATCGGTGCCCCGCTGAGATTCTTCACGAGTACCGACATTGGCATTGTGGTCAATCTTTTCTCGCAGGACATGACCCTCATCGACGGTCAACTTCCGCAGGCCCTGATTAATCTGGTGCTCACGCTCGGCATGGCGGTTGTGATCGGACGTCATCACCATACATTGCCATAACATATCCGGTCTTGGTTACGGTTCTCTACATCCTCCAGAAGTTCTATCTCCGAACATCGCGCCAAATAAGGCTATTGGATCTGGAGGCGAAGAGCCCTCTCTAGTGAGTCCCTCTTCCTGTTCCCCATCCCCGTCCCCGTCCCCGTCCTTTTCATCTACTTCTTCCTCCTCCTCCACGCTCACCTCCCTGTCATCATCCCCATGCCCGTCCTCGCCGACATCCTTTTCGTCTTCTTTTTCCTCCTCTTCCACCATAGTCTCCGTACTGCACCACACTGACCTCTCAGCTCTCACTTTATAGACACCATCAGAGACGTCGCCACATTTCGCGCCTTTGGCTGGGTTCAGGACAGCATCTCCCGTAACCACATGCTGATGGATACGTCCCAGAGACCGGCGTACCTGCTGGCCATGATTCAGCGGTGGCTCGCCCTCACGCTCCAGCTCGTCGTAGCTGTCATCGCCCATGGCGTCGTGACACCCTTGCAACCCAGCTGCGCACCAACACAGCCTTCAACCGGTGCCAGTTTGGTGGTACTCATGACGTTTGGCGAGAACTTGACGATGATCATCAGGTTCTACACCCTGCTCGAGACGTCCATCGGCGCGATCAGCCGGCTGAAATCGTTCAGCGAGAATGTCAAACAAGAAAGCAGTGAGGGCGAGGACATCGTACCGCCCAAGGAGCGGCCAGCGGACGGGAAGATTGACATCAGCGGCGTGTCTGCCGCATACGAAGACAATGGAGAGGCGCCTCATGAACACCTCGCCCTGGATAACCTTCGTCTCAGCATCGCCCCAGGTGAAAGAGTTGCCATCTGCGGTCGTAGCGGCAGGTTAGTCCTCGGCTCCTCTACCCTTACCCGCAAACCATCCGCTAACCCCATATTCCGTCAACAACAGTGGAAAATCCTCCCTCCTTCTTCTCTTCCTCCGCCTGCTTGACCCCGTGCCCCGACCCAAACCGACAGGCCCCAGCCAAGACCACCAACCCTCCAACAACCCACTCCCTCAACAGATAGCAATCGACTCCCTCCCGCTAACCTCCATCTCCCGAAACCACCTTCGCGCCCGAATCCTCGCCCTCCCACAAGAACCCGTCTTCCTCCCCTCGGGCACACCCACCCGCACCAACCTCGACCCGCAGCACGCCGCCTCCGAATCCGACTGCGTCTCGGCGCTGCAAGCCGTCTCTCTCTGGGAATTCATCTCGGCGCGAGGCGGTCTCGACGCCCCGCTCTCGCCCGACACACTGTCGCAGGGCCAGAAACAGCTGTTTAATCTCGCCCGGGCCATCCTGCGCAGACGGCTCCGGGCTAGGGACAGCGAGGGCGGGATACTGCTGCTGGATGTACAGTTCGAGCGTGGACAAGGAGACGGACGAAGAGATGCAGCGGGTTATCATGCGCGAGTTTGCCGGCTATACAATTGTTATGGTGAGCCATCGGCTGGGTATGGTGATGGGGTTTGATCGAGTGGTAGTGATGGATGCCGGGAGGATTGTGGAGATGGGCCGGCCCGCGAAGTTGGCTGAGACAGAGGGGTCGAAGTTTAGGGGGTTGTGAATGGTTGGGAATAAGGCAAGGAGTTAAGGGTTTTGGATTGCGGGAGTTGGTAGGACGTGGGATCGGAAATTGGATAGAGCAGATGCCAGAGCAAACAGAAGAGTGACGGTGTCAAGTTGGCGAGTCCGTCAAGCCGCTGGTATTTGAACGAATATAGCCATCTGAAACAACGCAAGTGACCACCCTCCGTTTCCCATATGCAATCCATGTACATGCCGCCAACGACAACGCCGTCCCATGCATCGTATCTGTATTGTACATCACCTGTTCCGATTGACCGAAAACCTCCGCACCATAACCTCCCGAATATTGTACTTCTTCAGCGCAGAGGCAATACCTCCGCGCTGCATCTCCTCCTCAAATACGTTCGGAGGCGGTATGTCGACATAGACGAGGACCAAGCTCTTTAGCACATGCGAGAGCACCCGGTTGACGCCCATCAGCCACGACCACGACCTCCTTGGCGCCTCGTGCTCATGCCCCTCCCAGGCAAAGTCCGAATAAGCAGGCAATACCATGATGCCGAACTCGCTGTGGTCAAAGACGGGTCCCCGCTGATAGATGATCCAGTCGACGCCAAACTTGATGCCGTGGCGGGGAACCCAACCCAGCGAGCGGAAGTGGTGGTAGACAGCGTAGTTCACAAGAAACGGGTCGTCAGGCCTAAGTCCGGAGCCAGCCGGCCGCGGGGGTAAGTAGGAGTATGAGCGGAAGAGGGCCAGGAGGTGTTCCGTGGAGATGGGAGAGCCGGTGACAGGGTCCACAACCTTGAGGGCTCCAAGGGCAAACACTAGGAAGAAGGCTTCCTCTGGCGCCAGCTGAAAGTGTTCTTTATTCTCAATTTCGCCTAGGTCGACCTGGCTGCTCACAACCAAGTCGGAGGAACTCTGAGGAGCGGCCTGCGAGGCGGCAGCAAGGGTGCGGGTTACGTCTAGCTGCCCCATGAGTTCACCGTTCGACAGGGCAGGGCCAGCGCTCTTCGCGGGGACACCGGACGAGCGGTTTGGGCTTGGCGGGTCAGAATGCACGAATGTGGTTGACTGGACCGTGGGTGAGAAGCGGACACTCTTCCGACGCTTCAAAGGCTGCGAAATATTGCCGTCCTCCTCTTGAGCGGAGCTCGAAACAGATTCATCTGAGCGCAGAGAGGGGGGCGAGACAGCCCCTTTCCAGGGCTTACTTGGCTGGACTCCGTGGATGGACACTCTGTCTGCTTGATCCACTCGATGACTACTGCCATTTGGGTCACTGGCCTTGAGCGCATGCCCGTTAACTGCACCGTTCGACTGAAACTGGTCGTCACGAGGTTCGCCATCCACAGGAGCGTTTGTGTCATGATTTGTCCGCAGTTGCGGCTGGCCGAGAGCGCCAGATCCCATCTCAATCATAACGAGCCCGCTGACAGGCCTGGAAATAAGGTCCGCATGAGAGTTGGGTAGCAACAGCAGCTCCGCCGGGCCAACTGGCGCTTTCCAATCCCGCCCTTGGCTGGGTTGTTGGGAACTCAAGCCACCTGGAAGGCCGTCTGACCGTGCCAATGAATTGGGCAGCGCGAGCAATTCCGCCGGACCAACAGGTGGCTTGTGGTGCAGGGAGCGGCATGCAGGAGGCATGTCCGTCATGACAACTTGGGTCTGCTCGATGGAGTCAGGGAATTGTGTCGCAGTTTCTGCCACGAAATCTGCCGGACTGTGTTCCACAGCAGCGGGCTGAACGGAGCATCGGAGTGACCGCGATGTCTCGACATTGACAGGCTCGTAGTCAAGGACCCCATTTGCCTCGGCGACCCTGGTCGCGGCAGCATGAGCCGCGGCTTCGGCAAGTCTCTGTCGCTCAATGGCTTCGAGCTCTGCTTTCGCTCTCTCCCATTTAGCAAGACGACGTTCTTCTCGCCGCAACTCCGTGCGTGCCTCGCTAACGGTCTTGCCTTCTGGTGAGCCCCGTCTGGCCAGTTCCCTCTTCAGCCAGTTCGGCTCACTCCGACTGAGACTCCCTTTGCCGTAGAAGCCCTGCTCCCACAGAGCACGAACGGATGCGTCATCTCTGACATGGACAGAACGCGTCTCCGGGTCCCAAATGCCTATGTGCACCACCGACGGCTCGCGCGGCGGCGGACGGAAAACTTGGCTCAGCCAAGCGTAGGCGAGATGTAGGAGAGATATGGGATTGTTCGGGTAGAACGTGGGGAGGGGAAAAGTGCGAATTGGAGCAGGCAGGGCGTAGACCTGGTTCAGGGGCACCTTCGCTGGCAAAGCTCGCTCGACTGCGGTCGTCGGGGCCCCGGCACTCGGCGCCTTGACTGGGGAAGCCGCGGAACCGGCCTTACTGGTGGTATCTCCGTCAGGGGAGGCCGTGACGAGTGCTGCGGGTTTAGACATTTCTGTCGCGCTTCATGTCGGCCTGAGGAATGCCAATGTTAGCCGCCTTCCACCTCGGGCAATACGAGACGGAATGCAAGAAGTATCTCCAAGACGATTGCTCAGATACCGTTGTAGTCTATAAATAGAGGGCTCTCATTGAGCGTACACTGAAGTACATTGCTCTACGCACCAGTATTCGAGTGTCATCATCGCAATCGGGGCCCCCTTGCTCTGTACCGAGTTGTGTGGAGGCATCCAGAGTAGAAAGTCGTCGACCTTGCATGTCTTGTGAATCCAGCTGGATATCCTCACTCGAGGTGCGCAAGAACAAGCTAACAAATAACGACGTCGAGAAGTCGATCGACTGACCTTTCCACAGGATCTTCCACTCAGTTACCGACGGAGGAAGAATTCGATCTTCCAGCGCACCAGAGAAGGTCGCGAAGAGGTGGTAGGACGTTGTGACGTTATTGGAGCCTCAAATCATACTGTGAGGTCGTGGTCTGTTTTGCTTTGCATGATGAAAGAGCTCTCCAGGAGCCTCGGAGATGCGTTGGGGTGGATGAATTATTCGCGTCAAGCACAGATTTTCAAGACCTTGCAGAATTCTCTTGCAGCCTGAAAATTGGGGCAGCCCGATGGAATGTAGAGTTGGAGACAAAGTCCCAAACGTGCGGGCGAGCGGGGCAGCGGTTCGGTGAATCGGCAATGCAAGCAATTGGCACGGACGGCCCGGTGTCAGAGTGCCGGGGATCTGGACCTGAAAATGTCCAATTGAGCAACCAACAGGCCATTCTTGTACGCGTATCTGTAGTCTTCCACATGGGAAGATCCGTAGAGCCCATGATAGATCCTCTTTCTCGCGCTCCCTTACGTTTTACAAATCGAATCATCGCGGCTGCCCGGATATCCGTCCCACTTAACTAAGCGTAGTTACAGTACCTGTTCCTTTTCCAATTCATTGCCCCACATGGATTTGCCGTCAGACGCGAGTCTCATTTCTCTCGCGTCCCCCGAACTTTCCGTCACGCCCGCTGCGTTCGTCTGCCAACCTCCTCCCTCGCTCACACAGCGATGACTGTGGGCAATGGTCCAATGTCCATCGTAGTCCAAGGTGCCGCCTTGGTAAGCCTGGTTTGGAGCTGCATCGTCTTTCTTGTCCAAGGCATCGGCATTCTTCAGATGTAAGGTACATTTCGTCTGAACTGCCCGGCCGTAGCTGACATGGCTGATTCAGCTTCCGCCATCACTCCGCACCGAAAGCGAAACCCGTGTCGCCCTGCCTGAAAGATGATGAGGTGCCTCACATAACGCTGATACGGCCCGTCAAGGGGGTTGAAGAAGGGCTCTACGAATGCCTCGCCTCGTCCTTTAGGCTAGCCTACCCGAGGTCGAAGTTGACCATATACTTCTGCGTCTCCTCCGTCTCTGATCCGGCATATCCGATTATCCAGCAAGCCGTCGCAGATTTTCCAGGGTTTGATGCGAGAGTACTGGTCGAGGAGGAGGACCCGCTTCTCCACGGCAACGGCGGCCATGTCAACAACCTAGGGCCGAACCCCAAGATCCGCAACATGAGCCGCGCATATCGCGAGGCAAAAGGCGATATCATCTGGATTGCTGACTGCAATGTCTGGGTTGGAACCGGCTCGGCAGGACGGATGGTCGACAAGCTCTGCGGGTTCCGTTCCGACGGCGGCAGAACAACGCCCTATAAATTCGTGCACCAGCTGCCGCTTGTGGTTGACGTTGGATTTCCTGGGGATGCCCGAGAACATGGTCTGCTGGCGACACACGCCGTCCACCCTCATCCGCCCAAATCTGTCCTCGACTACGGCGGCCGTCTAGAGGAACTGTTTATGTCAACCACGCATGCCAAGTTCTACGGCGCCATCAACACCGTCGGCATCGCCCCGTGCATTATCGGCAAAAGCAACATGTTCCGCAAGTCCCATCTCGACCGCTTCAGCGACCCGTCCCAGAACCCGATTCTCTCCACGAAGGACGCTTCCCGGGGCCGCGGCCTGGACTTCTTCTCGTCCTACATCTGCGAGGACCACCTCATCGGCGACCTTATCTGGCGATCCAGACTCCCGGGCTTCAGGAACCACGGCCTGGTATTTGGCGAGTTGGCCATCCAGCCCATATCGGGCATGTCGGTGGCCGCCTACATCGCGCGCCGTGTCCGCTGGCTGCGCGTGCGCAAGTGGACCGTGTTGCTCGCTACGCTCGTGGAGCCTGGTGTCGAGTCACTCGTCTGCTGCCTTTACCTGTCCTTTGCCCTGACGACACTTACTAGGTTCCACGAGACATTCGGCGTGACACAGACTTGGGCCGCCATGGGCCGGATCTGGCTCTCGGCAGTTACGGTTTGGATGCTGGTCGACCGCTGGGTCTACCAGAAGCTACACAAGTTACAGAGCGTCGAGGCCGATGAACACACGCCCTTTTTTGCCTTGGGGCCGTGCCGCCGCGGCGGGATTCAACAGAGGCCGTTTCTCGAGTGGCTGGCTGCCTGGCTGGGGAGGGAGCTGTTGGCTCTTCCCATCTGGACATGGGCTGTGCTGCTCGGGGCGAGCGTGAACTGGAGGGGGAAGCACTTCAAGGTGCGCATGGACATGAGCGTTGTGGAGATCGAGGGCCCGAAGCGTCCGCCAGCAGTACCCTCGCCAAACCATGTGAATTCTTGTAACAAGGACCGCATAGACTAGGTTAGACTTGGGAGCATAGAATTATACCCATAAACATTGGTAATTCACCATAGTCTGTCCACATCCCAATATCGAACCGCTTGTCATGGGTGATCAGTCGGCTTACAACGACACTCCAAAGCGTTGTCACAGCAAAACGAGATGGTAAGGCATCTATCTGGTTATGGAGCAAAATAATCCTCTGCCAGCTGCGACTTCCAGCTAGATTACATGCAGCATTGTCCTCAGTTCCTTGCGCCCATGGCCAGTCTCCGATGCACCTAGTCACTTAACTCGCAACGCCTCCCAACGGCTCCATGCAAGTCAAAATCAAGAGGCGATTTGAGTCGGCCAAAACCCACCCCTTGACACCGACGCCAAAACCAAGCAGACCAAAGAACGAAATCGACAAAAGGAGAGAAGAAGCCCTCGACGCCCAGATCTAGCTGTCCCACTTCTTCGCCTCCACGCCCTGAGGCGGGACAGTCTCCACCTTGCGGCTCTTGACGTCCTCCCAGTCGGTGCTGAGCGCAGTCCCATTGCTTTCGATGAAGCTCTTCATCATGGCCCGCTGCTGCTCCGGCGTAGCGCCCTTGTACAGCTGCTTGAAGAAGAAGTTGACGTCGTTCTGGTCGTCTTCTGCTTCCTCCTGGCCCAGCTTCTCCCAGTCTTTGGGGCCGTGTCGGCTGCTCGTCGGGTAGGCCGGCGCTGCCGCGGAGGCCGGCGGCGGGGCGATGGGAGCAGCAGCGGGGCCGGCGTCAGGGGGGCTGGCGGCAGAGGTTGCGGGCGTTGTCTCCGCGGAGGGGACTGCTGTCTCGGCGCTGGCGGCGCCAATCCACTCCTTGCCCCATGTCCCCCACTTGACACCGGGAGCGGCCTTGTGGAGGACCAGCTCGATCTTCAGTGGTGTCGCGGTCCAGCGGGATTTTGACGGGTCGATTTCACCATCAAGGAAGAGCGTTGAGGTGGCCTCGGGTTCACCAGGTTTCGCCCAGGGAGCGTTGGGGCGAGGTAGTGGTGCAATTTGAATCTGCAGTTTGTTAGCAAGGCCCAACGACAGCATGCGAACAACACAGAGCTCGGTCTTACCTTGTTCTTCGACATCTTAACGTCCAAGGCCTCTCGCTTTATACCCTTCGAGAACAGCGTGAGAGTGACTGTCTGGTTGCTCTGGTAAAACGCTGTGCGAAGCTGGAGCTGCGTGTCGAATCCGCTGACGGGATCGGGCCGGGGAATTTCAGCCTGCGCTGCGGTTTCAGCGTCCATGCCCGTCTGGGGCTCGGTCGGTTTCGCAAGGCTCGTCCTACTCTCCTCCGCGACCTTTGGCGTCGCCTTTTCGGCATCCTTTTGCGGCTTGGGTGGAACTTTCGTGACACTGACCTTGCGGCCGGGGTGATCCTCGGGGAGATTCTTCATCATGCCGAGCACCTGGCTCCTCCAGATGTAAGCACGCCTCCAATCGTCCTCGAACCCCGTTTTGACCGAGGCCTGAGTCAGGCGCTGCTCGATCCCAGCCGACTTATCCACGTTCTCCCCCGGTTGCCCCTTGTTATCGGCAACCCCGTCCTCGTAGGTCACGGTGTAGTTGCCGTTCTCGTCCACCTTCTTCTCGACACCATCGTCTTCGCGTGCCGGACGGCCCTCTGCCAATGACATGCTCCACTTTGCGCAGCAATCTGCGTCGGCGTAGCGGCCGAGCCGGTGGTATTGGACTGAGCGGCGATACTGAGCTTCGATCATCTGCTTGCGCGAGTTCCCCGAACCGCGCTGGGCTGCCACATTGTATGCGAGTTCAGCGTCGCGGAGAGCCGCCTCGAAGTTCTTGAGGTTTTGGTGGGCTTCAGAGCGTGCGAGAAGCCAGACGGGCGATTCGGAAGACTCGAGAGCCTTGTCGAGAAACTGGATCGCCTCGCCGTATTCCTTGCGCTTGACAGCTTCGACTCCATTGTGACCGAGAGTCGTGGCAGACATTTTAACGAGGGGTGTTCAACGCCGATTAACGAAGCCAGGCGGTTGATGTTAGGTGGAAGCGTTAGATCATTTAGATCATATATTGTAATCCGTACATGGCAGCCTTGCATCCCAACGAACGCTGCATGTTAGGGTCAACCAACACAGCAGCGGGGAAAAGGTAGCTGTTTCTGCCATCTTCCATGGTTGTCGCAGGCTGACGCAAATGAGACCCTGAAAATTCACCGCCTGCCTTACATGGCAATTGTGTGTAATGCCAACCCTGGAAGTCAATGCACACCCGAAGCGCGCAGCAGAAAGTGGAGACAGCCGTTTGTTCCTGTGCAATGCTCTCGAGTGCGTGCATCTGACGTGCAACGACCGACAAAACCCCAAGCCTAGATTGTCACAGTCCCCGGTATCGTATCAGTGCGGTGACATCAATGGCGCACTTTGGTCCGGGCAAGACAGCAAGCAGCAAGGAGCAGGCGGGCCTGCGATATCCATCCAATGGCAAGACCATCTACCACCGACCACTGCACCGCACCAAGACGGCCGAGCTCAGCCAGGCCAGCTTCGCCTACCTCTTTTCCGAGATGGTCAGCTACGCACAGCGGCGGGTAACTGGTATCCAGGAGCTAGAAAAGCGGTATATGCGCCAGTCCTGCCCTTCCACCTGCTCCCTGCAGACTAGCAGCTGATCTTTTCCCTTCTTCGTACCAGCCTCAACATCCAAGGCCATCCAATAGGCCTCAAACTGCTCGACCTCCTCCTCACGCGCGAACCGCCTCGCTCGCAGACGCGGCCCTTGACCATCATCGCCCTCCTTCACTTCATCAAGATCAACCTGTGGACGCACCTCTTCGGGCGGCAGGCAGACCGCCTCGAAAAGAGCTCCAACCCGGACACGCCCGACGAGTACATGATCATCGACAACGAGCCGTTGGTCAACGCCTACATCAGCGTGCCGCGCGAGATGAGCCAGCTCAACTGCGCCGCCTACGTGGCGGGCATCGTCGAGGGGGTGTGCGACGGGGCCGCGTTCCCTGCGAGGGTGACGGCGCATAGCGTGGGCGGCAAGGAGGAGGGCGAGATGTGGCCGGGGAAGACGGTGTTCTTGGTCAAGTTTCAGCCCGAGGTTCTGGAGAGGGAGGCGTTGTTTGGGAAAGGGTGAGCAGGCATACAGCGGGGGGCGTGTGGATTGCCGTATGAGGGAATCGGAGATCCGGTGGGGTTCGGGGCATTTGGGCTGGCGTTTGGGTTTCTTGGGAACGAATTGGTTTACGGGTTTGGTCATGGTAGTTGGTGTCACGTTTTTCCGCGTCCGGCTTCTAGACGGAGATGCAAAAATCACGCGTATCCTAATGTTGATCGCTTGTCAAATGCTATGTCCATAACGCCTTCCGTAATCCTCCCATAATGCTTCCGGGATGCTGACGATACCCTTTACCTTCCTGATCAAACGCCTAGCAATGCCTTGCGAAAACGATACATCAACCCTTCCTCCCGCCCTTAGCGCGGCAAGCCCGTATACCGAGGCCCGAATCCACCCATCCGTTTGGCTCCGCCGCGTCTCTTTGGCACAGCGGTTGGAGCCGGCCCTCGGGCCATCAATTCCGCAAGTCCCAGGTCCTTCCAAGCCGGCTCGCGCGCCTTCTGCGTAGCCTTCTGGACTCCATAGGCGGCGTGCTGATCGGGAACGACATCGTCCTCCTCCTCTGGGTTGACGGGCTGCAGATCCGGCGGCACGTAAACATCGTCTTTGGGCAGCTTATCCTTGCAGAACTCCTCAAACAGGTCTGCGTGCTGCGAGTTGTGCATGTGCACATAGGTGTAGCAGGCGTCCTTGTTCTTTCGCATGTGTTAGAGCAATGCGCTGATTGGGTTATGGTGTGTAAACATTGACAGAGGATGATGTACCATGGTAGCAGAAATTGGCGCGCGGATGACAGAGTTTGAGAGGATGACTTTGGGTGGCTCGACCATGGACGTCGCGGCGATGGCACTGACACTGGAGCTGAGTGGGATGCGTGATTGTGGGGGCGTCATGGAGCGGCCGGAGTCGCTCGAAGGCCGGTCATTGCCATCCCTGTCCATCTTGGCGGTTTCTGATGGGGTGGTTGTGGCGTAGATGATGGTTGAGAATGTGTGGCGGTGCAGTGTCGTGGCGTTGGCAGTAAAGATGCTCACACAAAGCAGTTTTACCCCTAACCCACTTACACCGATTGTGCCTCTGGCCCCAGCATCTCAAACACCGAACACTTCCGACATCACAAGAGACTCTTTGACATCGATTAGCCGATTCTGTAATGAATGAAAACTACTCTTCATCCTTCCATCCAGAAGCCATCAATTATGTCCCTTCCCCATATCCCAATGGTGAGCCAGCTGTGCAAAGCCGACCCAAGATTGCGAATGCGGTAATACAAGTTCCACCTTACCTCACCCATGATGCTTTCCCTCATGGTTCTAGGAGACACCTATTTGACTGGTTTGCTCAATACGGCTGGCCCGAAGGAGCCTCGTACAAGGCGAGTGTGAACCCCCTTGTCATCCGGTTCCCACACCCCGTACTTCTTGTCGCTGACAACACAAGAATCCAAAACATGACATTCGAAGTAGAAACTCATGACTTCCTTGTTGACTTCGATTTCGTTGTTCTGGTTGTTGCATAAGGATGCAACGCAGCGCTTGACCACCTTTGTCTCGCAGTCACGCGGTTTGACTGTGAAATACCCCGCGGAGCTAGTATCTGCGGTCAATAGCTTTTCTCCGTCTTGGGAACGAACGAATTCTGAGGAAACATACCAGTGAATCTACCGAGGGCGCTGCGGCACTGCTCCGGGACAGGCGGATGTTCTCCGGGCTGCTAGTTGTTAATGGAAGTGGTTCCCGCAGCACCACGCTTGTGCTTGGCTGGCAAAGCCACGTTGTTTGTGGACCAGGCGTTGTGTCGAAAGGGACTTCTGGCGTCTTTGGGGTCCAGATACCAGATATGGATGCTGTACTGGTCCGTCTCCGAACGTCCCCACATGCCGTTGATGACGCATTGGTTGTAGACCTTATTTGTCATGTCGAACGCCAGTGTTCCCGTGTTGACCCTTGCCTTGGTGGACTGCTTGTTGAATAGAGTGCCCGCGCAAGTCCCCACGGCCATCTCTAGGATTTGCCTGCCCTCGAGCGTGATATAGCCAGATGCATCGTTTTCTGTCCTGAATCATTCAGCGAAGGTGCTTACATGTCTCGAATGTCGAGGAAGAAACCTACGGCTGAACGCGCTGATAAGTTGGTGGCAGTCAACAGGGTTGGGCTGCTTGCTGCTTGTGATACAGCCCGAATCACCCGCCAGCAGCCCACCAAAAGCCACGTGGTGGGATGAAAGGAGCAGAAGAATTATGGAGATCATGGTGAGGATGCTGCTTTAGAACAATGCCGACGCAAATGTTGGTGGAGGACTTATTGCTGCAGAGTGCAGATGGCTTCTCGGTGTGAAAGCAATCATGACAGGACGGCGAGGTGGCGCCTCAGATTTCGGCTGCACTCCCTTAACAGTTGACCCAAAAGCACACTCCTGCTTGCTTCCTGGGACTGGAGCAATGCCAGATGGATTAAGCAAGTACGAACGTCAACCGTACGGAAGGTGCCGCAGTTGTAGGCATGCGATGAAAATACAAGAATGCACCTGTGATACGCTAGTTGAACAGTAGGGGGTTTGAAGCCAAGTGTGACCATCAGCCAGGAGTATGTCCGCCTAGGAATTTGATACCTGAATGTATACATCCATCAGACTGAACATAAACCAAAACCGTATGGGCATTCTCAAGGTTTCGGGTTTGTTGTGTCAAGGACAACTTCGATTCTGCAACTCAACCTCAAATGGGACCCCGGCAGGAGTGGCAACGCCGAGGCATGAAACCAGCTTTCCTGTCCTGCCAGGTACATTTGTCGAGGTCGAGAAGCGTTCCAACTCCACAACTGAGCCAGCCTAAAGTAGATATGGCTGGTCTGAACGAGGCCGATTCGGCCCTCGGGGCTCTTCGAGGCCCGGACGAGTCATCATCCATCGCGACCCGATTTCCTTTAATTTGTTCCACATCCTCGCAGTAAGATGACATTCCAACCCAATTCCAGAGAGACCCAAGCCCTGCTCCGCGAGCTAGAAACTCACGCTTCCATCCGCTTCTATACCTCATAATCACTCAATAATTAACCGAGGCGAAAATGTCCGCCTCCTCACCTTTGCTCTGAGACAGCGACAGTTCCCGCAACCCCGCCAACACCACAACCACTGGCAGCAAGGCCCCGTCCCCTCGCCTCTCGCCAAAGGCCTCGTCACTTCTCTCGGCGTCAGCCGCTTCGCCTTCGGGGTTGCTACCTCGCCCCGACCCTGACCTTCCGCTTGTTTGGTGTATCGACCTTGCCAGCCGATGGAGCCCTTATGACGCGCTTCTTCGGTGTGCGGGAGATGGGCGGCTGGCTCTTGCTCGCAGAGCGCAGCGCCGAATCCGCCAGGCGGCGTAGTAGTGGTGCAGTGGCATATCCCAGCGCCGCGACGGCGCAGCTTGTGCGCGGCGAGCAAGAGGTTCGTCGGGCGATCTGGCTTAATGTCGCCACCGACAGCATGGATGCGCTGACTCTTGCCGCTGTGTTTATGCAGGGCTCGCTGATGGATGGGGTGGTGCTTGTCAAGATTCTTGGGGCGGCTTTGGTTATGGTCGCTGCCGTGTTGGAGACGGCTTGGGCGTACCCGTGACTCTGACATAGCGTGGGTCTGTACAAATACTCCGATTGCGGGTTTGTTGCCATTCTGAGGCCGTCGAGGTTGGTGTCATACGTACCGTATGATAAGGCGAGGTTTGCAGGGCGAAAATGCCCGTGCCTCGAATCTCTGAAGTGTTGCTCTATAATTAAGTGATCACTCTGTCGTAGTGTCCAAGGCCCCTGTCTCGCCGTCTCTTACGAGAGGACCCTTGGAAACTACTATAACAATAAGTTCACTAGCCTTACAACAGTACAGAATCCTAGTCGACTTGGAAGGGTCACACATGTAGAAACACAGTCAGGATGGATTCATCTGCTGTTCGCACATCCATACGACAGCAACTAAGATACATGCAGCTCCCTCTACTTAGCTGGCCAGACTCAGATCCCGAATTATCGAAGCCGCTTCCTCCACACTCTGGACGAGTTTCTCGGCCGTCCCAACCGGGCAATTCAGACTAATGAGGGAACTAAGCAGCAAAACAGGACGTTAGTAAGCGGCAAATTCAAAGCCGACCTATGGCGGGATCAAGATTGGAGGAAAGGAAATGGAAGAGCACTGACTGATCATCACGAATCGTATACCGCAGTCTCAGCACACTCGGATCCAATGGCGTCGTCACACTTTCCACCGAGGCGTGGTTGATATTCGTCACGGCCGTGAAGTCCATGCCCCTCTTCAGGAGCGCGTCGTCGAACACGGCCGCCTTGGGAACCCCGGCGGGCCATTGCTGCTCCATGACGGTGAACAGCCGGTAAAATCCCCGTCCGTCCTTTGCCTCGGTCACACGCCGGCTGACGTCGCGCGCCGCCTCCAGCATGAGTGTCCGGCAACTCCGTCGCCGCTGCTCATTATCCTCGCTGACCAATGCTGCTGCTGCCTGGCAGAAGTCCCGCACCGGCTCCGACGCCAACTGAACCATGTCGTGGCGCCCTTCGTGGAAGTGCGCCAACATCACAGGAGCCCAGTTTGGCGTGATGCGCCGTCCATTGTACAGATACAGCGCCAGCTGGCAGAGGAGGTCGTACCCGCCCTTGATGGGGACTTTGTTCTGGCCGAGAAGATGAGCGCCAAGCGTGCGCAACTCGTGCGAGATGAAGTCGCGGGATACGCTGGCCTCGAGCCACCTGTCGCGGAGTGTGGCGAGGTGCGCGTCCAAGCTCCGGGGAAGGACCAGAGGAATCTCTTGCGGTGTCGGCGCTCCTTCTTCGGGTGTAGGCTCGCGGGCCGCGCTCGGCTTGTAGGAGGCAATGGCGTCGCGGACCCGGTCGTATAGTGGAGCAGGCGTCGTGCCGTCGAGGTGTGAGTGTTCGACGATGACGCCCGAGTTGCCGTTTGCCGTGACGACGAACTGCAGCGGCTTGTCGTTCCACCGGTTGAAGCCGTCGCCTAGCTTGCCCTGTTTCGCCAAATCTGCGTAGCCGACAGGGTTGCCATCATCAAGGTTAATGGCAAAAGCGGCAGCCTCAATCGTCTGGAAGTAGTGGGCGTTGGCGGGACTAGCCGCCAGCAGCTCGTTGCGTATCTGAAACGGTGTGTGTCAGTAGTTTCCCCCCAGATAACCAAAGCACTTGAGTCAATGCACTCACCTTCGCCCAAGAGTCGCGGTTGTCGCTCGTCAAGATCCCCGCCCAGGTCCCTTCATCACGTACGGTTTCCAGAATGGCCGTCATGGCGGTTTTCAGGGAGTCGAAGGACGCGGGAGCCTCCCCATCCTGCAAGGGAACCTGAAAGAGCCGACCGCGTCTAAACACGACGCAGTAGTCACCGGCCCCTTTCACAATTTCGTCCATGCCAACCTGAGGTCGCCGGTACGTGTTGAACAACCACTTCAGCGGAGCCTTGCACACGGGCGTATCCATGATGAACAGCGCTTCAACCGTCCCATTGTCGATATCTTTCTTGAATTGGAACGCGGTCGCGGCAAGCAGTGCAGCGCGCTCGGCTTGCGTATGCGCGACGTAGCTCGGGTGGTTTATGGCCATAAAGTTGGTGTATTGGAGGGGCTGTCGCATGCGGAGGTGGAAGTCCTCAGCCAGGTGTCTCGAAACCCAATTGGCTACTTTCGGATCACGGGCGTCCTTCTGGATTGCCTGGTAGACCTGCTGGCCGGTGCTGCCCGGCGACGTGAGCTCTCGCACAGCTGCCCGCAGGTGCTCGACTTCGTCGTCGCTCAGGGCAAAGTGGGCAATGTTTTGGATGTGGTTCTGCATAGCTTCGTCCAAATCAGGTACTGGCTGTCGGGCCTCTTCGTCAGGCAGAGCACAGCATTCCAGGCTTTTGACGCCCGTGTCGTTGTGAGATGCAACAGCAGCGTCCTCCCCAAAGTGTTCCTTACTGTGGTCTGGCTCCTCCTCTCGGCTTGATTCCTCCTGTGTCTGCCCCTGCTTGGTGAGGTTTGCAGGGAGCAGCTTGGACCTGGACGCCAGGGTCTCGGCCAGGTGTGTAATGCTCGGCGCACTGGTCAATTCTGAGGCCTGGAGGGTAACCTTGAAGGTGCGCACCATCCAGTTCTTCAGCTCGATCGAGACAAGCGAGTCAAGGCCAAACGACGAAAGAGCTTGGTGAGGGCCTACGTCATCTGCTTCGAGATTGAGGAATGCGACGAATTTCTCAATGGTCGTCTCGAGGATGACCTTGACAGCCTCGTCAAACGTGGTGGCGCTCCGCAGCAAACCCTCCACGTCGCACTTGATAGCAGAGTTCCCATGGTCATGGGAGTCCGATACCGGCAATCGAGGGATCGTTCGGAACATGGCAGCCCAGACGTAGTCTCCCGAGCCGATCTTCATTGACTGCCTGTCGAAGCCCATGAGGGAATGCAAAAATGGCCTGTCTAACTCGACAGAAGGGTCCATGGCGTAGTCCATCAACTGCAGCAGCTCTTGGACGTCGAACAGGATGGATCCCTTACCGACAAAGTCGCGGTTTTCGGCCTTCATGGCGTTGATGGCCGACGTCTCGTCGACCAGGGGCAGGTCGACCGAGACGTAGCGAGTTGGATAGATCCTCTCATGGTGTGTCACGAAATAGTCCTGGAAAGCATTAGCGGCACTGTAGTTCGATTGTCCTGGGTTGCCGAGCGTGCCCGCAAGAGACGCGAGCGTGACGAAGAAATCGAGGTCTGGAGAGCTGAAAGCCTTGTCTAGGTTCCACGTCCCAAAGACCTTGGGCGCGAGGACCGAATTCCATTCCTCTGGCGTCATCTTGACCAAGGGGCGGTCCTGCAGTTCACGATCAGTTCCGTTCATTCCATCGTGTCTCACTTGAAACTGATACCCTGGGTACAAGGGCGTCAGGAAGCACGAACTGACCTTCAAGACCATCCCGGCATGGAAGAGTCCCCGAACCGGCGGTAGGGACCGTCGGCAATACTCGGCCGTCTTTTGGACGCTCTGATGGTCCGTGATATCGCATTGCAAGACGTGAAGTCTCGCTCCTGATTTCTCGACCTCCGCTTCCCACGCAACTCGCTCTTCATCACCGAGCTTCCTGCGCGAGAGGGTCACAATGTGCCCGGCGCCGCGGCTGGCCAAATGTTTGACCAACATTCGACCTATGTCGCCTAGACCGCCTGCAATGATGTATGTGCCGTTGGACTTCAATTGAACAGCAGGTGGCGAGGGTAGGGTCGCCTGGACAGTACCGCCGTCATCTCCGACGTCTACTACCACTTTGCCCATGTGCTTCCTCTCTGAAATCAGCCTGAAGGCCGATTCGAGACGATCGATAGGGAAGATGTTGAGTGGGTGTACTGGCCTTAGGACACCTTGTGCAAACAAGCCGATGACCTTGTCCAGGACCAAGTAGAACAACTTAGGTCGCTCCTGAGAGATGACCACCAAATCAACCGAGGCGAATGTGACGTTCCGCTTGAACGGCGCCATGCTGATGTGTCTGCCCTTGTCAATGTCAGATTTGCCGAGCTCGATGTGATACCCGAAAGAAGCGACACAATCCCACGACTCTGCCAACATCTCGCCCGACGTCGAGTTGAGCACCACGTCAACACCTCGGTTCCCCGTCAGCCGCATCAGACGGCGCTTGAAGTCGCTAGGCGTGGCGCGCGAGGAGAGGATGTGGCTCTCCGGAATCCCATAGTCGCGAATGAGGAACTGCCGCTTCTCCTCGCTGCCAACCGTGACAAACACGTCGGCACCTAGATGCCTCGCAAGCTGTATCGCAGCCTGACCGACTCCGCCGGAACCAGCGTGAATCAGCACCGTTTTTCCTGGTTCGAGGCGTGCCACGTGGACGAGGCTGTAGTACACTGTGGTGTAAACCACCTGGATCGATGCCGCTTCCGCGAAGCTGACATTGTCCGGCAGAACATGGGCCTCGTACCCGCTCAGCCGGGAGTAGCTGGCAAACGGCTGGGCGTGCATGCCGACCACGCGGTCGCCAATCTTGTAGGTTGCTTGCACGAACTCGCCGGACCCGACCGCCGTGACGACACCGGCGCATTCGCCCATGAAAGTCCCGAGAGAGAGCTGGCCGAGCGCGACGAAGACGTCGCGGAAATTGATGCCGAAGGCCTTGGAATCTATCTGGATCTCCTCGCTGCCCAACGGGGAAGATGGGACAGTATCTGGGACAAAGTGAATGCTGCTTAGGAGGCCGGGAGCACCCAGCTCCATGCGCAGCGGACGTTTCGGATCCTTAAACGGTTGAGGGGAAAGGTGCCCCCGGCCGTTGACGAGGTCTGTCCACTGATTGAACTTCTTGTCGGCGTAGACCCTGGGGATCAATAGTCGGTCGCCGCTGAGCGCAAATTCCTCGTCGTCCGTCACGCGGTGCCCACCATCGGACGAGAGAAGCAGTTGCGAAACGCGCAAAACCTCCTGGACAAGACAGGCAACATCATCGCCATGATTGCGGACCAGGTCCCTAACCTCAACAGTGATGAACCTGATGCCTTCGTTTTCCCGCCGAACGACGCGGGCCAAACCGCTCACCAAGGCTTTGATAGGGGCGACCTGTGGTCCATCCTCTTCCTGAAAGGTGATCCAGAGAATGTTACGGCAGTTGACGAGCAAGTTTTGGAAGCGGCCAAACAAGTCCGGGCTTGGGTTTTCGAGAACGGTCGAATTTGCGCTGTCAAGTACCACATACATGGTTGCACCGGTAGCGTCTTGTTGTTCAACAGCGGGCAGCGTGTCCCAGGTGTAGCTGGCAGTGCTCAACACCTTTTGTTCCTGGAACGCGGAGGATAGAACATCGCCGGCTGAGCGCCCCACGGGGGAAGCTGGATTGAAGATGATTGATACCGAGTCAGGGACCGGGATTGGCTCGGCCGGTGGGCTCACGTTCCTGTCCTCGATGGCTTTGGACACGATGAAGGACGTTCGCGCCAGCGGGCCGTCGCAGTCCGGAGAGGCAAACTCGATGCCGCCAAAGGAGGTCTCAAGTAGTATTTCGTGCCACTCGCCATTCGTGAGCAACGGTGAATCTTTGCGGCCGTCTGCAAACTCCCACCACCTAAGTAAGGACTGTGTTAGTTGAGACGTGGGGAGTTTGGTGGCTGGAATAGGTAACCTACCCGGGAAGAGTACCAAAGATAGTTCCGAGGATCCGGCTGACGACCGCCGTACTCCTATTGACCTCGACGAGAAGCAGTCTGCCGCCAGGCTTCAGCAGCTTCCTGACATGGGTCATGGTTTCACGCATTGACCTGGTTGCGTGCAACACGTTTGAAGCCACGACCAGGTCGAAGGAGTTCGCCTCAAAGCCTTGCTCGACGGGATCTCGGGAGATGTCCAGCGTCTTATAGTCGATGATCGACTTCCACCGATCCAGCCGATCCTTGGCCGTCTCAAAGAAGCCGGACGAGATGTCGGTGTACGTGTAGCTGTGGATCAGGTCCGACGCATCGTCGCCCATGGCCTCAAACAGCGGTAACGTGGCGCTTCCCGTGCCGGCGCCAATCTCTAGGACGTCCATCCCCGGGTTCTTGTTGGTCAGCAGGCGCATGTACTGCACCATTTGCATGTACAGCGGCTTGAACGGCCCTTCTTTGTAGAAGCGCTCCAGCAGGTTATCGGCTACAAGCAGCTCGAGCGGGTTGACGCTGTTTGTCAGGATGTCGGGAAGGTTTCGGCCGATGCGGCCGAGCATTTCGCCCTCGATGCCGGAGTTTGCGGATTTGTCGAGCGTTTGGGCACGCTCCTCATCACTCAGGGATGTGCAGGCGTCGCTGCAAGCATCTGAATGGACAGCGTCGGAAATCCAACGCGAGAATTCACACAGATGGGGTAGCGGGGCGGTCTCGGGGGCCTGGATCATGGGCATGTCCTTGACGTCGCTAAGGTAGATGGCTGTTGCCTTCTCGGTGACGCTGAGTTGTTCGAGGAATGCTGAGCCTTTCGCAACGTGTGGACCAACCAGACGCGCAAAGGAGGACTCGGCGAGGAAATCCGGATCGTCGTTCCAGTACACCTGGTAGTTGTGCTTGCGCTCGAACGGCCGCCGGGACGAGGCTGGACTTGCTTCCTCGCCAACGGCGCGCATCAAGAGACCCCTCACCGAGGACACAAGCGTCAGCTTGCCCGTGACAGAGTCGTGCTGAAACGCCCAGACATTTCCCCTTGCTGCGCTCTTGCCCTGAGGCTTGAGCTCCATGGCAACGAGCATCTCGTCGCCCGGCTTGCTCGAGAGATGACCGTAGAAGACCGACTCCTCAGTGGTGACGGGCATCAGGGGTGCCTTGGTGATTTCCCGGTGGAATATGGCCGGGAGCATGTGGTTGGACGCGTCTAAAGTGGTGGGGTGAATCAGATGCGGCTGGAAATATCCGAAGGGCATCCACTGGCCGATATCCGGAATGTTCAACTTGGACAGGCCAACCCCGGGACCGATGTAAGCCTCGGTCAGAAGGGCAAAGCTGGCTCCCCAGTCGTTGCCCGCCGCTCTCCGGTCATCGTAGAATGTTTCCATATCCATCTTCTCCTGAGCCAGGGATTGGATCCTCTTCAACGCTTCAAACGCCTCTTCGATCGGCGCGTTGTGCTCCTCACCAAGAAAGACGCCGGGAGCCTCGGGCTTCAGAGCAGCACCAGCAGAAGAGTCTAGGTCGACTCGGATCATGCCGGACACATGCTCGGCCCATGTTTGGTCCGGCTGCAGGGAAAGAATTCGCACTGAGTACCAGGGGCTGTTCTCGCTAATCTTGGACGGGCTGAGAATCAGCTGAACTTCGATATCCCCGCCGGGACCGTCGGTTGTCGACTCGACAGGTAGAATGATGGGACGGGCAATGCGCACATCCTTCATGATGGTGCTGGCAATCCTAGCTCCCTCTTGGGGGTTTTGCATCTGAACGAGCTGTTTCATCGCCTCAACACCCATCGTGCTATAGCCCGCGCCCGGAAAGATGACCATGCCGTCAACAACGTGGTCTTTGAGCCAAGGAAGCCTCTGCACATTGATGTGATGCCGCCAGCGGGGCTCGTCGATCGGGCTCATGACGTCGTACACGCCGAGCAGGTCGTGATACGGGAAGCGGCGCAATCGGTGGTCGCGGCTGAGACGGGATTCGGACCAGTGTTTGACGCGATGGTCCCACGGATATGGGGGAAGGTCGCCGATGACTTGCGCGGCCGGTTGATGATGGGTGGTAAACAGACTCTTGAAGTCTACCTTGGCTCCCAGCTCGAACAGCCGGGCGATGGATGCCGAAAATGACTCTGCCGAATTCTTGCCTCTCGACAGCGGAGCCATGTACGCGGACTTGAAACCTGGCATCGTCGAGAGGATCTGGTTGATCGGGCCCTGCAGTGCCGGGTGTGGCCCGATCTCGATCAGGACATTCGCGACATCCTGGGATCCCGTGTCTGCCATGCTCCGGACAAGAGCAGTCATTGCGTCGCTGAAACGGACCTGGGATACGAGATTGTCGACCCAATATGCTGGTCCGAACCCAGAGATCTTCGCATCTCCGGTCACCGACGAATAGAACGTGTCCTCCCGGGCCTCGAAACTGGCGAGTCCTTCGAGTGACTCCAAATAGGAGGCTGCCACTTTCTCCATATGGTGGGAGTGATAGGCTGTTTCGACCTTGAGCTTGCGTGCAAACACGCCCCCCGTAACCAGCATTTCTTGGATGTAGTCGATGGCTGGCTCATCTCCAGAAAGAGTGGTGCTGGCCGGACTGTTGATGCAGGCGATGGTGACGCGGCCCTTCTCGCTGTCAAGGTTGGCGGCCTTGATTGTCTGGAGCGCAGACTGCTCGCCATAGCCCGTGGCCAGCATCGAGCCGGGTAGCGCGTTGAGCTTCCTGGCAACAGAAGAATATCGACCCCGGAAGAACGAGCTGAACGCATTGTCAGTCAGTACTGTCACAGCACATTCTGTGCAAGTCTCTGGCTCCAGTCCACACCTACCACATGATTGCCCCTTCCCTTGTCAGGGCGCCGACGGCGTATGCTGCGGCGATTTCGCCGGAGCTGTGCCCGACGACGGACTTGGGTTGGACGCCATACTCAAGCAGGGTATCAACCAAGGCCATCTGGAGTATCGTCGTTGTGGGTTGCGCCAGAGCGCTCTCATTGATCCGTGACTCGGCCGTCGGTTTGGTCACCTCTTGTACCAAATCCCACTCGCAGCCCAAACCCTTGAGTATTTCAGATGACTTCTGAATGGACTCTTTGAATGTCTGCGAGGAAGAAATCAGCTCGGCACCCATGCCTGCCCATTGTGCGCCCTGGCCGGTAAAGACGAAGGCGATGTTCGCCCGTGGCGCGGCTCGTGTCTTAGAGACCTTGGACTCTTCTAGTGTTGCCGTAAGCTGCGCCAGCTCCGACGCCACAAAGGCTTTCCTCCACTTGAACAGCGACCTGCGACAAGCGAGGGTGTAAGAGAGGTCCCTCAGGTCGGAATCAGCGACAACATTTCGGCCTGCAAGCCACATCCGGATTTGTCCAGGCATGGCATCGAGGGCAGCCTCTGAACTGGCCGACAATGGAAAGATCAGAGGCATACCCGTTTCCAATGCCACATTTTCTTGTTTGGCCTCCGGGGTGCCGTTCGTTCGGGTAAACACTTTGGCAGTGAGGTGAGACACGGCACCGTTGATGCTGGCGGCCCCATTGGTAATGGTCGAGCCTTTATCTGAGATGAACTGCTCCAGGGTTTCCAATATCACATGGCAATTCTGTCCAACAATGTCAGTCGCTTCATGCCTATTAGGCGTGGCTCGGGAGTAATTCAGGAGCAAAAGCGCCGCTTTGGTAACGAGCCGACTCCTGAGACGTCTGGAACGGGGTAAAAAGAGCGCAGATTTGACGTACTGTGCCGCCGTAGCCAAAGGAATTAAGTGACACTCTCAGGGGGGTCGTTTCGCCTTCCGGAACCAGCGGAACAAGCTCCAGGGGTACCTACTGAGTGTGAGCGTGGTGGCCCTGAACCAATTTACAAGCACTACACAGTAACTCACCGAAATCTGTCTCTCGTCCAGTCTAAGGCCTGGCTTGGGTTCAATGAAGTTCAGATTAGGCGGGATCTGTTGCTTCTTGAGCACCAGGACAGCCTTGATTAGCCCGGCGATACCGCTGGCCGCCTCCAAGTGGCCGATGTTGGTCTTGACCGAGCCTACGTAAACGTGCCTCGCCCGGGCCTTTTCACCAAACACGTTTCCGAGAGATTGAATCTCGGCTTGGTCACCGACCTGGGTCCCCGTGCCGTGAGCCTCAACATAAGGCGTCTCGTGCGGGTCCAGACGAGCCGCCGCATATACAGCGCGTATCAAAGCCTCCTGGGCGTCCGGGTTTGGGAGCGTGACTCCGGTTGTCTTTCCGTCTTGGTTGGCTCCCGAGTTTCGAATTACGGCGTGAACTGTGTCACCGTCATGAAGGGCGTCCTTCAACCGCTTGACCACGACAGAGGCAACGCCTTCCCCGCGGCCATACCCGGCTCCTCTGCTGTCAAAGGTGAAGCACTTGCCGTCCGAATTGAGCATACTACAAAAATGATCAGCGTCCATCCAGGCCCAGTAATAAAAGCTAAAATCAGAGCGGGTTGGCACCACTTACCCGCCTGAGCTCATGGACACGTTCTGATCGGGGTGTAATATGATCTCGGTTCCACCGACAATGGCCATCCTAGATTGCCCCGTCCTCAGGGCGATACAGGCTTCATGAAGCGCAACCAAGCTACCAGACTGCCAAGATTTAGCTTTGGGAGACATTGATGGAGCATGCAGTAACTCACGCAGCCGGTGTCAATTGTCATGGAGACACCCCGGAGATCGAAGAAATGCGAGATCCGATTCGCAATGATGGCCTCCCCAGTCCCTCCAATGTGGAATTTGGACAGTGTCTCGAGGTTTTTGTAGCCCATTCGGTCATAGTCGCGGGCAAAAAGCGCGGCAAACACGGCCGTATCAGAGCCTCTAAGGCTCTCGATATTAAGGCCAGCATTTTCCAAGGCTTCGTAGGTTGTCTCCAGGAGGATCCTCTGTTGGGGATCGGTCACGTCGGCCTCGTGTGAGCCGAAGCCGAAGAATCTCGAGTCAAAGTCGGCCACGTCTTGCTTCAAGAAATATCCGCTCTTCGTGTTGTACGCCTGGATGGAGGTGGCATCGGGGTGATAAAAGGCATCGGCATTCCAGCGGTCAGCCGGTACAGTACCCCAGCCCGAGCCGCCCTCGCTCAGCAGCCGCCACAAATCCTCGGGGCTCCCGACGTTGCCGGGTAACCGGCAACCCATGCCAATGATAGCAACGGGCTCAGGGTCTGCCATCGTGGCGGTAATCGAGTCGTGCGAACAGAACGCCGGTCACCGCGGCCAGGTAGAGTAGCAAACTGGATGTGAGGCTGCAAACTAGGCCGTTGCAGATAGATGATATTGAAAAGAATCAAGAGAGAGTCTGGTGCATGGGAGGTTGTCAGCTGAGTCTTAACAGAGCAAAACTGTCGTCAGCTCACCGGGCGTATTTGCGGGCTCCGTCCTAGTAGGGAATGCTTGCTTCCAGCGACAGCAAAACCGTCGTAGCAGAACTTTGGCATGAATCCTGCGGCGTCCATAGAGTGGTAGGGTGGTGAGCCCCCCGGCATTGAGGGCAGTGCATGTTGACATTCGGCTCTTGAGCGTGCGATCGGGCCGCAAGTCCATACGAGGTAGGTCCCAGAATCCGCAGTGACAGCCAATGTGAATCCGAACCCAACATCTGCCTGCGAGTTGAGAGGGTGATGGCCAATGACCAGAGTGCGATCGAGCCCGACCAGACTGAGCCAGACGGGCCTCAAGCCCGTTTTTCCGCATGCCTGAAAGGGACGTGATCCTAAAGGAATGTAATCCTGGAGCATGCGTAAGTCCCCTATAGTACGTACAGAGGTTGTACATGTAGGTTGCGAAGGATGAGTGGTGGTAGCTATAGCTTAGGACGATCGCCCACTGTGGTAGTACTCGCGAGTTAGGTTTGAGGGTGGGGCTTGCTTACGCCCAGATCACCTCCTGGCGGTCTATGGTGGCAGCGACCCACAATACCCCGCAACAGTAAGCTATTCCTAATCCAGGTAACATTGACATCCAATGAGCTTCACCTTCAAACTTCGTCATCTACGATTCCTTGGGATTGTTCCTACAACAATATCGTGGTGATGAGTGATACGAGGGTAAATTTCCTAGGCAGTCGAAAGCCACCCCTCCTTGTCCCGAACAGTTGCTGATCTCACCGCACAGAGTCCGAGACCTCCCACCTCTTCTGGCTTCCACTCCCCGCACGGTGCACCAACCACGGCGAACCTCGCACGCCGAGCATACCACCTACGGCTCCAGAAGGCCAGTCTTCAGCGCGAATGCCGGGCGCGGCGCCTCTCGCAGGTTTGGGGATTGCCTCTTCTGCCTAAAATGCACCGTGCCATACCTCAGCAGCTCCATGAATGTACCGGGGGCCCGATCCATGCCCATGTTCTCGTCTGCGTCCAGCAGCGACCCCAACTGGGGTTTGTGAGTCAGCCCCTTGACGTGGGAAATCTTCCACATGCTGCTGTGAGCCAGCGTCTCCCAAACGACCCGCTCTGCCTCCCGATGGTCGCCATCGTCGTCGTCGTCGTCTCCTACTTGCCCCTCTTGCTTCGTCTCCTTCGCTCCCTTTTGGCGGTTGGCGCTGTCCTGAACCTGCTCACTGCAGCAGCTCTGCCTCCTCACCGACATCGACAATAGACGCAGCATACGCTCCCCGCCGTTCTTGGCAGCCCCGAGCATCTTCATCGGCATGCCGGTCTCGGGCGCATAGTCGAGCAGCAGCATGTGGCGCGTCCAGTACTCGACGCCCGAGAAGCCGTCGCCCGCGTCCTCGAGCAGCGCCAGCCGGTTCCACGCGGCCATTTGCATCGCATAGTCGAGCAGCTCCTGCATGCTGACCTTCCAGTCAAAAATGGCCAGGCCGCCACTCGGCTTTTGCTGCTGCTGTGCCTCGGTTGACGTCTGCGACTGCTCCTGGGTGTTCTTGCTAGCTGCAAACATCCTCGGGAGATAGCTGAACAGAGCGTTGTGCGTGACGCCCCTGTGGTTGTTCCGGTCCTTCCACAGATGCAGGATGAGGTCGTTCAGGCGGCGGATGAAAGGGTTGCTCTTCCTCGCTGCCATGAAATAGTTGAAGATCCACTGATCTCCCCGCAGGACTGTAGCCACCTCGTAAGTCGAGTTTGGGTCACTGATGCAGTCCCAGCAGATGCGATCCATGTGCAGAACCATGATGCTGCCCGTGTCCATCCACTGACTCGGGAGGTTATATGGTCAGCGCTGCCTTCGTGATAGTCTGAGACAGGCATGGCGGTTATGATACTGGAAATAATCACATACCGCCCCGCCGTGCTCGAGGATGGACGCGGTCCTGACAAAGTCGGCGGAGTGCTGCCCGACATAAGGCCCGTCCATCGTTCTGTTGACGAAGCAGTCGGGCAAATTCTGGGCCGATAGGTATCGGAGGGCATAGCTGGGCGAGTCGGGCACGTTGTCTAGGACGCGAATCGTCCAGTCAGGCCCGCAAATGCGCACCCAGTCCACGGCGTTGCGCTGGCACCACGCCGGCATGTTGAGCACGCCGTCGTGCCAAAACGACCAAATGTTCTTCTCCGAGGTGACGGGGACAAACTGGTTTAATGAAGCGAGGATGTGCTCGTCGGTTCGTGTATCATAAACCTCTATAGCCTCCAGTTTGTCGGCATAGCTCTCGGGGATTGGGAAGTCTGCCATCTTCCGTTCTGTGTTGGCCCTTTCCGTTCTTGTTTGTTGAGGATGATATGGATGATATGACGACAGTGACTTGACGAAAGTGGTAGCAATGGGAGGCGGTGCTGACGCTAAGGCAGCCTTTAGTATTCATAGGCATTATACCAAACTGTGTGATTACCTACACTGCGGGCGGACTCGGTTCTTCTGTTGCCAAAGAGGTCGGTGCAGCTACCCCAGGTACCTAGCCCAGCGTTCATATTCCCACAGCCTAATGCAGGTCAGATCCTCGCTGTCAGACGGGCCTGCGGTCCGCTACCGGTGTGATTTGTCGTTGGCCAGGTATTCGGCACCTCGTATTCCGTGGCTTCGGACCATCCTGACATCCTTCTCGTCAACTCCGTCCCCAGCCTGCCTGCTGCAAGGGACACCATGGTGTCCTCATAGTCAGTTGAAGAGCTCACGGTGGGGAACGACTGTTTCCCGTTATTTCTCGTGCTTCCCTTATACTGCTTATTCTACCGGCAAAGTTACTATCACCCGTTCCCAAATATACTCGCTGAGACAGCTACGAACGCGACATCGGCAATTTAGAAATACACTTCATCAATTATGCCGTCAGAGTCGTTACCCGGTGTCGACTGCACAAGAACTGCAACCTCGGAGCCCCAACTGCTCGAGCTCGGCCCGGACCTCACCGTCTACGTCGGTGCCGAGCGCGACGCCCGTTTTATCTACAAGGAGATCTATCAAGACCACTGTTACGACATCGCCCCGTTGCCTTCCAACCCTTGTATGCTACCCTTTCTATTGGAGACCGATTGTTTCCGCCTTTTTGAACCCCCTAGCTACGAGTCTTGATCATGCTTTTGAAGCTGAAAGAAACGAAATTCTAACTCCCGTTCCCTGGCCCACGTGACAACTGACGGATCCCGTCCCGGAGAAAAAGGGCTATTGCTGATTGGCACCTATGGGCACCTTAGTTATCGTCGACGCTGGAGCCAACATTGGGCTCTTTACGCTTTACTTCAAGGCCAAGTACCCCGGTGCCCGCATCCTCGCCTTCGAGCCCGCCCCCCTGATCTTCGACCTTTACCGCCGCAACCTCGCCCTGCACAGCGTGCCCCTGGATGACATCGACGCCCACGCCTGCGCCCTGGGAGCCGAGCCGGCAACGTCAAAAATGCTGACGTACTTCCCCAACGCCCCGGGCAACTCAACCTTTGTGCCGGGCGAAAAGGAACTGCTGCGCAAAGCCCTGCCGGCGGAGCATTACCAACGCATGATCGACCGGTCGAGCGCGGGGGCGACCCAGGTTGGCGTTCCCGTCGAGAGGCTGTCACATTTCCTGGACGGCTACCAGGATTTGGAGCAGATCGACTTCTTGAAAGTGGACGTGGAGAGCTGGGAACTGGACGTTCTGCTGGGCATAGACGACCGGCACTGGGAGATGGTGAGGAATGCCGCAATTGAAGTGTCAGAGTTGAGTGGTCTTCGCCAAGACATTGAAGCCCTGCTGAGAGACAAAGGTTTCTCCGTGAAGAGGGAGCTGGCGGCTTGGAGCTATCAGACGGCACCAACCTATACTCTACTGGCGAGGCGTGACGCGGGCATCAAGCACTGAGCCTTGACGAATGAACCTTCACTCGAGAAGCCAGCTGACGCTGCTACTAAGGCGCATATTATCGTCGTATACATTAGGATAATAGCACTGGAAGGACTGCTATCCATCCCGACTGAATACAGGAAGAGATCTTGATTGCAGGCATCTTGAGCATCTGCGAGCTACTTGTTACTTGCTTAGAACTTCTACCTGAGCTGCGAAACCTCTCAAGGGCCCTATAATACTTACTGTAGGTTTCATTATTTCGACAACTTAGACTCGATTTCGGACGTACGTGATTGAATTGTTCAGATCCAATTCGAGTTCTCACTAAAGCGGTAGACTGAAAGCTGTAACCTAACTTACACAGAATAGGCGCCTTGGAGTAATGGGAGAAAGATGATCTAGCGCACGGCGAAGAACCGGTTTAGGGGCCAAAGAAAGGAGGTCACGGGAAGCACGTTGCCAAGTGGCCCGGGTGAAGAGAAGGGAACGAAAGCAACAGTGCCTACCTACCTGGGCGACATAATGTATAACGTTAAGGTAATTTGGCACCTTGAGTCTGTTATTCCCTGTATGCCTCTCCTGATCTGAGCTATAGTCTTCTCCCGAACTTGGCCGAATCATGGTGGTGGCTGAATCTTCAACAACGAGTGTAATGATCTGGATGCTCGCATTGGGAATATCCCTTGTAATCAGTTTGCTTGTTCGCATCAAGATTGGCTTTGGTTACCCGGAAGACTTGCACCTGCATAAGGTATGTTTCCACACCTCCAAGCACCGCTTGGATGCTCGCATCCAGATTATCCCCACCTAGGGCCCTGGTTGTTACCTCCATTTACCTAGTTTGCGGCGATGCATCTGCTGAAACGACAGAGAGCCGAACTCAGGTTGGTAAGGACCATTAATTAAGTATGCCTTCTTACCACGCTGCGCCATGGTCTGAGCGACCCAGAACAGCGTTACTAGAACCAATTTTGTCCGGTCCATCAATTTGAAGAATGACGAGAGGAAGGGCGCTGAGCGCTGACGAGGTTTCGTCTTGCAATCATCACCCAACTCAAAAGCCCGCGCAGGCGCCAAACCCCCCTTCGACGCATAGAGCCAAGCCCCAAAGGACGCTCATAACGTTAAGGTTATCCACAAGTCTGCAGCTGGAGAGCGCTAATCTTATTTAGGACACCGGCCCGGTTTGACAGGACAGCCGAACACACATACTTACTGTGTAGCTAGAAGAATGCAAACCGACAGATGCTCTAGAATCCTGCATCTAGAGTGGTGGCAACACACGCTAGATGCCGGCTGCCAATAGAGCCGAAAGAGAGCACTGGACTGGTGGAAGAGAAAGGGCAAGCGTCACACCCAGGTTCAATTTCTTTCCCCGCCATCTTGACAGGGTCAAGGGTCTGGATTTTCGCAGACCGGCCCCACAGCGCTAATGTGTGGCTCGCTAGAGTGAAAATGGCATGGCGCGAACGAAGGGAACGCACTCAGGGGCAAACGACCACTTGCATCAAACAGCTGACAACGGAAACAACCATTGACGGCGAGAGGCCCAGAAGAGATTCGGAATATACCAAGACCACGCATGAACGGCGAAAGCGAATCTGATACAGGACAAATGGCGGCAAGAATCGACGAGAAAAAATCTCTCATGGTACGGATGTATAGGGCCCTCTTCGCTTGCGACCGCTCATTTATCTCTGGATCGTTTGGCCCGCGTCAAGGACACGAGCAAACCTGAAGCGTGCCGAGCAAGATAATGCCCGAGCCACCGAAGTCACCAGAATCGAGCTCGTATCACGGAAATCAAGATACTTGTACTCCGTATATATGGGTCATTGATCATTCTTGTAAGAACCGCCGTTCGACTGTGTGCGATCCAGTTTTAATGGAACAGGGGTGAATCTAGGCGTTTGGCTGGACCTGTATACGGAAAGCGCCGAAGGTGCACGCGTGGCGATGGGCTAGGATTTGAAATGGGATGCATCCGCCCGCCCGATAAGAAAGGAGGATTGTCAGCTGGGAGCAACACTGAAAACCACCACTGAAAAATTGAAAGAGTGCAGAATCTCAGGCGGCTGAGTCCAAGGGCCCAATGCCGTTTGTATGATTGCCCCGGGAGACGGGGACTGGAGGCGACCGGAGATGGCATGGCCGGCCCGCTTTGTTGGGCCGTGTTGGGTCGAGTAGCCAACAGATGTCGACATCATTCGCAATCTGTGGCCGCTTCGATGAGACTACCTATCCGTCAAAATCCATATCGTACATTTGGGTTCGCGATTGTTGGCCTGATTGCTGTATGAGGGAGCTCGGCCTTGTCGTCATTTGTCGTGTTAGCTGACAGTCTGTTCATGCTCATCGATCCTTCATGCGCTGTTTCCGCTGCGGAAAAGAGGCTGGCCAAGCCAATGACTTCCTGCTGCGCCCGCAACGAGCTTGCTGGTTCCCACTCTCGCACGGGACGGCGAATGCAGCTCCAGGCGACTTTCGCCCAGATTGGCTAGGGCGCTTGAGGACCCACAGCCTGATATCCCAAGGGCAAGGTATGTACCCAGCTGGGGTCGTGAGGGTGCTGCCCGTGCTCTTTCCTTTTCCCATTTCAGTTGCCAACCGCCCAGGCCCCAGGGGCTCCAGGCCTCTTGCTCTCCTTGCCCAACAAAAGCTTCGTCTGCGATCATTCGGCCTCGACTCACCGCTCCGTAGGAGTGGAACGGTCACAGAAGGAGCTGATCGGCAACGAGGCCAGTCGGGCTTGCGTTTCTCGATTCGTCGGCCCAATACGGATACCTCCCGTCCATTCCTTTTGGTTTCGCTGTCGACCTTGCTCGTCTCCTGCTGGGAAGGGGTCACGGGCCCGCCATTCTCTTCGTCCGACGTTGTCCACCATCGCGTGGCTTCTTATTGATTGAGACATTCAATCACACGTTGTGTGTTCGTTGATGGTCAGTTTCATCCCAACCCCGGTCACAAGCCCCATTGTCCTTTCCCAGCGCGAAACAACTGCTATGCGCCAGCTAGTGCCTAGTCGACCCAACAACTGACTTCTTGCAGGTTACCACAAGATCCTTACGATCATAAATTAGGGTCTTGTTCGCCTCGTCGCCAATTTCAGTGGACAGACCGCCCATAAAGTCATCCGTTGACAACATCTCTACCTACCCACTGATCCCGCCATATAAACGTATTTCCGCCACCTGATTCCGGGCCCTCCTCTCCGCCATGGCTTCAGGTTCGGCTCAGAGCCCGGTCGAAAAGCCGGGCATAACCATTGATACCACAGCAACCCCTCTCTCACTCAAAGCCTCGCAAGACACGCTCACCCAGCCGTTCCCCACGCTCGAAGAGAAGGAGACACGACGGTCCGACATCTCTACACCAGCCACCACGCGCGCTAACCCCTTCGACACCGACATCGAGGCGATGCCCGTCATTTCACACCAGCGCTCGAGCCGGCAATCACCGGAGTGCACCAAGGGGGGAACCGACTGCCACGCATGGCCGGGGAGGGACCACTGGAAGCGGAAGGCCAAGGCGGCCAAAAAGAGCCGGCACAGCTCGTGCAACTGTCTGGCGGGCCTGAGCAAGCGCAACCGCATTATAGTGCGCATTCTCATCATCGTACTTATTGTCGCTATCGCCGTCGGTGTCGGCTTTGGCATCAGCAAGCCGCTTGGGGCTGGGATCTGGCGCAGCGAGACGCAGAACAAATGAGCGTTCTCACTCGCTCGATTTGAAGCCCGAGCCCTCCATGCCTACACGCCGTGATGGTGTTCGTCTAGTGTCGGCTCGCGGTTCCACCTTGTCGAAGTCGGTTTCTCCTGTCCTGCGGGGAGCCATACACAACACAACCTCGTTCTACTGCCACGGCGTCGGCAGAACTCCTCGGTCCAGTTCTTGCATCTTCCAGGAGATATGGGAAGTACGGATTGACGTCCACCGATATAGACACCACACAGCCTAGGATACCGTCACCGGCACATTCCGCATCACTTTCATGCACACTTTTCCTCCGGCGTTACTCCTTCCTCTCCTTCTCCTTTCACTGTTTTCCCTTGGGTCGCGGAGCATTTGGCATGGCGTTAGGAAGGGTTTACACAACATGAGGGGCAGCTTTCTCGGATCCATCCAAAGACCGCCAGGCGTGCAGATGGCGGGACTTAAAGAGGTACATACATACGTAATAATCACAAACAATGGGTTGCGATCATGGGTATTGTGAAAGGTACATACAATTTGGGGTGGAAGCTTTCTGCCTCTGGCTTTCTTGAGGTTACATCATTCCGGCATGCTGCTGCAGCTAGGCGATGTGTTGCTGCTTGGTAGTGCAAGCCGATGAATGAAGACTTTGTTCCCGAGGCTGTGGCAGGTCATGTGTCATCATGGCTCTGTACTGCGACTATTGTTCTTTATCCATCTTCGTGGTCAGTGTGTTACTCTGTTGCATGGTTGTCTCGGAGCCCGTCCCATATGTGCTGAGGCCTGATTGGAGGTGGCGTGTTGCACATGACATGTCACTCATGATAGGCACATATCCCGAGACATTGCTATGGTACAGAGACACAGCCACGATCGTGTTCCGCCCACTGGCGACGGCAAAGAATGAACGGCATGTGCAGAACACAGACGGTTTCCGTGACCCTGAGACCTGTATTGTTGTGTTGCCTCGTGCAAAGGGCAGCACCCGAGTCAACTAGGACCTCGGTCCTTGGTCTGTTCAACGGGATGGGCAGAAGCGCACCACCTGCTCAGTCAGTTCATGGCAACAACCTTGGTACCGAATTAGTTGTCAGGGAGGAGAGGGAGTCTGGGGTTGCCCGTCATCCTCTTCAGGACTGTATTATACAACCCAGCCCTGGTTTGTTCGTTACCATGTTACGGTGACGTTGCAAGCAGAGAAATCAAGCAATAGAAGACGGAAAAGGATGATCAAGAAAGGGGAGATGATATAAATGTTAAGAGAAACAAGAAGAAGAAGAAAAGATTAATTGAAAGGAGAAATGAGAGACAAGAAGAGAAAAAGAAAGATAAAAGGAAGAGGAAAGAAAGGGAAAGGAGGATGAAAAAGAAAGAAGTAGTTAGTTAGAACAAAGTGAGAAAGAGGAAAAGAGGAAAAGAGGAAAAAGAAAGAGGGTAAAGAGTAAGAAGAAGGAAGTAAAAGGAGAAGGGGGAATAATAAAGATAGAAGATGCACTGAACAAATCCTTGGGGCTCGGAGGAATCGTCGGGACTGGCGAACGTTGCTCCGCCGAAGCGTCGGTCGAAGCCACGGGGCAAAGAATTCGGGATTCAAACTAAATCAGCAACGGCTCTACCTAACCTAACACCTCTGACTTCGTTTTCTTCTCTCATTGCTACGGAGTATAATCACAACGGGGCAATAACGATCTCGCAAACGAGACAGAGATGGTCAAAATTGCCATTGTCGGCGGCTCCGGCAGTATGATTCCTACCTGACTCCTCCTGAGCTGCCTAGAATCCAGCACCAGACACTGATCGACGATATTGCGAAACACAGACGTCGGCCAGGAGATCATTGACGCGCTTGTTGCGAGGAATAAGCATGAAATCATCCTTCTCTCTCGGAAGGTAAGTTCTGACCCAAGGCGATGCTCGCTCATAGTGTCGCTCGTTCGTAACCCTAACTCCATGTTCACTTAGGATGCTCCCCCTGAGTACGCGGCCCCTGGAGTGACATGGGTGAAGACAAGCTACGAAGACCCAGAGCAGCTGGTCAAGATCCTTCGAGGAGTCGACACCGTGCTCTCGTTCGTTACGGTGGCCACGGATCCCGGAAACTTGACGCAGAGGAACTTGATCGACGCGGCCGTCCGGGCTGGCGTGAGACGCTTTGCACCGAGTGAATGGGCGGCGTGAGTTTGTTCACATGATGGTGAAAACATGAGGATATTCTGTGCTTACCACAGTCCATACGCTGTTAGGTCGGACTCTGAGGAGAGCATGCCTTGGTACCAGGGGAAGCTCGAGATTCGCAAGTACCTCCGGGAACTCAACAAACAAGGGAAGGTGAGTGTCTGGAAAAGGATTTGAGTGAACCCTATTGACATCACAGTTCCCAGATTCTGGAGTACTCGCTCTTCCAGCCGGGCCTGTTTATGAACTACTTCACGTACCCTTACCCGTCGACCAAACATGTCCAGATGATGCCGACTCCCATCGACTATCACAATTGCCGGGCCCTGATGGTAGAGGGTAGTGATGATGCTCGCGTCAGTCTCATTACCGCCCAAGACCTCGCAACCTTTGTGGTCAGGGCTGTCGAGTATGAAGGGGAGTGGCCGCGTGTCGGCGGCATCAGGGCAAGTGAGCTGATGATTAGGCAAATTGTCCAAGTCGGTGAGAGAGTTCGCGGTATGTCTCTTCTGTCCCCCGGGGGTGTGGCGGCACTGACGTTCTGACTATTTTCGAATTGCTTGCGCTAGGCCGTCCCTTCACCGTAGAGAGTCTGAAGGTAGATGACCTCAAGGCAGGGGTGGTCAAGTCCTCGTGGTTGCCCAAGCCCACCCATCCGTCGCTGACGCCTGAGGAGGCCGACACCCAGGCGGAGGCCATGACAGCGGGCATTCTCTTGGGCCTCGCGGCCGAGGCGCTCAAAGTCTCGGATGAGTGGAACAAGCTGCTGCCCGATTTCGTGTTCACAAAGGCCGAGGACTTTCTGACAGAGGCATGGCGAGGCAAGCCATAGATGGGAGGAACCTGATGGCACCCTATCAACTGTCGACAATAAATCAATCTCCCAAACCCTTACGTTTGTCCCACAACATGGGTCTCGGGAAAACCCTTGCTTCCGTTGAACGTATCGGTCTTTGGATTTGGCGCAGTATTGATTGCTCTCCTAAGTCCAATGTCAGAACGGTTTTCGTTCCCTGCCTCACCCCAAGCTTTTGAAACAATTCCATTATCTCATTAGTCAACTATATGTGTTGACCATTGGGTTCAACCGTGAAGGTGACATTCCAAGGGTTCTGGTCATGGTTCCTTGGAGAAACAATTCTCCGGCTCTCTTATTGGATCTAAGCAATATCTAAAGTACTCAACAAGAGCCAAATCCCATCAGGGGGACGCCTTGTGCTGGGGACGGCGAAAAAGGTCTGGTAGGACAATGCTGACTAAGGTAGGCAACAGTCGCATCACCGGCGGTTGGCACTGGCAGCAACGGCTCGTCCGCCGAGTCTCGGCGAAGTCTTAGACTGGATCCCAGCATCCTACCAATTCCAAACTTCATCAGCCGGCAACTCCGGTCTCTTCCACCCTGCAGGCCCAGTGAAACAGCAACCCTTTCCTTGAAGCTCCACATGCTTTTTACAGCCCGCATTCCTTGATCCTATCGCTGGATGGCGGAAACCAGTCCCATCCCCCCAGAGTCCCCATCGGCGGGCGACCAGTCCGAACGGCCGAGGAAAAGGCTCCGCAAAGGCACCAGGAGTTGCTGGGAGTGCAAGCGGCGAAAAGTCGGCTGCATACTGGAAACCCCTACCAGTGCCGTCTGCAACGATTGCAGGCGCCGTGGGACGGCCTGCGTGAGCCAAGAGTTCCCTGACCCCCCTGCGGGCACTGGCAGCAGACAGCGGGCGGTTGAGGATAGGCTGGGCCGCTTGGAAGCCCTCGTCGAGCACCTGGTCAACAAACCGAGCAACGATGCAGCCAGAACCTCTGGTGACTTCTACGGTCTGTCACGTCGAGACGGGGAGAGGGAGCTAATAGCAGTACCCTCCCCCAGGCCAATCACTCCAATCCCAGGCCCGGTGCCTACTTTGGCATCTTCCAAGTACGACGAACTGTCCCAGAAACTTTCTGCTGCGTGGCCTAGCCAGCACGACCTCGATGTGCTCCTGGACATTCCGGACGGTACTAAAGGCTTCCACCTCTACAAAGGAGGCTGTCTGGCGTGTGATGGCGTCGTACGGCCCCGTGGCATCCTCCGGTTGCCACCGCCCGGTTCCCATCCCGTTCTGGTCGCTCGCAAGCTTCTGCTCCTGAGCATTTTCCTTCAGGGGGCAATGTCCAGCCCGGCCCAGGAGGCCACGGGCGTGAAACCGGACTGGCACGCCATCATGGCGCGGGTAGTGGACGCCGCTAGGCTGGTAACGGCCAACGATGATCTCGCCGGCTCCGTCGAGGGGATAGAATGTCTCCTCATGGAGAGCATGTACCACGACGCCGTTGGGAATCTCCACCGCGCGTTCTTGGCCATACGCCGGGCAATAACTATGGCACAGATGATGGGACTACACCGAGGCAACAGGGCCCCCAACTCGAGCGAGATCGACCCGCGACAGTTGTGGTTCCGCCTGACTCAGGCCGATCGCTACATCTCTCTCGTGCTGGGCCTGCCCCAGGGCTCGTGCGATGATGTCTTTGCCACGCCCAAGGCTCTCGAGGACTTCCCACCGCACGCGGCCGAGCGAATGCGACGACTCGACGTCCTAGCAGCCGGGCTCATCTTGCAGCGCAACGTGTCCGACATGTACAACTCGGGTGTCACACGCGAGATCGACAAGTTGCTTCGAAAGTCGGCTGCCGGGTTGCCGTCTCCGTGGTGGCGACCCGCCAACCTTGCCGTGTTCCGCTCTAGCCGCGACGCCCCGGGAGTTTTTGAGGAGGTAATACGCCTAATGGACCAGTTTGTCCACTATCACCTGTTGGCGCAACTGCACTTACCATACCTCCTCTGTTCCCCCGCGAACGCCAAGGACGACGACAACAATCAGTCCATGTACAGCAAGATCACAGCCGCCAACGCCTGCCGCGAGCTTTTGACCCGCTTCGTATCTTTTCACCAGGCCAGTCCAACCGCCCACTACTGCCGCGGCGTCGATTTCCTGGCGTTCTTCGCCACGTCGACGCTGTGCCTCGCTCATCTCGAGGCTTCCCGCCAGAGTCAAACCACGGTTGCGGCAGACGAGGACAGTGAGGCCAACCACAACAGTCTGGCTTTCCTCATCCACCAGCGACCGGGCAATCGTAACTTGATGGAGCAGGCTGCCGCCGGCCTCGACGAGATCGCGGGCGTGACCCAAGATGCAGACGTCTCCAAAATGGGCATCCTCCTCGGGCAGTTGCTCGTCATGGAGGACGACGCCTCCAGCCGCGGCGGGAGCTATTACATCACCGGCTTTCTCGGCCCAATCTCCCCCCCGGTAGCTCTGGGGCCTGGGAATGAGGGCATTGAGGTCGGCGAGGCGAGCGACGACGGGAATAGTCTGCGCATCTTCATCCCGCACTTTGGTGGCATTGAAGTGAAGCGTGCTGCGCAGGAGGAAGAAGGGCAGTTGGCAGCATTTCCCGAAGCGGCGGACGACGGTGTGGAGGAATGGGCTTTGCCTGGTGTAGACCTGGCCTTCGACAATCTCATTCAGGGGTTGGAAGAAGCTGATGGCGGCACCACGGAGCTGTGGACGGGGGGTGAGCAGCGATGCATCTGATAATCCCGGCAGTTGAACTACCCTGGCCTGAGCTGCGGCTGAGGCAGAACTAATCTCGCTTCAGAGTAGCCGCATGAACCAAGCACTGATGTGACAAGCTGTCCAGGCATAATTAGATCAACTGGAAACCCAGGCAGTCGGGTGTCTAAACGATGAACTTAGGTACCTAATATCTTTTCTCGAGTTCGGTCGTTACCTGGTAACCAAGCATCAGCACCCTGACCTGATCCAACCTCGAATTCGTTCTCGAACGCGTCGAAGGTCAGTTACATGTGAAAACCCTCAGACTCTCAGCTTAGCTCCGCACTATTACAGCAACTATTGACAGCCGCACCGCATACTTCCAGGCTGATTCCATCTACAGTCACATCCTAAAATCTGGCCTGGGTCCTGCGCTGGACGACTGCTCTTTTTAGGCCAGTCGACAAACACACACACACACACACACACACACACACAAAAAAAAAAAAAATGAGCGGCCCAGACGGCCACGAACTTCCCATTCCCAACATCCCATTTCACGTCTACGTCATCTCGGGCTTGTTGGTCGCCACCCTGCTAGGAACTCAACTACTGGGGATCTGGCTGACCGGGTTCAAAAAACCCGTGCCGCTGCGGAGCAACGGGCTTGGGCCTGTTTGGGGTAAGGCCCTGAGGTGATGGCCATGTGAGAAGATTTGGGGTATCCATGGAAGGGGAAGAAGGGGAGGGGGAGATCGGGGAAGCTTTCGAGTAACAATGTTGCCGCTCACCTGACTTTAGACATGAACGTGAAAATGGGAGCAAGATTTTGGCATACCGTCAGGCATCTAAGTAACTCCTTCCACTTTCATACCACAATACGTGCTAGGAACATGATGTTTGCTAGAGAATATCATGACTAGAAGATCCGAATATTAGATAGATTCTATTGATGTATAATTCACTATCAGTGAGTCTTTCTTGTTCCTGATATTTTTTCGCTTGGTTGATGCTGTTTGATAACCTTAATATCAGGTAGTTATAGTGTATTTCGGGTCTTAGTTCCGTAAAGGGAGCACGTCTTCGGGAAACACGGTTACTCGAAAGCTTCCCCTCCCCCCTCTCACCCTCTTTTCCAGACGGATTATTGCATGAAGTTTTAGTATAGGGGTGTGGTATGGGTGCTGGAAGATGAAGCATTGTCCTTTAGAACCTGAATAGCTGTACAATTACTGGTAACGTTATGCTGAGCATCCACTGTCTTGGTCTCAAAACGCAAGTCAGACATGTTATGCTCTCTCACATGCACTTCACGTTGCGCTTGTGTAAGCTGTCAACTGGTGCAGTGGAAGACCAGGATCATCACCATGTAGGTGGAGCGTTTTAGGTTGTTCATCTTCATTCATCTACAAAAACATGAAAAAGTCTCCTTGCTGAGGCATCTGGACGCCTCCCTTCCTGTCCCCACCGCCCGTATCTGATATTGACATACAAGAAACCGCCAATTTAATGAAATTCAAAAGAAGAGACAGCCAAAGAAACTGAAAACTTGCTAAGAGGATCTCATGGAGTAGGGCAAGATCGGTCAGATGTTGGTGATGAGTCTATGGAACCGTAGGTGGCCGAGGACGGCCACGGACTTGTTCCGTCGGATTTGTTGATACTCGAACTCCCCGTCTCCGAGCCGAGGATGGTAGAGTCTGGAGATAACAGCAGGGTTGTCTGTGCCGATTGCACGTCCTTGCCGTTGGTGTTCTCGCCGACAGGCCGCCGTTCGCCCCAGTATACCGCGCAGATCATGGCGAGGCAAAAGATTAAGAAGGCAATCATGATGCATTCTTGCTGTTCCAGGATGGGAATCTGGACGTCGCCCTGCGGAGGCGACTGAGTTGGGGCCATGGCGCTGGTTGAGACGCCCAGTTGGGGATGTGGTCTGGCGAAGAATCCGGTGATGACCTTTGGAACCTGACTATCTGGCTGTCGAGCTTCCTTGCTGCTGCCTGTAGAGACAGTTAGTGAGAATGGTCACCTTTTTTTAAGAGCAAGGGTGACTTGACCGACCTGTCCGGGGGCCTGGCCAGGTTGCTGGTGATGAAGCCTTTCAAATCAGCCCCGCGAGTTGCGATTGTGCCTGAGATGAAGAGCTTGTTGGATGCGCAAAGAAACGAGGGGATTCGGGCCTTGTTGATCACAACAATGATGCCGTGTGGTCAAAAATAATTGTTTCACTTCAAATTACGAACAATAGATATGTTTGAAAAAAGAATGAATCTAAGTGAGGGCAACCAAACGATTTAAGAGGAGGCTGCAAGCATGGCCACATATCGTGAGGCTCAACCCCGCCCAGTCGAGGTGCAAGAACTGAAGAATGGCGGAGAAGCAGATCACACAAGGCAGCGGCGGTGCGCCAAGTGCACCGGGCACCCAGGGAACTGCGCAATGTGCTCGTTCTCGTCGCGTTCACAGCTCAGTCGTGGCCCGAAAAAAAATATAAAAGGAAGGGGGAAGTCGATCTCTCTTGGCCGAAGATTGTTGATCGGTTGGCTCCACTTGTTGACGGCGAAAGATTTTAGCGCCGAGCCTGGCTGAGTCGAGCGTAGGCTCTTCCTGCTGGGGTTTGTCGCGTCGTGTCGTTGGCGCAGCACACTCTGGGCTGATTGGCCTGCAGTGGCTGACTCAGGTTCCCGACAAGCGAGTGTAGACGGAGGGAAACTGTGGATGGAGCACTGGAGTTTTCCAGTGGCTTAATTCTGTGGTGAGGACGGCATAGAACGGCATAGGATCGACTTCACTTGCGACCGATCCACGAGCAGGGCGGGCACATCAGCATGCATAGGAAAAGCTTCGCGTCTTAATTAAGGTGCATCCCATTGTACTGATGTCAGGGAGCACACCGAGTTTTGACTCCATACTATGGTCCCATCGTATGATAGTATGTAATAGCAGCCGATGGACGCTACTGCCGCGCTGCTCAATACACTCTCTGCCTCCTAAAGTAAAGCACGTAGGGGAGCCTCAAACTCCATGCCAATATCGGTCTCCCTCATAATTCGCCGGCAGCTCCGGTGCGAGAGCAGGAGCCATTTTCCCTCCCTGAATACCTAACCCTGTCACCGACCTATAATTCTCCTCTCCGTCCCACCTTCTGCCTCTACTGTCCCCAGACCTCATCAACTCATGCGCCTCATACCTCCCAATTCCATACGGAGCATACCCCAGCTCTTGCTGGTGCTGCTGCTCCCCCAACCCACCACCACGAACCTGACCTTGAGTGCCACTGCCCTCCCCCAGCTCAGCAAACCCCCCATTCATGTGGTAGTTAGCATCCATGATGGGCCCCCGCACAACAACAACCTCTCTCCCCTTCCCCTTGGCCTCCCTCTGTTGCCGCGCCTTCTCTGCCCTCGCCTTGACCCGGGCCACAAACAGCCACCAGCAGGCGGCAAACACGGCGAAAAAAAGGACCACCCCGCCAGCGACCGAGGGCACGGCAATCTTGACCAGGTTGAAGTTATTGTTGTTGTCGTTGCTACTTCCTAGACCAATGATATCGGATCCCTCGGTGCTGGTGGAGATTGAGGGGGAGTGAGATGTGCTAACTGGGCTTGATAAGGGGAGCCTGTGAGTTGTGAAGGTCTTATTAGGCGGCGTTGTTAGGGGCTGGGAGGTACCAACGGTCGAAGATGAAATAAAGAGAGGCCCAAGGGGGGTTGATGATGATGATGATGATGATGATGGCGCTGGCTTCGTGGTCACAGCCGGCAAATCGAATTGAGTATTTCCGTCCGGCTCAGGGGCCAATGTCTCTATCGGTGTCGAAATAGGAGGCGGCAGCGGCGCATCAGAGGTCGAAGCCGGGTCTGGGGAGTCACTTAATGGTGGCGGAGGAGATGGACTGGGTGAGATCAGAGGGGATGCTGGAGGAAGCAGAGAGGAAGGAACGCCATAAGGTGAGTCCTTGGGTGATCTGCGCTCTGAGACCGTCATCACTTCCCTGAGCAAACAAGCAGCGCACGCCCAAGTTAGTCAGTGTTGTTGATGTACGTTGTCTGTTGGCTTTTCGTAAGAGACGCCTCGACAAGGGCCGTTGAAAACCGGTTTACGCCTTATGGATCGCAAGAGGCCTTAACGTGTAGTTGTCGGGTTGAATATCTGTTATTTGCTTCCTGACTTGACACATCGGTGCGTAGTCTTGACGTTGGACCGAGATTCTCTGCAGCACCAGAAAACGGTTGGTGAAGTGGCACATTATGTTCCAAGTGTAGGACCACTCGAGGGACACAATAAGGCTTTATACAAAGAAGCAGCAAGAAACACGTGGTAGCTCGGCACACCACCTTCTTTCGCGCACGAGATTACATTCTTTGTGAGGTAAAAAGGTCAAGCCCCGGAGTTGAACTACACCTGACCATGCCTGGTGAGACCAAGTTGGGATGGGACTGAACCCCGACAGAAACCAGCCTTGGGTGTTGTTATAAGTAATACATATAAGCCAACCAGACTGCCCATCAGTTTCTGCATGTCGACATGTCAAGCGTCCTCTTGACGTCGCTCACACTCGTTGTCACACCCCCCTAACTAACCCCTTTCTCATTCCCCCGCCAACCAAGCCAAGCATCACGCATGACTAGAGCTAACGGAACATCAAGATGTAACCCATTCAGTGACAATGAAACGAGACAGGATACTTTTATCAAACCCGCTGACTGCAGTGTTCAGCCACTGCCCGCCAGAGCAGCCACCCAAGCTGTCTGTTTATGCCTACATATATATACACGCTCGTCTTTGAGACAGCACCATCGACAACCCTCCACCGGAGGTGCCACCAAAACCGGCTAAATAAATGCTACGAATAACTCGTCTGCCCAGTACGTATGCACCGCACCAAGTCCATATCCACAAATCCCACCTTTCTCTTTTCCTTTCAACTCAGCAGTCCCGAGTCCACATACAACTCTCTTGAAAAGCATTCTCACAAAAGGTTCCTTTACGAACCCTCATTAGTAGCTGCGGTCCTGTTCCCACTCCCACTCCCACTCTGCTCACCTCCATTACCACCACCCTCCCTTTCCTCCTCATCAACATCCACAAGCTGCTTCCCCTTCCACGCCTTCTTCGCCGCAGCCGCCAGCGCCGCATAATCCCCGCTCATCTCACACATCCCCCTAAACACCCCGCCACCCTTCTTCATCAGCTCCCACGGATGCCCGTACTCGACAATCCGCCCCTTGTCCAGCACCAGCACCTTGTCATAGTCCACAATCGTTTGCAGCCGGTGCGCGATCGTGATGATGGTGCTCGTCAGCTCGCGGATCGTCTCCTGGATCGCCGAGTCGGTCGCGTAGTCGATCGAGGCCGTCGCCTCGTCCATGACCAGCACGCTCGGCTTCTTGAGCATGGCTCGCGCTAGGCAGAGGAGCTGGCGCTGACCCTGCGAGAGGTTGTTGCCTGACTCGGAGACGGGAGAGGAGAGGTCGAGGAAAATGTTCTTGTTCGTTACCGAGGGGGGGCGGGATTGTTGTTGCTGTTGTTGACCATGTTGATCTTGGCTCTGTATGGCGGCAACATTGTCGGCGGCGGTCGTGGCCTCGGGCAGCAGAGCCATAGGCGGGTTTGTGGCGGCTGTGAGCTCGTCAGGCTGAATGAGATGGACACGACGCAGCGCGTTGAAGATCTGCTCGTCGGTGTACAAGTCAAAGGGGTCGAGGTTGGTGCGTATGGTGCCAGTGAAAAGCGTGGGCTCTTGAGGCACGATCGTGATGGCCTCGCGCAGGTCACGAAGACCGATCTGGCTAATGTCAATATCGTCGATAAGAATCTTGCCTTCGTCCGCCTCCAGAGCCCGGAAGATGGCCAGCGTGAGCGAACTCTTGCCGGCGCCGGTCCGCCCCACAATGCCAACCTTCTCGTGTGCCTCAATCCTGAATGTGAGATTCCTCAAGACAGGCTCCAGTTCCTTGCGGTACCGCGTGGTATAGTTGATGAACTCGACCGTCCCCTTGGCGGGCCAGTTCTCGGGCGCCCGGTTCTTCTCAACAATGGCTGCCGCCTCTTGCTCCACTTCCAGATACTCCTTGATGCGCTCGACCGAATTCATGTTTTGCTCGTTCATGGCATACAAACGAACCAGCCAGAGGATATTGTCCGCGAAGCCAATGGCATAGCTGAGCGAGATGCCGGCCGAGCCCGCGTCGATCTTGCCGAGGCTGAGGATGACAAATACCCCCGCAAAGAAGGCGACAAAGTCACCGAGCAAGTCGGTCCTGAATGCGAGCCATCTGTTAGCAGCCCACAGATATATGAAGGGCCGCAACTGAGTGTTAATCCGGGCCAGGTTATCGCGAATGAAGCGTCTTTCATCGCCATACGCGCGGATGGTGGTGACTCCAGTCAGCGTTTCGCCGAACTGCTGGAAGAGAGGGCTCCTCTCCACCGATTCCAATCGCTTCAGATCTCGGGACGCGTGGAGGTAAAATTGCCCAAGGAACACGTATGCCAGTGTGATGAAGATGCCGGCGATTAGAAAACCAGGGGTAATGTAGGCAATGAGAACGACAGTTACGACGATGCCCAACGCACACGACATGACTCCAATGGCAATGGGCGCAACCTCCTGATCGACTGCCTCGAGATCCTTGCTGAAGCGGTTCATGATCTGGCCCATGGGCGTGATATCGAAGAACTTGAACCTGGCACCGGCCACGGCAGCCATCAGGCGGTTATGTAGCTTCCACGACGCAGTGAGAGAGCCGAAGAAGATCCAGAGATCCCTGACAAGAGCGGCTACCGCGCCAGCTATGCCAATAATTGCCAACACTGTCAGGTAGTAGGTGACGTTCACTTCGTGCGCCTGGGCGGCGGAAATGATCGTCGTGTTGCCCTGAGCGTGGTTCGCAATCAAGGCAAAATACGTTGGGGATAGAGTCTGGACCGAGTAGGTTTGCGATTTCATGTTGAACTCGATCTTAACCGTCTCTTCGGCGGCGTACTGATTGGACCACTCCTTGACCCAGAGGCTGGAAGCAACGCCAGAGAGCTGCTGTGCCCCGAAGACAAGACACGCGATAACCCAAAACCACCAACTTCCCATAGACCGCAGGTAGAGCTTCATGACGGGCCACTGCACGGCGCCTACCGCCTTGTGCTCCTCCATCGCGTCCTGCTGCTTGATCCCCTTTTTCTTGGCTGCCTCGTCCCTCGTCTTCTGCTGGCTGCCATCCGCTTCGTTGACCAGAGTGTCACCACTCTCCTCGCCAACACTCGAGGGGACGCGGGAGGGTACCCTCGAGATGTGGGCGGAGCCAGGAGCAGACCTCTGAACGGCGGCATCCTCTGGAAGGTTCCCAGTAGCGATGAGCTCTTGCGGTGTTCCCTTACCAGTGACACGTCCGTTGGCCATGGTCACCACATAATCCGCCGGGGGGACGCAGAGCGGAATGTTATGCGAGACGAGAATGCATGTCCGGTGACGCATGAGGGGCCCCATGATGCAATTGTTGAAGATCCACTGGGCGGTATGAGAGTCAACAGCACTGAGACAGTCGTCCATGAGCAAGTGCTTCGAGTTGGAGTAGACGGCTCTTGCCAGCGAGATGCGTTGCTTTTGACCGCCGGAGAGCGTGATCCCCTTCTCGCCGACTAGGGTTTCGTCACCGTTTTCGAGAATCTCCAGATCGCGCTCCAAGGCGCAGGCCACAATGACATCGCGGTATCTCTGCTCATCAAATGGAGCCGAAAACAGAATGTTGTCCTTGATGCTGGCATTGACAAGCCAGGCCTGCTGGGCGACATAGGCGCACGTCTCCGCGAGCCCCGTCTCCGGGTCGGGGTGAACATCTTCGCGGCTGCGGCCACCTGGCAGGTAGACGCGGCCCTTCATGATGGTCATCTCTCCAAGCAGCGCCATCAACATGGAGGTCTTTCCAGATCCTGTAGGGCCCGTAATGACGTTGAGTTTGCCAATTTTGAAGTCCACATCGAGATCAAGCAAGCGGAAAGCCATGGACCCGTCCTCCGCAACGGTCGACTTGCTCCCCCAAACGAACGTCGCGTTTCGGAACCCGATCACCCGGTTACCGTTCTCATCGACGTTGTCGATTCCCAGTTGGGCAAACTTTTCGGTCTCCTCCTCGGATAAAAACTCCTCAATACGGTCGATCGACACTTGAGACTCCTGAACATGGGCAATCATGTCGCCCAACTGGTCGAGGGGGTACCGAAGCAGCATGAAGAGGGAGATGGCAGTAAAGGCGACGGACGGATACAGCGGCTTCTTCTCAACGATTGTGTAAATGAGGAAGGAGAAGAATGTGATCAAGATTGGCACGGTATTCCAAACGGCAACGGCAGCAGCCCAGATCATGAACCTCCGCCGCAAAGCCTTGAGCTCAGCGCGCCGCTTCTCGTCGACGATGGTTGCGAAGCGATGCTCCCAGGCGAAGTACTTGATGATTCTGATGTTCTGCAGGATCTCATTGGTGGTGTGGATACGCTTGTCAGTAGCAGCCATGATCCTCTTCTGGCTTGAGTTGAAGCCTTTTCCGAAGGCGATGTTGACTGGCAGTAGCAGGGCCATAACGACGAAACCAGGGATGGCACTCAAACCCATGACCTGATACAGCAGAATGATAGAGACAAGGAGCTGTGTGGGAGCTGCCGCGATGAGAAAGTGGAGGTACGAGGTGACCTCCGAGACCTTGAAACTGTCGACCGACATCAGGTTGATGATGGTGCCCAGATTCGCTTGCTCGTCTGATTCGCCCGTCATGTCCTTTTTATCCGCTCCGACTGTCGCCCGGTCCCTACCAGTCTGGTTGTCCTTGGAACGCTTCTCAAGGCCCAAGAGGCGTTTGGTCTTGGCGATGATGCCTCCCTTCGCGCCCTCAGCGTCAAAGTCTTTCTTCTTGTCGGCCGCCGCCCCGAGAGTGGTGTCTTTGCCGGCCGCCGCCTTTCTGCGGAGCGCCTTGGCATATATCTCGCCCACCAAGATAGCCCGGATGTTGATGCAGATCTTGCGGCCGATCCACAGAGCTTGACCGTCGCACACAGAGCGGAGGATATCCGTCACGGGAAGGAGGATAACGTAGAGCCACAGCACGTTCCTAGGAGCCATGGCGGGGTCCTCGACGTATTGGAGGATGGCGCGAAGGAGCAGGGTGGGTGCAAAGGTGAGGACACCGGCCCCAACAGCCCAGAGGGCTTGCGCTAACAACAAGCCCTTGAAGTACCTCACGAGGTGGAAAGCCAGAGAGCTGGTTTTTCTGAACTGGCGGTAACTGGCCAAAACGGCAGCGGCCTTGTCCTTGGGAAGCAAGTTCCACACCCTCTTGATAGTCAAGGGCTCCTTCCAGCCAGACAGGACGATGGCGTCGACCCATGAGAACGTGTAGTGTGAGAAGAGGGACGCCAGATTCTCCCGTGCGGGCTCGATACCGTCCTCCCACTCCAACAAGATGGTCTTGTTGCCCTTGCGGGTGCTAATTGCCATGCCGAATAGCAGCGACGTCAACGCAAACTCGACGATGACCAAGGTTTGTGTCAGCTGGGAACTCGGATGGATCAAGACGGAGCGGAAAACGACCACGATGAAGAGCCATTGGAAGCCGTATATGGCGGCCGTGTGGTTCCATATCCGCGGGACGCGCCATGGTGTGTTGCCCAAGAATAGTCGAAGCGAAGTTAGGACCAGGACGTAGATCCAAACGGTCAAGCCGGCGATAGCAGCAATTCCTCCCCATTCCCTGCCGTAGGCACCGGTGGCCAGCGCGATGGCATTGACGGCAACCAGACCCGCAACAGCAAGTTCCTCGACCAGGACGGACAGCGTCTGAGCGGGGGGCACGTCGGCTTGCACGATGGAACCCCTCGTCGTGGTTTTGTAAAGCGCAAGACGGCCCCCGCCAATGGTCAGGTCCTCCTCATCTTCAGACTCGCTAACGGGCTCCTCGTCGCGGGGCAATTCGGTATGAGTATGTGGGGATAGCGTAGTTGGCCCCCCGCCGATGCGCTCGTACCCTCGGCCGTTTTTTAGCCAGACAGCTCGCACGATGTTTTGGGCGGCGAGTTGAAGGATCGACAGGCTGACCACAGCCAATGGCAGCAAGACCTTGAGGTAGCTGTGTTTCGGTTGCTTATTAGTCCAATGGTTCACACAGGGACTATGGCGTCACAAAGTCAGAGCAACCGCCCGGGGGTGCTTTTGCTTACTCTTGCTGGAAACAACGGGTGAAGTCATCGGTCTGCCATATTGGCCATGGACACGAAGCGAAACCCGTTTCGCCCGCGTCGTCGAGACGCATGGCGCAACGACTCGCGAGTCTCGGCTGCTGGTAAAGTAAACTGGGACAGCGAACGAGGCAGGCCGGAGAAAGGGCGACGCGAGGCACGGTTTGGGGGCGATAGAAGAATGCGGCAGCCGCCCAAATAAAGTAAAAGAAGCAGAGAATATCGAGTTCCGACCTGCGTCTCTGAGCCGGCCGGTTCTAACTGGCTCTAGTTGCTGCAATTGTGGTTGCCCTTTCGTCGTGTGGGCACGCTAAAGTTTGCTGGAGTCGGATATTTCTCTTTGGGAGCCTCCAAACTTTGAGTGTGTGGGTCGGAAGCATGAACTTAACGGCGGGAATAAGCACTAAGCAAGGTTCTGAAGGTGGGGTTTCCAGGGCGCTGAATGCTCCGCTTATAGCTTCGAGCTGAGAAGCTATTTGTGGTTCTAGCCCGACGTTCATCCCTAGCTGCTCGCCGGCTCAGACGGCAGAAGCACAATGTGGTTGTTGGTATCAGCTTGCGGTGTATAACAATTGAGGCTGCGGCCCAGATAGCTGAATGTAAGCGGTCCGAATGAAGCTCAAAAAGGATACCTTTCGACGCTGCCTGCCCGCAGCTTCCAAAGGCCCCGGTTCATCAAGCTGAGTTGCAGTGTGAGACCCAGAAGGTGGGGAGCTCGAAATTTGGCTGGTCGATGATGTCAGCTGCCCAACAACAAAGAATTTGGGTCTATCAATCCACTTCCACCACTACGAACATCATGGCCGGGCCGCCCGATGACCGGGCAGTGCTCTGCCATATGCGCGGAAGTCTGTAAATTGAGGCAGGACATCAACAACCCGTCACAATCCATATCTCCGCGACATTCGGATGCATCGCAGCTGCTCCCGCTGCACGTCAGTGGGGTAACAAGCAGCGGATCCCTTCACTGATTGTCCACTCAGGACCTTCCTATTTCATCAACACCTCGGTAAACGATCGTATCTTTAGAGGTGGGCAAGGAATCGACGGGTACAAGCAATGATCGGTGGGCCACCCCGAAGAGACGAATAGATAAGAATGAGGGTCGCATGCAGAGGGATCTGGAATACGGTTGTAATGATAGCTCGAGTACAGTCGGGCTTCACCCATCAGAAACAGTAACGTGGAATGGCACACGTTGATTTTGCCTTAGTTATCGGCAAGTGTACGATGCAACGGAGATCCAGATTGGGCAAGTCGTTCTCTTAGACTGTGGTGATGCGACTGCGGCCTCGACTGAAAATGGCGACCAGCGACTTCGGCCTGCTTCGTCACCTGCCAAATTGTCTTTCCGACAGAATCTGGAGAGTCTGCGCAACCGCGTGCTCGGTCTCTAGCTGATAAACTTGTACAAGTACTTGTACATCGCTAGGGCAATTTTATTACAAGAGGTAGTCGAGGGGATGATGTTGACATAAGTAAGATCATTTTCGTTTGCACGAACAGCCGAGCCTGAACGGGGGTACTTGCGCGCTTGCTGCTTGTGACGAGGTGCGCTGCTCCTTCCTCGACCTGGACTTGCAGCCTTCCAAGGTCCATCACATCAAGGCAGCCACATCTTGGAGGTGCCAGGGCCTAGGGAATCCAAACCGACCGAGCAGAATCGAGCGATCAAGTTGCGTATGGGAACCTCGCTGTATGACACAGTCGGAGGGGGGCGATGCCGCCAGGCGCAAGCACGCACCTTAGCTCGGCACGAAGACGGATTGCCAAGCCCGACCTCAAACGTCCAGCCCATTGTGACGGTCGGATGGTATTAACAACCGCCAGAGGGAGACACCTGAGCGCCTGAGCCTCCCTACTTTACTATTGAGAACCTGCCAAATCGACTGCCCGCCTGGATGCCAAAAAAAAAAAAAATCCCGCCCGCTTTTGGGAAGCCTCCTTTTATGGTTCTGCTCCGTTGGTACAATACAGGACAGCGTTGCTTCACTCTCCAGACAATTTACAGAGTAAGTAATCGACACGACAGAAGACCGGATGAGGAATCCCGACCGGAAAGAACACGTGGTTGGGTAATGCAACTCGCTGCCAAAGGGGTGTTACTGTCCTCAGCCCATGATCATACCCTTCATGCCCGCAAGATCGCCCTCTTTGGCAGCGATTTCGAAGTAGCCGTAGATAATCCTATGTGAATTAGCAACTGATACCGATCAATGTTGTGGCGAGGCGTAACTTACGTAACGGCGAGGAGAGTACCAGTGCCGGAGCCGAGCGCGCCCATGAGGTCGCTGGCAACAGAGAGCGCACCGATGCAGGCGCCACCAAAAGCAGCAGCAGTGGGAATAATGCGCTTAAGCTCCTTGTACATGCTCTGCTCACGGTGGCCGGCCATGACGAGACCCTGATCCTTGAGCTGCTTTGCGACGTCACGTGGGCTGGAGCCGGATACCTCAATCCACGTCTTGGAGAAGATAGCGCAGGCCGTCAGCATGTATGCGATGTAGACTGCCGTGTGGATGGGGTCCAACATGGCATCCTTGAAATTGAGAGGCGGTGACATGTAGTAGACGAGACCAGAGACGGCCGAGAGCTGTGACGAGCCTTCCTTGGCCTCCCAGACACCAAAAAGGCGAACCAGGAGGTTCTCAGAGAAGCGCGAGTACAGCATCTGGCTGATCAGGAAGATGTTGGACGACAAGGTCGACTGCAGCATGATGGGCATGTTGGACGTGTAGAACAGGCGGACGGGGTACGAGCCACGAGCACCACGCTGGCGCGACGACTTGACGGGGATCTCGACGCGGAAGCCCTGAAGGTAGATGACGGCGGCGAAGACGATGAGCGTGGCCAGCAGGTTCATGATGTTGGGCAGGTTCTGGCGGTAGAAGGCCTCCTGGAGAGCCCGCTGCTTATTGGGCCAGGTCATGAGCAGGTGGAAGAGGGCGATGACGGCACCCTCGTACTCGGGGCCACGGCCGGTATTGATCGAGGTCGGGGAGAAGGCCTTCCACATGATGGACTCGCAGATGTTGGTGGCGATGAACAGCGAGATACCACTGCCAAGACCATAGCCCTTCTGGAGGAGCTCATCAAGGAGAATGACGATCATACCAGCAATGACGAGCTGGAGGATGAGGAGAAAGACGATGCCGGCGCCGAGCTCACTCGGTGGGCCGTAGAGACCAGTAAAGACGTAGACGGTGGCGGTGCCGACCGAGAGGATGAGAGCGAAGAGCTTCTGAGCCGTCTGGTAGAGCTCGCGATCCGACTTGAGGTCGAGGTTGACATCGATCATGTGGGTGCCAGCAAGCAGCTGGAAGACCATACCAGAGGAAATGATAGGCGTAATGCCGAGCTCCATCAAGGTGCCCCGGTTACTCGCCATCATCATGCGCAACCAGTATAGCGGATCGGACGTGTCCGACGAGACGATGCCGTAGAGCGGCATTTGGCTCATGACCAAGAAGATGAGGAGGGTCAAGCCCGTCCACATCAGCTTCTGGTTGAAGGGAATCTTCGTCTCCGGCTGCTGAACCTCGGGGAGGAACGGCACGAAGGGCTTGACGAGGTCGAGGAACCGGACTGCATAGCGAACGACGTGATCAGCAAACTGTCGCAAAGAGGGATCGATGGCACGAGAAGCTCGCTGAAAGTGCGCGGTTGAGCGAGCTCCGCGACGCGCCGATTTCACTTACGGGAACTCATCTTGGGCAATTGAGCAGGAAAAGGAACCAAATTTTAAATCATCCAGAAGAAAAAAGAGGCGAAGGGAGCGACAACGACTCTGCAACGGCGGAGAGTTGTCGGCGCAATGGGTTTCGGAAAGGGGGGAAGTCCAGGCGGATGGAGAAGCTCTCCTTAACATCTGGCTTCAAAGTTATTCTGTGATGTGTCCAATTTCGAAATGGGGTCAACACGTGACAGCTGTCAATGCTGCCAATACCCCTTCCCCTGCTGCACTGCTGAGCGGACTTGGCGTGGTGCCAAGATTCTCCCCAACTTCGGTTCAGACCTTCGACTTCCAAAAACACCAAACTCAATCTGGGGCTGCGAACCTGCAATGTGATGCGACCCGGCGCCGGGCGAAGCCAATGGGTTCACTCGCGCGTTTTGCCCCTTCACTACATTCGCTTCTCAAGACCGTGAGGGTTTCCACCAAAAAGATGCAGCCCTTGATCATCATTTATGGCTCGACGGGCACTGGCAAATCGGATGTAAGTCGTTCCAACGCATCCAATCCGTGGTCCTTGGGTTGGGCATGTCTGACAACGTCCAGCTGGCCGTGGAGCTGGCAACCAGATTCAACGGCGAGGTCATCAATGCAGATGCGATGCAAATGTACAAGGGCCTGCCAATCATCACAAACAAGCTCATGGTCGAAGAGCAACGAGGCATCCCACATCACCTTCTCGGCAGCATCGAGCTCGATGAGGACCCCTGGACTGTGACACATTTCAAGAAGGAGGCTACCAGAATAATATCCGAGATACGCGATCGTGGAAATCTCCCCATAATAGTAGGCGGCACCTCGTACTACCTCGACGGCTTGCTTTTCGAGGGCCGGGTAGTCGACGACCATCCCACACTCGAAGGCGGTGCGTCCAATCGCGAGGAACTGGCGGCGAAATATCCAATTCTTTCCGATTCCCCAGAAGCAATGTTGGCGAAGCTGCGCGAGGTTGACCCCGTCATGGCGAACAAGTGGCACCCGAACGATGCGCGCAAGATACGGACATCGTTGGAGATCTACTTCGCCACGGGCCGGCGCGCATCCGATATCTATGCCGAACAGCGACGCCGGAGAGAGTTCAAGTGGGCGGTTCGAGAGCAAATCCATGGCCACAGCCTCGGGGAAGTTTTGCTATTTTGGTTATACGCGCAGCGAGAAGTGCTCAACGGGAGGCTCGACCAGCGCGTGGACAAAATGGTTGAAAGAGGCCTTCTCACCGAGACAGCAGAAGTCTTTGACTATCTCCAGGGGAGATTAGCAGCCGGTGAGACGGTGGACCGCTCCAAGGGCATCTGGCAGTCGATTGGCTTTCGCCAGTTTGAGCCATACCTCACCGCGCTGAAGAACACGCCTGGGAATTCCCAGTTGGATAAACTCAAACAGGCTGGTATCGAGGACACCAAGGCGGCGACACGCCAGTATGCCAAATACCAAGTGCGCTGGGTGACCATGAAAACCATTTCTTCTCTCCAAGAGGAGAAGCTGCTGGATCGGTTCTATCTCCTAGACAGCTCAGACATCCAGCGCTGGGACGCAGAGGTGCTAGGAAAAGGAGTAGACCTGACCAGGCGATTTCTCGCTGATGAGCAGCTGCCCGTGCCGGCCGAGGTTTCGGAGACGGCCCGGGAGGTCCTGGCCGGGAAAGTCGAACGCAGCAACCATGTGGACACGCCGTGTCGCAAAACTTGCGACCTGTGTAAAAAGACCCTCTTAACAGAAGAGCTGTGGCACGCACATGTCAGTAGCAGGAAGCATCTCAAGGCTCTGCGTGGAGCCAAGAAGCGGCAGCTAATACCAGCCCACGCCGCACCTTCAACAAGCTTGATAGCAGTCGAATCTGGTCTCTCGGAGGGAGAAGACACAGCAATAACAGATTCCTCATGAGACTCGTTGCGTTTCTATACAAGCTTTTCGTCCCGTTTTGCAAGCCCCAGTTTCGGCGACCACTCGAGCTCACCACTGACTGTGGTATCAACGACAACCAGCGTGCAGAACATCTACAACAATATACAGCCTCGAAGCAGCGCTTCAAGCCTTTGAAATCTGGCTCTTGACCCATTTCTCCAACCCGCCCCGCGCAATGATCTCCTGCACATTCGGCGGCAACTCACCGACCTTCTGGCTCCAGGTCTCGCCGCCCTCGCCCTCGGTGACAATCACCTTACTGCGCCGGACATCCCACACAAACTTCCACCCAGTGCGCCTGGTCGGCACCTTCTCGCCGTCCTTCCCGCCAAAGGTCTCGCGCAGCCTCTGCACCAGCCGCGGCACCTCGACCCCCATGAGCGCATTATTGATGCTGTTCCGGCTGAAGATGTTACCAAAGCTGCCCGCCACGACGAGGGGGATCTTCTTGGCCAGGATGGCCGTGGCAGCTTGCTCGCGGGAACTGCCGCAGCCAAAATTGAAGCCGGCCACGAGGATATCGCCCGGGCGGGCGATGGTGCGGAACGCCTTGTCGTAGTTCTCCATGCAGACCTCGCCCATCTTCTCGACCGAGACGTTATCTTGATACGTGTACTTGCCAGGATAAATGCCGTCGGTCTGGTGAGTGATGTCAGTTATATCAATGCTGTCTCGGTTGAAAGGCACTTGCGCAAGCTGAGCCCTGTCTCGGCAGCGTGACAACTCCCGTACTGGCTTTGAGTGCGGCATTAATGAGGGGGCGGGAGGGTACAACGTACATTGATGTTGTCGGCGTCGCAGAAGACGATCTCTCCCTCGACCTCCTCGGGGAAGCCCGGAAGAATCTCGGTTAGCGTCTCTTCGCTGGCATCGTCTGCCGTGGTTTCGGCCTGGGTGCCAAACATCTCCTTCTCGGCGCTGGCAATCATCCCGTCGGCTTGCGAGATGATCTTGTCGAGGGCCTCTTCAATGCTCAGGACCTTGTCCTGCATGTGGTCGCCGTTGCCCTCGCCAATGATGACCTTCTCGACACCTTCAGGCTTCTGATACCAGCCGGGACCGGCAATTTTGCCTTGTAGTGCGCTGGCCGCCACAACCTCGGGGCTGGCGAGGTAGGCCTTGGCCTCCGTGGAGCCCATGCGTCCTTTGAAGTTGCGGTTGCTCGCGCTGATGCCGACCTCGCCAGGCTCAAGAAGGCCTGTGCCTAGACCGATGCACGGACCGCAGCCGGCAGGGAGAGGCTCAGCGCCAGACTGGAGCAGGACCTGCCAGTCGCCCGCCTCCTCAGCCGCAGCCTGCTCTAACAGAGATGCGGCTGCGATATAGAACTTGACACCATCCGCGACCTTGGGGATGACGCCGTCCTTCGCCGCGTCCCTGAAGACCTTGGCGGCAGCCGCGATGTCAGACGCACGAGAGTTGGTGCAAGAGACGAGATAAGCCTTGTCGACCTTGATGTTTTGCGGCTCGAGGTCTTTCAGCGGTGTAGCCAGCTTGACCGAGTTGGGTCCGGCAACGAAGGGGGAGAGGGTGGACAGGTTTAGGTAGAGAGACTTGGCATAGGTAGCGCCTGGGTCAGCGGTAAGCGGATTGTTGACAAGCTCGTCAATCTTAGCGTGGGTGAACTTCCCGCGAGCACCGAGCTCCGGGTTCAGCATTGCTGACGTGGTGGCCTTGGCTCTCAGCCAGGACACCAGCACGCTGTCTATCGGGAACAGTCCACTGAGAGCACCCCATTCTGTCGTCATGTTGGCAATCGTGAGCCGGTCGTCGATGGGGATGCTGCGCATGGTCTGCTCAGAGCCAGTGAACTCGATGGCGTGATTCAAAACGTCATCGTTGTTGAACAGGCCGCATAGAGAGACAATCACGTCCTTGCCCGTTACCCCTGGAGGCAGGATGCCAGTGAGGGTAACCTTGGCGACTGGGGGTACCTGCCACCACGTCCGGCCGGTTGCCCATATGGCCGCCGCATCGGTCCGCACTATGGGCGTCCCCAGGCAGCCCACGCCTCCGTACATGTTGCTGTGCGAGTCGGAAGCAACGGTGACGGTACCAGGCCAGGCATACCCTTCTTCGACCATAATCTGATGGCCGATACCCCGACCAGCAGGGTAGAAATCGACGCCGTGCTTCTTCGCGAACTCCTCAATCTGTCGGTATTTCTTCAGGTTCGCCTCGCTCTTGTTTTGGACGTCGTGGTCGAGAGTCATGACGACCTGCCTGTTGTCGTGGATTTTGGTCGCGCCAATCGACATAAACTTCATGGCCACCGGCCACGAATTGTCGTGTGTCATGCAGTGATGTGCAGCGAGGGTCACGTAGTCGCCGGCCTTGACCTTCTTCCCTGGCGCAAGCCCGACGGCGTATCGTTGGACAATCTTCTCGGTCAGAGTCTGTGGATTCGACGGCGTACCCGCTAACGAGGAGAGGAACGGCACTGAAGCCGCATTCTCGAGCTGTGTGTGGAATGCATCTTGGTAGAGCCGTGGCGTCGTGGTGTAGGTTGCGATGCGCACTGACCGAGCCGTCGTCGTCCTCGGGATCCTCTGGGTAAGGAGGGCACGGCGAGGACACCTCCTGCTGGCGGCCGACGCCAAGCGTCTTCTCTGCCGATATAGTTAGTGGTAGCGGGTTAGGAGGGGAGTCGCTGCAGCATACTAGTAGCGTGAACATGGTCTTGGTCGGGACTGTGTCATTCCTTCGCAACCTCGAGGATGCTCATTTAAGTCATCCAGCATTTGGATCGCGGCGGAATCGGAGCAAACAATTGCCAATACATACACAGCGAATGGCGGCAGTAAAATTCTGGTGGGGCATCTCGGGCGTATTCCACAGTCTTGACCGCTCACCGCCTTTGGAGCCGGTACGATACCGTACACAAGTATTGCAAGGCCTGTATCATCCGTACACGTAGCCGTGTGTTCTGGGACCCTCGTTTTCACACTTCCACCAGTCAGTCTCACTTGCACCTTTCCAATATCAAGGTTGCCTTGGTTATGAAAGGGTGCGGATAGCTCGGAAGCACAATGCCCGTTCTCCCCAAAACCGGGCAGCCCAGTTTCGAGTCCTTGTAAAACACACCTTCACATGTGTAGGGCTGCGCTTCGTGCAGTCGAGCGTCATTCGGACCGGCGGCCATTGCATACAATACAGTACAAAACATCACCGTGACAACCATTCAGCGCACTCCTGCCTGTGGGTTTCGGATAGCAAATGAATGGAGTCCTTGCGTACATCCGTACAGAGCACCTACATACAGATAACCAAGGCAGTGGATCCGGTCGGATACTTTTCTCTAATGAAGGACAACAACAGGGGAGAATCGTGTCCCGATTCCCAACTGCTGTGGATAATGCAAAGGTAATGATAATGGCCGATAGGGACATGAGTGCCTGGTGGAAAGTTCCAGCGTTGAGAGAGACACAGCCCTGGCTCGGTACAATACGTCGCCGGCCGCCTGTGGACTCTACACACCTGTGCTCTCGGATGTTCTCCATTCCGCGTATTCATGTTCTCCTAGATTCACAGTTTTCTCAGGCTGTCTTCGCCGCTCAAGTAAATGAGCCCAGACCCCCACATCAAGTAACCTAGTGACAACCCTGAGATATCAAACTCGCTTTCGGTCTCATCCGATTCGAAACGGATGCGGCTGGACCATTTTATCATCGGCGCAGAATCGAGTCCCCCAATCCTGCAGCGCCAACCCTACCGCAAAGCTCATCGCCTCCTGGGAGGCTTGGCTTGGGTCGCGCCTAGTTCGTCCCGGCAGCCGCATCGCTGTTTGGCGATATTCGGTGCAAAATCGAAAGCGTTACAACTCGTTCGTGGCGGCCGTCTCGCCGGTTGGCCTGTTGCCCTCTGACCAGTCACCAGTGGCCGCGCCAAGGCTTTCGATCCGATGTGACCGAGTCTGACTGAACCTCTGAAGTCTGCGAGGAAACCCTCCCGATCGCATCGTCCGGGGACCGCGCGATGCGACACCGTCCAACTCGGATTCTGCGTATTCTTACTTAATTCAATCTATACAAAGACCACTTCATTTGTTCCTGAACAGTCAACGCGCTGTTCCCACGCCACCCATGGCTTCCGAGTCCACCACAAGTCCACAGGGTCAAGCGTGGACTCCTGCTTCGACCTTCTCTGCGCCTCCCACCAAACCGCCCCGCATCCTGGCATGTATTCTGTGTCAGGGGCGGAAGATCAAATGCGACAGAAACTTCCCATGTGCCAACTGCATCAAGGTATTCCAGGCACAACAAGCCTTCCCGCTCGTTCCGTGCCGAACATGGCTGACGACGCCCCGCAGTCCAAAGTCAAGTGTATCCCGAGTACTCCGGCGCCCGCGCGCAAGCGCAGACGGCCAAACCAAGACCTCCAGGAGAGATTGACCCGCTGTGAGGAGATGTTGAAGGAGTATGCCGCCGTGAAACCTGAGCGCACCTCGCCGTCACCTTCGCACGCCGTCCTTCAAGAGGACTTGCGTTGGCAGCCTACTGGGAAGCTCGTCCAGGAAGATGGGAATGTCCGCTTTGTGGACAACCCCTTGCTAGGGCAGATTTTTGATGAGGTATGTGTAAGATGCCTTGGTCTGGTTTGCCTCGGTATTATCCGGATGCTTACAAAATCCCAAACTTGACAGGTCCGAGCCATGAGGGAGATTGTGAACTGCGACGACTTTGAGGATGACAGCACCAGCACCACTGGCATGACTCCCGATGAGAACTCGGAGCTTCTCCTTGGCGGCGACTCTCCCGACGTGAAGGTTGAGACCCTCTGGCCCGAGCCTGCCCAGATGTTCAGCCTGTGGCAAATCTACCTGGACAGGGTGAACCCACTTACCAAGATCATTCACGTTCCGTCACTGCAGCCATTCGTCGCGGAAGCTGCCATCCGCTCGCCGAGCGTCCCCAGAAACATTGAGGCTCTCCTGTTTTCCATCTTCTTGATGGCGGTCGTGTCGCTGACTCCGGACGAGTGCCGAGCGCTGTTGAGCTTCTCCAGAGAAGAAGCGCTCCAAAAGTACTCGTTGGCTGTCCGGTTAAGTCTGCTCCAACTGAACTTTCTGAGGTGTCACGACTTGACCGTCCTACGGGCACTCGTAATCTATCTGGTGTGGAAGCCCTTGCCAATCGTGCATTCTCGCCCTGTCCTCGCTAACTCTGGTTGCAGATATCACTCCAGGGTCGGTACAACCGGCACGCTGCGTGGATTCTGAATGGCATTGTCATCCGCATCGCGCAGAAGATGGGTCTGCATAGGGACGGCGAAGCCCTAGGCCTTTCGCCATTCGAATGCGAAATGCGGAGGCGTCTGTGGTGGCAGATCATCATGGTCGACGCGAGATACGCCATTCTCTCTGGCCTGAGCCCCTCCTTGCTGCCCACTAACAGCAATACGAAAGCGCCCAAGAACGTCAACGACGCTGACATCTTTCCGAACGCTACGGAGCCCATCGTGGAGCGCGAGGGACCCACCGAAATGATATTCTGCCTGCTGACGTACAAATTCGCCAAGTTCCTCACCGACATGCCTGGGTTTGAGGGCATGATCTTGTTACAGGAGGGACAAGCAGATGACTCGGCAACGGATGTCGGGGATTTGCCCACACAAGAGCAAGTGGCAGCGTACCGACGCGCGGTAGGACGGCTTCGCGAAGAACTACTGGAGGTATTCGACAAATACTGCGATCCGAAGGCGGGACCGGTGCACGAAATGGCCCTTACGATGAGGGAGCATGTCCTGGACAAACTCAACGAGCTTATGACGCCTCCCAAAGAGCGCCCCGACTGGGGTGGGGAAGTCAAAAATGCAAAGGACAACACCTTCAAGATCGCCGTCAACGCGTTCGAGCACAACGAGGCCAACTACGCGTCCACCAAGGACAGGGGCTTTGCCTGGTTCTCCCTACTCCACTTCCAGGTCGATTTGTTCATGTACTTGGCCGGCCAGCTGTGCCAGCGCACTGAAGGCAACCTGGTGGAGCGTGCCTGGCGCCAGGTCCACGTGGTCTACTCATACCACCCGGAGCTCTTTGATGTGACCAACAAGAATTACGCCGCTCTGGCCCTCCACATCCTCCAGGCCTGGAAGAACCGTGAGCAGTTGATCCTCAGCCGCACCGGCCAGATTCCCGAGGCCCCATTCTACATCAAGAAGCTGCGGGCCTGCATGCCGTCCGACATTGTGGAATGCAAGGAGGAGGGGAACGGGCAGAAGACGTCGCCGTACCCGGCCGGATCTCCCGATCTCACCGCCGCCACCACCATGGGAGCCCTGAATTTCGGCATATCTCCCGAACCCTCCTTGGGACAGTTCTTGTCCATGATCGATCCACAACAAGGAATGGATTGGGACGCTCTTGCTGGTCAGCCGATAGTCATCCCCAACGGCCAGCCGACGCCGGGGTTCGAGCTGTATGGCATGGGACCTACAACCGAATGGTGACGGCCTCCTCGGAACGATCAACAGCCGGGTTGGACTCCGTTTTGGGGTCGGGCGTGTGGACAGCCTGGAGAAGCGCGGATGCATCCGCCGTCCCGGGTTGGCACTTCCCCATGCTCCGGCTTCCTCCATTCCTGCAGCATCTGTTTGTTCATCATCCTCCGTGTGTGGTATTGGTGGAGAACCACAGATACCCAACTCAAGGATACATCTCATCTCTTCCCCGCCATTTGCATCATGACTTAATGACGCGTCTCAGGGGACTTTGGCATGTACCATAACATCATACTTCGGGACCACAGACACTCCATTTGGGATCGGGCAGATAGATGGCTTCATGTTGTTTTCCCATGCTGGTTGCCGCCCGTCATATTGAGGCTGGACAGGTTGTAGCTGATTATATGATTCAAGCCGAGGGCTTCTACATGCCTGTATGTGAATTGAGATGCTCCTGTATACCGTACCAACCCGAACTGATACTCACCATTTCCCGTCCAACCCTAACCCGGACTACGAGGCCCCGTTCTGGTTTCGGGGCGCGGACCTAACCCCAACCCAACCCAAACTCGTAAATCCGATCGATCCACTGGGGCAGTACGCTTTTTCACCATCCTACGACATTCCTTCCATCAAATCCATCTTGAGTCTACTTCCTGAAAATGAATCCTGACAAGCACATAACGGAAATACCAAACCCACGCCGGATACTCGCCGTTTGCTTGACCGACTCGGCGCAGCACCTCAGTGATGTTATCAACGGTTTGTACCCCTCATCGTTGATTAGCCTCTCATCTGGATCTCATCTCACCCTCCCTTCCCCTTCGCTTACAGTGGCCCGGCCCTCCATCGCTTACTGTACTAACCCCTCCACGAAAACACCAGACCTAACAGGCAGTCACCCTTCACCGCAACCGACCTCTTCCGGAGAAGAATTCTCACACGACGGCAGCAGCACCCTCGCAGGGACAACCCATCCCCTGCGCCTGGCCACGCCGTACTACACGGCCTCCGTGCCCATCTGGCTCGACCTGATCGCCTCGCCTGCCGAGTGGTCCGCGTCGTTCCTGTCGCCCGAGGCCAAAGAAGTTTTGGGTGTGTTGGGCGGGGTGCTGGTCGTGTTCCGACTGCCCCCCTCTCGCACACTTAACCCCCCAGGCTCCGGATCTACATCGGGTTTGGAATCGGCATCATCATCAGCGCAATCCTCATCGTCTCCGTCTAACGACGAAGAGGGGCGGGCGGTCAAAGAGCTGATTACGCACGTGGGCAGAGTCGTGCGGGAAGGGTTGGGTGGTTGGGAGTGGGACGGTGTTGGCCTAGCGGTGGGGATTGGGGAGGGCGGCAACGGGCTGGATGCGGAGCTGGATGAGTGGGAGGACTTGTGTGCGCAGTCCGGGCTGGAGTTCGTCCATGTCTCGAGGCTTGGGAGCGGGACGGCCAAGGGGGCAGAGGGTGTGAGGAATGAGTTTGGGGAGAGGATGGGCACGGCAAGAGTAGTTGAAGCACTGGAGGCGAATGATTGGGCCGGAGGTGGAATGGGGTTAGGCCGCGAAGAGGATGTGGAAGATGAAGAATGGCAAGGCATCAGAGGGAGAGGGTTGTTGGAAGACGACGACGAGTTTGATCCGGAGCGTCTTGGATTTGGCTTTGATAGGGAAGACTTTGTCGGGCTGCGACAAGCTATCTGGTCCGGTGGTGAAGACGGCGCCGAGGGGCGAGAGGAGGTCGGAGAGGTCGGAGATGAAGACGTCCAAAAGCTGGAGAGGATGATAGCCAAGTTGCAGGCAGTCAGGGACGCGAGCGCTGAGCTGCCGGACGAGCAGCGGAGGAGACTTGCAGCCCGGGCGGTCGGGGAAGTTATGAAGGAACTCTGAACGGGGTTCAAATCGGTTACTTGTCCGGGCTTCCACAACTTCCACAACTTCCACAACCCATCGGGCCTTGCGCTAGAACTACAACGGAAACGACACGACCAGACCGGCCGCATTGCACAGCATCGCCGGCCTTCCGCGGCTCCTCTACAGTATCCTTCGATCCTGAAAACCAAAACCAGGGGTTGTTGCTTTGACACCTGGGGCGGTGGGCCAGGGTGACTTCATGCTTATATAAGCAGGCAATGGTATGCCTGATATGAGCTCTTGATTGGATACTTCACCTCCGCAGGCTCGATCGGCTTCCTTAGTCAAGTTCTCAACAAGCCAGCGAATAGCAAAAATCCACAGCGCGCCGTTCTGCTGCTCCACCTGCTCTGTATTTGCGCTTCAGACGACGGGGCCATGTTCATCACTCTCCGAACAAGTTCTGGCGGCCAGAATGGAACCGGCGGCATGGAGCAAGTTGTGCGCCGGAGCGCATCTCAGCCTGGCAAGGTCAGCCGTCGTGCGCGTCCGACTCGACGCCCGGCCTGTGCCGCCTGCCAGACCCAAAAGGTAAGTTGCGTCGAGATGACACGCTTCGGCCATCCGACTTACCGCACGTCCCCTAACGAAACCGCCCCCTCCTTTCAGCTCCGGTGCACCGGCAGTCCCAACAACTGTGACAGGTGTAAAGCCAGACTGATCGAATGCGTTCCCTCCACGAGTACCACGCAAAACAAGCATCAGACACAGTCGCCGCCGTCATGCAACTCGTCAAGTCTCGGCGACGCCTCCCCTCAGCCGGGCGACGCCTCGCCCAGTTCCACCTCCTTGACGAATGGAATGAGCCGGCCAGACACCGGCTTGTCCAGTCCCGTTGGTGTTGATCAGCTGGACGGCAACTTGTTCGACTGTGAGTCCACCTTGATCGCTGATTCTGAATGACAGGCCTAGAAACACGGACTCACTGGAGGTAGTGAACGTCTTCGGCCTCGACCTGGATATGGACGAGCTTGGCTGTGATACCGATGTTCAATCAGCCTTAGGTTCAATCAACAGTACAGGATCCCATGACACTGGTCCCCTTCCAGTGACCAAGTCACTCCAGGATGCCAGCAATGAGACAGAAGCCGCGGGGCAACCGAATCGGGCCAGTTCACCGTCATGCTCCTGCCTGAGCGACCTTGTTCGCGTCGTGCAGCAGCTCGACGACGATGAGTTTCACATCACGACGCTCTCACTGGATCAGGTGTTGCAGCTGCAAAAGTGGCTCATATTCCAGTGCTGCAAACCTCTAGACTGCCCAAAGTGTCTTGACCCCTCAGTCATCGACTCGGTACGCCTCATCGTGTGCGACCGGCTGACCGAGATGTTCGAGTGTATTCATCGACGCATCAGGAGGGCAGGCGCCATCTTGGCCGGCCAGAACACCGACTCCAACGGTACACACTTGGCGTCATCCCTGTCGCCTGAGTCGCAGTCTGTACCATCTCACCATTCTCTGGACTCCGCACCGTCCTCGGCGGCTGGTCCCGGACCCGCATCCGCCCAGCTCTTCTGCCAAACATCCGGGCTCAAGGCCAGCGCGGCCTCTTGCAACCCCATGATGTTCTCCGACGACTTCTGCCGTCAGTATTCGGACGAGGAGCAGGTCCACATGATCCGCGCGCTGCTGAAGCTGCAGATCAGGAATTTTCACAAACTGCTGTTACGAGTTGAGCGCACGAGCAGCGTGGTGGGCAGTCAAGCACGCCGGTCCAAGGTCAAGTCGATGATGATGCGCCTCTCCAAGGCCTGGATGGATATCGACGCTGCCTTGTGTGTTGTGCTCCAAGCGCTCTCGATCGGGTGATTGGGTAAGGAGATGCTTCTCCAGCGTTGCAAGTTACTACATACTATCGCCCGCTTGAATGAACACGTCCCAGTCAACAATATCATTTGGTTTGAATTTAACTCAACATCCGGCACCCAATCATGTGCAACAGGACGACAGGAAGAGATTCCAACTACACTTTCTCATCTGGTTCTTTTCATCCATAGCTGGGACCAATACGTCGTCTCAGATGGAGACGGTTCAGCCCAAGCAGCTCCGAGAGCTGTACATACACGAGCCATGCCGGGTTCATGTCAAGGTGGTTGTGAGATTACCTGATTGGGAAATTTTTCTCGGTGCCGGATTACGAGTTTTCCACTTTCGGCAGCTTTTGAGTTTATTTGCCAAATTTGGATATTCTCTCGGAGATCCGGCTTTGGTGGAGCCTACATACGACTTTACAACATGAACTGGTTTGACATAAGCTACATAGCTGATTTCCAAGACGGGAATCGGGCACTCCCTAAATAGGGATGGGGAACATGAGGTGAGATTCTCAATGTCTACTTCCTACCAAAGCTGGACACCTAACGAAAGAAGAGCAACCCGGATTCCTAAGCCTGCAAGGAAACAATGGTGCATACAACATTTTGAAGAAAGTGCCTACTGGGCACCGTCCAAGAATAAGGCATCATTGTCCCTAGAATAAATATAAGTTATATCCAACTAACCTCCGTCCCGTACACTCTCCATTCCATCTCCTCGCGTCTCTCGTGTTCTCTCTCTCTCATCTCTTTGGCATCTTCACCATCCGGCGCTATCAGTTCTGAAATCAAGCAGTTCAGTGACTCAGGTCAATCCCGGAACCCCAATCCTCCATTCGCCATACCGAGCAGAAATACCAGACTACCCATTGGAGCCCGGAGACTTTGCGTGCCATCCAATGTCCTCCGAGACATCACCCGTCAGCGAGGCTGAGAAGGCCGTCCACCCTGCTGCCGAGCTCTCGGCGGACAATGGCACCATTGAAGCCAACCTACCCAGGAACCCGGGGGAAAAAGAGACTGCACCGCCGAGAAAGATCCACGGCGTCCTGGTAAGTTTATGTACCTTAACCCGGCACAAACCAGTGAGAGAGTCTCGGTGCTGACTTCTCATCGACACAAATGCAGTGGGTCTTAGTCGTCGCTGGCATTTTGTCGAGCATCTTCCTGTATTCACTGGACAACACTGTAGTTGCCGACATTACGCCAGCCGCGGTCAATGCCTTTGGCGATGTCTTGAAGCTGCCGTGGCTCTCTGTAGGGTACGTACCTGAGGTGGCGTTTCCCCCGGTCCTGATGAAGTGCAGTTTCTGAACATGTTGTCCTTGCGTCCAGGTTCCTTCTCGGCGGAGCGGCAGTCGTGCTCCCTTTCGGCAAGCTGTTCGGCTTGTTCGATGCGAAATGGCTGTACATTCTGTCGTCGATCCTCTTCAACGTCGGCTCGGCCCTCTGCGGTGCGGCGCCGAATATGAATGCCCTCATTGTCGGCCGTGTCCTCGCCGGTATGGGCGGTAACGGCATGTACCTCGGGGTCATGACGCTCCTCTCTGTCAACACGTCGGACCGCGAGCGGCCGGGATACCTGAGCTTTGTGGGTCTGGTCTGGGGCATCGGCACCGTTCTAGGACCCGTGGTCGGCGGTGCCTTTGTCGAATCCTCGGCCACGTGGCGATGGGCCTTCTACATCAACCTGTGCGTTGCCGGCCTTTTCGCGCCGGTATACCTCTTATTAATTCCGTCTGTCAAACCGCGCCAGGGTACATCGTCTCTGGCGCTGGTGCGCGAGTTTGATATCGTCGGGGCTGTACTGAGCTCAGGGGCCATTACGACGCTGATCATGGCCACTAACCTGGGCGGCGCTCTGTATCCCTGGAACAACGGACAAATCATCGCGCTCTTCGTCGTCAGCTTCGTGCTCTTCATCCTCTTTGGCATTCAGCAGACCTACACCATCTTCACGAGCCCGACAGCGCGTGTCTTTCCGGTCCAATTCATGCGAAATTGGAATGCGGTCCTCCTCTTTTGCTGCGCTGCTGCCGTCAATACGGCTGGTTTCATCCCCATCTACTATGTACCGCTCTACTTTCAGTTCACCAGGGGCGACAGCGCCATCACTGCCGCAGTTCGGTTGTTGCCGCTCATTTTCGTCCTGAGCGCCGCCATTCTCGCCAATGGCCATCTCATGTCGCGTTTCAGTTACTTCCAGCCGTGGTATGTTTTTGGGAGCGTCCTCACCTTGATTGGTGGTGTCCTGCTGTGTAAGTCCCGACTCAACAACTACCTTACCTCAGTTACCATACACGTACTCAGAAGAAAGTCTCCACGATGAAACTGACGTTCGTGGCAGCTCGCATCACGGCCAACACGCCAGAAGGTCAGATTTACGGCTTTGAAATCCTCGTTGGCGTCGGCACCGGCTGCTTCATCCAGGCTGGCTACGCCATCATTCAAACCGTCACCCCGGCCGCCGAAATGGCCTACGCCATCAGTTTCATGATGCTGGCGCAGCTGAGCGGCATTGCGCTCGGCCTGGCCATCGCCGGCGCCGTGTTCGTCAACAGCGCCATTGCCCACCTGGTGGCGATCTTGCCCAACGCGTCGCGCGAGCAGCTGCAGCTGGCCATCTCGGGAACCAGTGGCGCATATCTGCAATCGCTGCCGGTCGAGCTGCGCGAGGTCGCGACGGATGCCATCGTTTTGGCGCTTCAGAAGGTCTTCATCCCCGTCTATGTCGGCGCCGCTGTTTGCCTGGTGCTATCCGTCTGCTTCACGGTGAGTCCGTCCTGTTTGCGGAGGTTTGCAGCGTGGGTTGCCACGACATGAATACTGACTGCGCCGCTTGGCAGCAACGGAAGATGTTCAAGGATGCAGTGGCCATTGCGGCGTTAACCTCTTTTTCGCTCTGACCGTTTGGGTTCATACTGCGCAAGGCAGCGCTGTGCACCATGGCCTGTCCATTACCATATGTTCTCACCCAAATTATACACCTCCACTCTAAGTGGGTGGATCTAGCCCATAAAACCCCCGGTTTTTAGCACATCTACTAGGGCAAATTAGCTACTGTAATCAGGCTTCGTACTGTAAGCTACGAAGACTTCTATAATTGCATTAAGAACTGCATTGAAGTTATATTAACATCATATTTCATATCATGATATTCGTATCTTATTGTTTTATAAGCTCTCTGAAGCTCCCTAAAGCTCTCTAATGCTCTTTGTAGCTCTCTATAGCATTAGTTAATAAAAGAGCTAGAGATATAATTCCCTTACTATCAATACTAACCTAGCAGCCTCTTGCATCGCTTAATAGCATTACACTTTAGAAGATCGATTTTCAGACTTCTATAGTTAACGTATACCGTACATTATCAGCGAGCGGATCACTCTAGCATATTTTGGTAGAGGTGCATGCAATAAGACGTTAGAAAATTGTTAGTGCAATCTAACAATTTCTTATTGTCTCATGGTGTATGCTCTACCGAAAGTTGCTAGAGTGATCCGCTCGCTGATATGATCTGCTCGCTGATAATATACGTTATTATCAGCGAGTGTGTCACGGCGATTGCGCCGTGCCTGCTAGGACCCACGGGTGGAACCCGGCATGTGGAAAGCACGGGCCCCTGTGGGTTAAATATTCTGCACCTCGCTGCCGCGAGATCTGTTCGTAGCTCCTCGAGCTACGTCTTGACAATCAAGCCTGCCCGTACCTGACGGAATGGAGCTTAGACTGTAGTTTAGCCCGAATACAATTGTCATTGGATTGTCCGCCTGTCCCGCCGTGACAGAGTGACCCATATCAGCGAGTGACCCATATCAGCGAGTGACCCATATCAGCGAGTGACCCATATCAGCGAGTGACCCATATCAGTGTAACGGTCTCAGGCAGTATATTGCAACTAGCTGATGACGACTCTACGAGTACACTGAACTTGGAGAAGAAAAGGAGAGACGACAGACTCTGGTAGCTCGCAAGCATACTTATCCTCGTAGGCGCGCTGGTCTGAGCGCGTTGCTAGAAGGTTCGGTGTGCTGTGGGGCGAGTGGGAATAGCCTCATGAGGGGTCTTGGTATTTGCCGAGAGTGACCCAGCTTAACGAATTTAACAGGGCTGCAGGCCAAAATTTGATAGAGAAAATGTTAGGAGCGATATCAATTTCTTATCGTACATTTAGATGCAGCCCCTGCTAAATTTGTTAATCTGGGTCACTCGCTGATATAGGTCACTGTGACGAATCTCAAGCCCCAACTTCTGAAAGGGACTCCTGAAGGTTATACTTGACAACGGGGTGAGGTTCGGTGAAGCCAAATGGTTCACAACAAGCAATGTCCAAGGGTACTGACAATCTTGCACTTGAGTTGCTTACTGGAGAACTCCCAGAGTCTTCCAGAACGGGTGACTATATACTAGATGCATTTGGTTGCTCTCTCGTGCTCTCTAGAGCCACCTAGAGCCAATGCTCTATGGTGCTCTCGAGAGCCTCTTAGAGCGTCCTCTGATTGGCCTTGCACTGGTGCTCTCTCATGCTCCTGAGAGCTCTCTGGAGCACCTCTAGGACTCGTTCCAATTGGTCCTAAGTGACTGGCTCGGAACGTCCTACGTTCCCCACTGGCTTCTGCAAGTAAGCCGCCGACCGCTGTTGGCTCTCGTTGGTTCATTTGTGACAAGCCCCCATGCGTACTAGATGCCAGTGCGAATGGAAGTGGTCGAGAAGAAGAGGCTCGCCTTGACGAGCATCTAAGACGTGTAAGCATGGGAGCCCATAGACTCGAGAGAAAGTGCCTGTACAAGTAGGAGATGGAGGGGGGTCCCTCCTTGCGAGTAACTTGCGTTGCTCCTCGACCTTCCTTAACGCCTCATGCGACACCCATCCTCGTACAGCTCCGTATAAAGCCCCGGAGAGCTCAAGAGGCGTTCGGGTCTGTTGCTTCGCCTGAGTTGACTGTAATTCGGACAGTTGGTTGAGGAGGGCGAGGCGAATCGCTTTCCAGGCATCGAAAAGGTCGAATGTCGATCTCTTCAAGTACGACTTGAGGAGCGCGTGAATTCCCTCCACTCGCGAGGTAGCTGTATTGCCAAAATGAGTCGACTGGTCGACCCAAGCACGTACGAGTTTCTCCTTGAACGGAATAAGCCACGTAGCCTTGATATACCCGACTTCCTCCGGGTGCTCGGGAACGTAGTTCTGCTGGAACTCAGCAAGGCGTTTGGTATAATCTTTCTCGGTAGGCGAGTTGATGATCGAGTGCCAAGAATTGTAGAACTCCTTCCACTTCTCAGCCTCCGAGAACACGAACTCGTCTTTCGAGTTGTTGTTCTTCTCTGACGCTCCAGCAAGCTATCAGGAGGGTTGCGTGATCGATCGCATGCATAGATAACTGTCGTAGTACCATTCTTCTCCTTCGTTGACCTTTGAGTGGTAAAAGCATAGCCTCTTGGCCCAGCCCACGAGTTGATTGACTCGAATAAGGCCTCACGCGACTCGAAGTAGGATTCGGGAGGGAGGCAGTCGTCTGGGAAGGCGGCCATGACGATAGTGTCTGCGGTCGTGTCCGCGCTTCGCATGGATATTGTGCGCGTGGGGTGGTGGCCGCGTTAGATGCATTTTTGGGTGCTTAGATAATTGTTGTGCTTATCTAAGCGACACGGACCCGTCAGTCTAACTAAACGTTAGTGGGAGCCGGACCCGTGGCTCTAGTGGGAGCCAAACCCCGTCAGTCTAGTGGGAGCCGCCTTAAGCGTCGTTATGACTATTCGCATGCCTGTCCGCACATGTTCCTGCAGGCCCCGCCTGAACTCACACCTCTGTTCAGGGGTAAAGTGGGTCTCTTGCGCCCAGGGGAGTTTTACTGTGCTCTCCGACACTGGCAGTGAAAAGCTATCGGTAACCTAACCGTAAACGCAGCAGAATGGAAGAGTCATCAACACCAAAACGCCAACGATCCTCTCGAGAGACGGGCTGTTGACGATCATTTTCTCGCCTCTTACGCCTGTTCTTTCTCAGGCAACGTGTGTGCATGTGCAGGTAACTGCGGAGCGGAGGATTTGAGCACACACATCCGTCTGACTTGAAGGCGCGGCGTGACAGGCTGATATCTGCAGGCCGTGATCCCGACCCGGAGGGTGTGGTTGGCCCGTGGAGATCGTGTCCGACGAGCAGCACCCCAAGGCGTGAACTACGGCCGACTGCTGGAGCTGTTCTTCAGCGCTCCACGGCCGCAAGGCCAGAAGGAGAGGCAGCTAACACAAAAGTGGGAGCTCGTTGCACCGTATCGACGGCCCCTGCATCTGGCGGCATGCACCACGCCACTACTGTATCTACAGGAACAGCTGTCGTGCCACAGCAGTGCCGTACAACGTCTGGTCATGGTCGAGAAGCCTGAGCTTCCTCGCGGTCGTCAACCCTCGGTCTGGGGCCCGGGTAGGGTCATGGCTTCCGGGGTCTGACGGCTTCATCCGAAGTGAGTCAACAGATGTACACTGTACTACACCATGGATATGGCTTGGTTTGTGAGCAGCTTTGGGGGGCCCCATTAAGTTACCATGCAGTGCCGCCAAGATCGTGGTCGAGGGGGGCAGGAATGAGCAAACAACCGCTCCGGGGGGGAAAGAACGGTGCTCGATAGCGAGGCTAAGACGGGCATGAGATACCCTTTCCAGGTCCCAAGGGTCTGGTTCCTGTTTATCTTGATGAATTGTCGACCACATCTTCGTCGCAGCCCTTGCCTTCGCGAGGCACGCCGAGTTGCCGGTAATCCACTGCCGTCGGCCATCGACCCACCGAATTGTGGCACCAAGAAAGGGCCCAACATGGAGCATTGTGGCCCACCACCGAGACGTCGCGGCAAGTTGGAAACAATGCGTGACCCGAATAATGCGGGGGGACATTTGGCGATCGTGGATTCAACCCGCAGTCGCTGGGTCACGGGCAGGCGTACAGCAGGTCGGCGAGTAAGCACATATTTGGGAGTGCTGTCTCCTCCAATATATTGCCATACAGAGCCGGACTACAATACCGTGTAAATACCAACTGTCCATCCGATGTTTCAGAGTCCGAAGACGCATTCGGATGACGGAACCTACCGCTGAGCCGAATGCGGTGTGCGTTCATCTGATTAATCTGGCACAGAAACTAACAGACTGTACCAACCGCCAACGAGGTACATCATCCGTAGCTCGAGTTGTGAATTGCAGACCGCTTCTCAAATGCGACCGCTCTCGGTTTCGCAGTTGAGAACTGGAGTCGTGGCAGTCTTGGCTGATCCCAGTCAGGTACCGAAGCACACAAAGCCGCTTCGTCGGAGACACAAGTCCGTGTCAAAACACCCGGGGAACGGACCCACGATCGCCATCCCCTGATCTTATCGCCGATAACTTTGGTGGTCGAGGTCCGAGGCATGTACAATACGTGTAACTGTAGACCTTCGAGGGCGTACTCCGGGAACACCAGACTATCCGCACTCCGCGGTGTTGTTGGACTGGCATTGCAAGGAAGCTGCAGAGGGCGCCAGGCAGTGATTGGGCGCATCGGACAGCCTGAGTGCAGGGCAGCGGATTTTTGCACTGTACCTCACACGGTTTGAATGCAATCCGGCTCTGTTATTCGCTGCGGCGACCGTGTCTCTGTTTGGTTCAGGCGCTTGAATGAAGCCCCACCATCCCGCCCAGTGTGGGAGCGCCAACCCTGGGACTCAAACCCGACGGTGCCTGCTGGTTGCTTTTTCCCTCTTAGCCCCCATGTCCCCGTTCTCGATTTTCTCCCCTCGACTCTCCTTTTCGTCTACCTTCGATCGCCTCACATCGTCTTCCGTCGACCGCCCTGTCCCTCCCCTTCCCTCTCCCCATTTCTACCTTCGCTTTTCTCACCACAGTCGCTCCCTTGCAATAGCCATTCGCTCATTTTCTTGGAATCCGTTCATTCTTTTCGGTTTCCGTCAGCCATTTTACCCCGGTCCCGGAGCATCTCGTTTTGGGGCTCAGCACGATTTGCCGAGCTCATCCTTATCCCCACCACCCAGCTCACTTTTCCTGTTCGATAATTCGTTCAGGACGACACTCCTTTGTAACAGGCAATTTTCCATATCCTATTCGATCATTCATTTTTGGACACACCTCAGGGTTAGTCCCATCATATCCAAACCTGTGATACGGACATTGGGCGCGCCACCGCACATCCGAGCGGTTGTTTAGCCAGCACCGATTTCAAGTTGAAGGAAAGGACGCCGCTCATTAATCGACCCATCTGGACGACGGACAAGACACTGGGCCCGTTATGGCTACCGACGGGGCCAAACAGGAGTTGAAGGAGGAGTTTCAGGAGGAAGTCAGGAAAGAGGAGGAGGGATATACTTCGTCGGCACCATCCATGTCGACCTCACCATGTGGCAATCAGTCGCCTCTTCCTACGCCCAAGTCGGCTACCCCCAGTAAGGTGTCCAAATCTCCTGCCAACGGATCCAAGCCGCAAGGGTCAGGGAAACGGCCAACCCGCAAGAGCACTCTCACGCAGCAGCAGAAAAACCAGAAGAGACAGCGGGCGACACAGGATCAGTTGGCCACGCTTGAGATGGAGTTCAACAAGAACCCGACTCCCACGGCGTCGGTTCGTGATAGGATAGCTGAAGAGATCAACATGACCGAGAGGTCTGTTCAGATCTGGTTTCAAAACCGGTAAGGCCCTGAAGTTTCTGATCTGTTTTCCCGGGGAGCAGCACTGTTAACCGTTGGCAGGCGCGCAAAGATTAAGATGCTGGCTAAGAAGAGTCTGGAAAGCGGCGAGGACATGGATTCTATTCCCGAGTCGATGCGACAGTATCTGGCAATGCAGGCGATGGAGTCGGGCAAGAGCATCCCCGGCTTCTTTGGTCGTACTGGCTTCATGCCCTACGGTCATCAGGGAATGATGGGCGGTGAACAGTCGGGGCCGGGCAAAGTCTGTAAGTGTCAGCCGAGCGCTAGAAATCTTATGATACCGCATGCTAACACCTTAAGTGATCCACCATCTCAACTGCCGATCCCTCACAATAGGCAGGTGGATGCGGGTTGGCCAGAACGCCATGGATCTGATCATCTTCTACTCCCCGGACAAGTGCACCATGACCTACTACATTAACAACGATCAGGCCGGGTACAAGATCGAATACCCGTTTTCATACATCAAAAACATCTATCTCAACAACGTCGAAGGCGGCGAGCAGCACGGCGGAATCACGATTGAGCTTCTCCATCCGCCCATGTTTTATATGGACTCGTCGACCACGGCGACCTTTATCCAAGTCAGCGACTTTACTGAGGACCTGCAGGCCTCTCGGGTACTGACTCATCACCTCGGTGGAAACCCAAAGGTGTTGAGCGGCCAGCTGGCGAAGTTGGTCAGCTTAGAAGCCTTCATTCACCGCCACAGCGCCACAGGTCCGTTCGACCAGCTTCACCCATTGTCCATGTCGGCCCCTGTCTCCCCTGCAGCTCGGCCGTCATCGCAGCCGAACTTCGCACAACCCCACGTCGGAATATTCCAGGAATCGCAATGGGGTATCGCTGCCCAGCATACCATGATGATGCGCGGACCAGGCCATAAGAGGCAGCGCAGCCGCAGTGTGCCGGGTCCGATTGACTTCCAGACGATGCAGCTGCTGCAACATCCGCCAAGCTTCCACATCACGCAGCCCGAGACTCAGCCGCCCGTTCACAATCCCCACATCTTCAGCCCGATTCCGCAGCAACCCAACATGCTGGGCCCTGTCGGGCCCAATCTGCGAATCGATACCCGGGCTGGGTTCGGCGCGCTTGATATGCGGGCATACCCGCTTTCTGCGACGACAGCGCCCTCGCCGTCGGAGTTTTCAAGCCCCAACTTCTTCGCAACCCAGGCTCCGGACCACAGCGGAATTCCAGCGCCCAGCTTCACGCCCTACAGCGGCACGTTCTCCCCGCTAGTCAACCCTGCGAATCTGGGTGTCCCTCCTCCCTCCATCTCGCCGCTTTCGTTCAACCACCCGGATCCAACCATTGTTGGAGAGTCCCCGCCGATGTCGATGCCTCCCATCTGTGAGGGCTCCGCCATTTCGGACGACGGCACGAGCATGAACGACATGTACTCGACCGGAAAGCCGACCATCACGTTGCCGCTCCACCCGCATTCGCCGTTCGAGCCGAACCAGGCCGACATGGAGCTCAACCAGTTCATGGACCTCAAACGCTTCGATGCTGAGCAAGCTTCCCTGTCTCCGGAGAGTGTTCAAGCGCAGTGATCAGCGAGGGACATGACACGTCGGTCTGCATTCTCGGCTCGGGTGGTGCTGCAGTATTGCTCGAGGCCAGAAGCATACATGGTTCAGAGGTGCGATATACCCGTCGAGAGGGGTTCTCCTGGCTCGACTTTCTTTTTTCGGCGTTTTAGATGGGTTGCGTCGTTGTATATACCAGGGGTCTTTTGGCTTTGTCTGATGGCTGCTCTCGTGCTGCTGCCGACCGACGCGAGGAGTTGCGACACACCTCACTCGTTCTCGATATTTCCGCGGAAGAAACAAACTCTCCCTTCACAGACCCGACTTCCTATTCCATTTCATCCTTCAATCACGCACCTGCCAACGAGATCCCGACTAGTTGTGCTCCGCCTTGCACAGCGGCTCCCGAGATTCCGTTTCAGGTATTACGCTTGGCCTTTCGCTTCCCTGCGTTGCGTTTCTTCTGTTTTGCATGCGGATTTTCCTCGCTTGTCTTGTCATCCCGAGGACGTATCCTACGATGTCCGCCGGGAAGTTTTTGCTAATATCTATTTCCTGCCTGGTCTTCCAAGAGGCCCATGAGGGTCGAGCTATGGGGGGGACTCCTCAGTAGGGAAATCAGATGTTTCGTTGGCTGCGGGAGGAAGGATGAATGGTGAGAGCCCAGGAGGCTTGATTTTTCTTGGTAATGTGGTTCTAATCTATCTCTTTTTGGGAAGGGTCTGGGAGCATCATTTGCGCTGCGCACTAGGGATGGTTGGCTTGGCTGATTTAGGAGTTGATATCTGGCTTGCAGATTTTCAGGAGCAATGAACGAGAACGGCAGACGGTTTAGTGGTCGATTCCATATACCTATTCGCCGTGAAGAGAGGGAGTGGTCACTTTCGATGTGAGCCGGCTTGTTATCTCGGGGTGATATGTGCTTCCGATGTCCATCCAATGGTGGTTTGGGTCAAGAGTGTGAGCTGCGCAGATATTTGCTTATGAAATTGTCGTTGCTTGCGCTGTTATGACGCTTATGGCAGGATCTAATGGAAATCGCGACATCACTGGAACAGCCTGCCTCCCTTGCTCTGTACATGTCTGCTTCCGGGTCTGTCGTAACGCCATATGCAAGGGCATTGTTCATACAAGCTACTCCGTACAGTACGTAGGGCTGAACTGCCAGACCAATATCAGCCAGGCCACCGAACCGGCCTCGATGCTCGGCCAACGGGCGCTACCTACCCGTATCCAAGCGCTGGATCTCCCGTGCAGCATAACGGACGGTGATGGCCGAGCGCCCGATGCAACACAGTGCAACCGCCCTTCAGGATCTGGAGCCGTTTTGGGTGTCATCGGTTTTGTACGATAAAAACAGAAGTCATTGAGTAACCGAGATCTCGTGGTTGCATCCGTTGCAGCAGTTCCTATATTTTGTGCCTCACAAGTCGAGTATAGATTCCATGTTCCCCATTAACGATGGCAAGTTGCTGAGTCGTCTTAGAGATTCCCAGGGTCAGCACAACACTTGATGGGTGAAATTCCTGCAGCAAGCTAGCTCAGCCACAAACAATTGGGGTCACGGAGTAGCTGATGCAAGTCTATCTACGGTACTAATACAATCAAACCTTGGTTTGTTTGTTCGCGCTGATCTTGTGAAGAAAGATAAGACTGTCCGGTATTCACTGTTTGCCTCTTCCACTTCATTTTTTATCTAGTTATTTATTTTCTTATTGTTATTTTTCTTCGTTTTTCGTACTTTTCCCTCTTTCCTTAATATTTTCCTTTGCTTCTGCACACTCCTTGATGTTTTTTCATTTCCCTACTTTTTTCTCCTTTACTTCCACTTTTTCTAACTGGGTCGGCATGTGCCACGTTAAACAAACAAACCAGGTTAGGATTGTACAGGAACGGACTACACTGGCTCGTTCAAACCTGTTTCCCTCTACTGAGGGAGCAGCTCGAGGAAGGGCAAGAAAACCTGAACTCAATTGGTGTCAAAGCAATTTAATCGCGTGTAAAATTCGTAACTTCATTCCATTCCAGGTTGTATTCTCTCAAACCGACAAAACCGACAGAACTGTGATGGGCGAGGATCGCAGGGATGCGCTTGCGAAGATGCCAAGCTTCGCCTACCCCAGATTGGGCCACATCCAGTGCACCCCGCGACGGCGCAGCGCGTTTTGCTTCCTCGGTTGCTTCTGTTGCTTCCTGCGGTGATATGACGCAACAGTTGGGACAGGCTAGAGACTTGGAAGACAAAGCGTACATAAGTGCGTACATTACGGATTACCTACCTGCATAGGGTGTTTCTCTCAGGTTGCAACGGAAAGCCATCGTTGATTCCAAGAACAAGGATCACAGTTCAGGAGGACTTGGCAACTGGCCCTCGGTGGTCTCGGCCTCACAGCCACCCCCCGCCAAGTCCCTCTGCGACTTGATAGGTGGCCACCATTTCAGCCGCGAAGGTTCCCGTTTCCAAGTGCATCCTGAACCGCCCACACTCATGCCCGTCAACTGGCGGCTCACCGGCCAGACCACTCGTTTCAATGTCCGTTGCTTCTGTCCTGTCCAGCTCTCCTCACATCTTTTCTCACTACTTGCTTCTAACTCCTGCCCTGAACCTCCGTCTGGCAATGCGTGATTGCCGCCGGACCAGCCTCTTTCTCATCCTCCGCTAACACGCTCGCATCCGGGGGGTTTGTGCTGTTTCGGACGGCAACTTCAAAGTTGTTGACTCGCGGCATGGCAGGACGAAGCCAACGAAATACCGCAGAGGTGCTACAGGATCAACTCGACACTATCGAATTGCAGCGCCAGAGCGCAGGCCTTCCCTCGAACACCAGCGTGACGCAGGCAAACGCTCAGGAAGATGGGCCCGATTCAATAGGGGAATCTCCTTCGCCTCTGAGAACTCACACGGCGCGTGGCCCTGTCCGATCACGCAGCTACGACGACAACGGGCAATCGCACCAATCGCACCCTCCCCAACAGCCCCAGCGACCGCGACCGTCACTGCAAGTAAGAACGGCCGAGCTTTACACAATCCCGTCCCAAGTGCCTACCCCACAGTTGGAGAAAGAAAGGGGCGATGGGCCGTCGACTGTCCCTGCGCGCGTGCGCACAGAAGAGCCGAGGGTCTCTTTGACCCGACCACGCCAGACGTTGGGCGATCTGCGGGACACTGTCAAGGGCTCCATCCACTCTGCCGGGAAGACCGACGCCATTCCCCCGCAACGGAGGTGGGGTGGCCTCCAGGGGGGAAGCCGAAGTTCGCCCGCCGCCCGCTCATGGGCAAAGGTGCAGAAGATGGCAGAAAGCGCCTACAAGCGCTATATTGTGGAGGGCCTGTTGAGGCAGAAACCAATTCCACCAAGTCAGGACGGGAGGCACATTCCCCTCAAGCCTGGGCTGGCAAGACGGAAGCCCTTGAAAGACGAGCGGACAGGCCACGCGTACGTGACGAATTTCATCCGCTCTAGTAGGTATACCGTCTGGAGCTTCCTGCCCAAACAGCTCGTTTTCCAGTTCAGCAAGCTGGCAAATTTCTACTTTCTCGTCGTGGGTATCCTGCAGATGATTCCCGGACTCAGCACGACTGGCACCTGGACGACCATTGGACCGCTCATCGCCTTCGTCGCACTCAGCATGGCGAAGGAGGGATACGACGACTACCGCCGGTACAAGCTGGACAAGCTGGAAAATAGGAGCTTAGCTTGCGTGCTCGACCCCGAGGGCACCGTCAAGCTTGCGCCGAGGGCAGAGCGTCGTGTGTCCCGGCGCTTCTTCAGAAAGGAAAAATCGGCTACAGGCGACGCAGGCACGCAGGTGCCGGAGCTGGAACCGGTGGACATTGAAGGCGCAGAGCACGGAAGGTGGGCGAGGATTGAGTGGCAGGACATCAGGGTTGGGGATATCATCCAGCTGCAGCGGGACGAGAACGTGCCCGCCGATATTGTCCTTCTTCACGCCACGGGCCCCAATGGAGTCGCATTCATTGAGACAATGGCGTTGGACGGCGAGACGAACCTGAAGAGCAAACAAGCCTGCCCTCTGCTGGCCAAACACTGCTCTTCGGTCGCAGGGATGGCAGAGTGCGAGGCCGAAGTCGTTTCTGAAGACCCAAATATCGATCTGTACAACTTCGAGGGACGCGTGACAGTCAACGGCGAGACCATGCCCTTGACCTTGAACGAAGTCGTTTACCGAGGCTCGACCCTTCGAAACACTAGCCGCGCCATTGGGCTGGTGATAAACAGCGGCGAGGAGTGCAAGATCCGCATGAACGCCAACAAGAACGTCCGTGCCAAGGCTCCCGAACTGCAGTACGCTGTCAACCACATCGTTATTATGCTCGTCTTCTTCGTCGTTTTCCTCAGTCTTGGCTGCACCGTTGGCTACATCGTCTGGCGCCGCCACTATGAGCATCACGCGTGGTACCTTCGCCACGTCAGTGTGTCGCTGGGCCAGATTTTCATCGGCTTTGTCATTGCCTACAACACGCTCATTCCCCTGTCCCTCTATGTCAGTCTTGAAATTGTCAAACTGGGGCAGCTGTTCCTGCTCAGCGACATAGAAATGTACGACCCGGTCACGGATACACGAATGGTGGCAAACACGACGACGATTTTGGAAAATCTTGGCCAAGTCAGCTATGTCTTTTCCGACAAGACGGGCACGTTGACCGAGAACATGATGAAGTTTCGCAAGATGAGCGTCGCTGGAACGGCATGGCTCCATGACATGGATTTGCGGAGGGAGGCCGAGAAGATGAAAGGGAAGAATCTGACGCGCAAGGGGACGCAACCAACAGAAAAGCGGCACCTCGCATCCGGGCCCAGGGTGTCAACGACTCGCGCCGGTTCCGAGATGATGGAAGAGCCCCTGGTCGACGGACGCAATGCGGAGAGCGGTCGTCTTCCCAGGATGAGCACGGCCTCGCGGTGGAAATCATCCGTTCAACCAGCCCATGGCCAGCCCGAGCTCAATACCGAGGATATGCTTCGCTATCTTGCCAACAAGCCTCACTCGCAGTTCTCGCGCAAGACTCGCCAGTTTATTCTCTGTCTCGCTCTGTGCCACACTTGTCTTCCCGAAAGGGGAGAAGACGGCGAAATCAGCTTTCAGGCAGCCTCTCCCGACGAGCTCGCTCTTGTCGAGGCTGCCAAGGACCTGGGCTACGTGCTAGTCGACCGCGCTGCGCGATCCATGACAATCCAGGTGCCCAGCTCCGGTGGTTCGACGACTACCGAGACGTACGAGATCCTGGACGTCATCGAGTTCAGTAGCAAGCGGAAGCGCATGTCCATCATCATCCGCATGCCCGACGGCCGGGTGTGCATCTTTACCAAGGGCGCCGATAGCATGATTTTGCCCCGCCTCCGACAGAAACAGCTTGCCCTGCAGACAGCCTCGGCCGTCGAAAGGAGAGCAAGTATGCGCAGGAGTGTCGAGCAGGAAAAGGCTCTCCGTCGCCTGAGTCTGCAGAGTCCCAAGCGTGACAGCATGAATCTCCAGAGAGCTCTGGACCGGAAAGATAGCTGGCGCTTGTCTGCGACTGTTACCGATGACGTCGGTCATTGGCTCTCCAGCCGCGACACTGGCGGAGCAGTTGAGTCGCCCACGGAAGCTGATGCCTATCAGGCTCCGCGCCGCTCTCTGGCAGGCGGCCGGTCGATGGAGCTCGCTCGTCTCGCGGACCCCTGTGATGCTGTGATTGAGGAGTCGGCCACGCTGAACGAGGGCGCTGTGTTCGAGCGCTGCTTTCAGCACGTTGATGACTTTGCTACCGAAGGCCTCCGGACACTCATCTTTGCATACCGCTATCTGGACGAGGACGAGTATCGGAGGTGGAAGGAGGTTTACCTGCAGGCCACCACCAGCCTCGTCAAACGTCAGGAGCGCATCGAAGATGCCGCCGAACTCATCGAGCAGGACTTTGAGCTTGCTGGGGCGACGGCGATCGAGGATAAGCTGCAGCAGGGGGTGCCAGAGACGATCGACAAGCTCCGGCGCGCCAACATCAAGGTCTGGATGTTGACCGGCGACAAGCGCGAGACAGCCATCAACATCGCCCACTCGGCTAGAATCTGCAAGCCCTTTTCCGAGGTCTACATATTGGATGCGACGCTGGGCGACCTGCACGAGCGGCTTGCCATGACACTGACGGACGTCAGCCGCGGCATGGTCCCCCACTCGGTGGCCGTCATTGACGGGCACACGCTCTCGGTGGTGGAAGACGACGCTGCGTTCCGCGTGCTGTTCTTCGACCTGGTCGCTAGGGTCGACTCGGTCATCTGCTGCCGGGCGTCGCCCTCACAGAAGGCCAACCTCGTCAAGTGCATCCGCCGCCAGGCTCCCTCGGCCGTCACACTCGCCATCGGCGACGGCGCAAACGACATCGCCATGATCCAGGCCTCGCACGTCGGCATCGGCATCTCAGGCCGCGAGGGCCTGCAGGCGGCGCGCATCTCAGACTACTCCATCGCCCAGTTCCGCTTCCTCCAGCGCCTGCTCTTCGTCCACGGCCGGTGGAACTACGTACGCAGCGGCAAGTATATCCTCGGCACCTTCTGGAAGGAGGTCGTCTTTTACCTCCTCCAGGCTCACTACATGCGCTACAACGGCTACACGGGCACCTCGCTCTTCGAGTCCACCTCGCTGACCGTCTTCAACACCATTTTCACCTCGCTGCCCGTCATCATCCCGGGCATCTTTGAGCGCGACCTGTCGGCCGAGACGCTGCTGGCCGTGCCGGAGCTGTACACGTTTGGGCAGAAGAACAAGGGGTTCAATGTCCCGCAGTACGTGGGGTGGATGTTCATGGCCGTCGTGGAGTCGGCCATGATCTTCTACTCGGTGTATTACATCTATGCCGTGGCGTCGCATTGGCCCGTGTCAGCCGACTTGTACCCCGTCGGAACCTTGGCTTTCTCGCTGGCGGTCATGTTCATCAACATCAAGTTGATGTTCCTCGAGGTGCACGACCGCACCCTGGTGATACTGGGCGGCATGGGGCTTTCGATGCTGGGATGGTGGCTGTGGAATATCTTGCTGAGTGCGCTCATGCACCGGTCGATCGGGTTGTATGTGGTGCGGGATGCGTTTGTGCATGGCTTTGGCAGGCAGGGGATGTGGTGGCTGGTGCATCTCGTGGTCTTGTCGGCGCTGGTGGTGTTTGAGTTGGGGGTCACCGCCGTGAGGAAGTCGCTGTGGCCGACGGATCGCGACCTCATGCAGGAGATGGAGCATGCCAAAGGGGTCAAGGAGCTGTTGAGGGAACATGCTGCGGACGGCGGTGAGGCGGGCATCGTCAGTGCGGGGAATGACGGAGAGACTGCTGGTGCGGTCAAGGGCGGGGATGCTGCTTCGCTCAGGACGGTCACGTCGACGTCTGTGTCTATGCAGTCGCCCCGTCACGAGGCGACCGTGCCGGGATGGCAGAGGTGGGAGCCGCAGGGCCCAGTCTCGCAGTACGGGCATAGCGCCGGGGGAACAGCTAGGAGGGCGACGGAGGAGTTTGCGCGGCCGCAGTTTACGCCGCCGGCTGAGGAGAGGGACAACCCGATGGAGAGGGCGGGCACCAAGATCCGGGACGGCGCCTTGGAAGATTGAGCCCGACTTTCATTACGACTTGACGGTATATATTCAATTTGGGCCTTATAGCGACTCCTCTGGGTTTAGGGATGCATATGTCTTTCTTGGGTACATCGCTTTACTGGGGCATTTCAGGGAGTATAGGCGCAGCGGTTTAAGAGGCTTCTCCGCTTGGGGTAACTTTTGCTTGGATATCTTGTTTTGGAGTTCTTTCGCTACGGGCTGCTTGATCACTGCCCTTGCGGGCGAGCGTCTCATCACTTCGGGGGATACCCGAGCAAGAGAAAATACAGCGTGCTGCTTTCACCTTGATTGGAGCTTGAGTTTGATTCATGAGTGACTAGATGGGACCCTTTAGAAGCACATGGGTGAACCTGCGACGGACTGAAAGATACCAGAGAGAGTTAGGTATATAATCAAACAGTACAAGTCAAATGTCACCTCACTCCTCATTTACCTTGATGATGACCTTACCCGCCGCGTGGCCAGTTTTGACGACGTCCAGCGCATCATGGACCTTCTCAAACGGCCACTCGCTGTCGACGGCAACGCGCAACTTCCCTTCTCCGAACAGCTTGATAATCCGCTCCATTGTCTCCAGACCCGGGTCCGTCATGCTCGCGGCCTTGAATCTCCGGCCAGTGCCACCCAGCCACGGCGACCGCGGCCAGATGGAGTTGGTTAAGAGGGTCATGGCGCTCTTCAGTAGCTCCCAGAAAGTGTAGTCTGCGTAGTGGATCGACACGGCGTTGTACATGCCCGCGGCTTTGAGGTACCGCGCAGAGTGCCTGTACACCTCTTGGTTGCCAAAGGCATCGATGATGTGATCGAAGGGCTGGTCTCCAAACCGCCTCGCCAGCTCCCCGGGGAGATGCGCATGTTGCGTGTAATCAATGACCTGGTTAGACTCGTTAGCAGCCCTTCCCCTTCCCCCTGACCTTAGACCTTTCAGCAAGAAACAAGTTACTCACCTCATCAGCACCTAGCCCCTTGACCATCTCTTCGTTCCTCCCCGAACAAACGGCCACCACCCTCCCCTCCTGCCCAACCCGGTCCCTTACCATCTGCACCACCATCGCCCCGACCCCTCCACTCGCCCCGACGATGAGCACCCTCTGCCCAGCCGCCACGCCACACTCATTCACCTGAACGTCGGCCGTGCACGCGGCCAGAAACAGCCCCGCCGCCTCCCGCTTCGTCTTCCCGGCGGGGATCTTGACCGCGTACCGCGCAGGCAGCGCTACCACGCCCTGCAGTGCGCCCACGCCCGTCGCGAGCAGGTGCGCCAAGGGCGGGAAACAGACCACTTGGTCGCCCTTGGCGAACCTGAACCTGCTGCTGGCCCCTGCGCCGGCGCCGGCACCGGACGCAGTGGCGGCAGCAGAGGCAGGAGCAGGGGCAGGGGCAGTGGCAGTGGCAGTGGGATGCCACACGTCGATGACGTCGGCGGTGAAATCCACGCCCGCAACCGCGACCGGAGTGTTGGTCTTCTTGCGGTGGGAGCGGATGAAGAAGGGCATGACGGAGAGTGTCACCAGGTCGGCTGGGTTGAGGGCGGCGTAGGAGACGCGAAGGAGGAGCCATTCTTCTGGGTTTGGGACCGTTTTGGGGAATGGCGGGGTCGGCGGGAAAGGCGGGAGTGGGTGAGCGTCGGTGAGGGTAAGGGTCTGGCGGTACGGCCCGGGGCGGTGAAAGATCCAAGCCTTGGTTATTGCTGGTGGTGATGTTGAGGACATTGTTGTTGTTCTGTTGAGTTGGGTATGGCTGAGGACAGAGAAAGTTGTTCTTCAGTGCTTAAGGTTGTATGGCCAGTGGAACTCGAGCGGTCTATTTACAACAGAACAGTATCCGACTCAGTTTGCCAATGTTAACACGTTATTTGGATCTTTTGCTTGAAATGGTGGACGAGGAAAAGGTGCCAGGCCACGTCAGTGTCGTCGAATCGGGCGAGTATAGGCGAGCCAAGCCTGGTGGTGGGTTAGGTACTGTACGCTACTTTCAGCTTCTGTGCCTAGCACTAGCCTCGGCCTAGCATGGTCGCTAAAGGCACACACGTGCCTGAAAGAGATGTTGGGAGGCCTCTGAAGTGAAGAAGTGTAAGTAATTTGGGTATCGGGGCATTTATCGAGGCAGTCATTGGATGGTATTTTGTAGCAGTACTGCACGCCCTCATCTATTGCCCATGCAAGCAATCAAATGATGGTGCTGCGCCCTGGTCTGACGGACATGTCGGGTCTCAGCTCGAGGTACTTCTGCTGTTTTAAGCTGGTCCTGACTCAGACTTGACCCTCGACAGCCTACTACTGGGCAACCTTTTCCTCAGCTGCGTCCCTGGCCGTTGAGTTTGACGTCTGCTCGACCTTCTCTGCTGCCTTCGCCTCGAGGTTGGCCGCCGCTACTGCCACATGTGCTGCTGCAACTCCAACCTCGGCAGCACCCGAGAGATAGTCCTCGGACTCGCCCAGCTGCTGGTCGCCAGCAATCCACCGCTGCCACTTTGCCGCCCGCCTCTCGCTGCAGATCTTCTGCAGAGCGGGCCAGTACACTGCGTGGTCGTATTCAAACTCGAGCTTGCCGCTGCTGAATTCCGACCACATCTGCTCGGGGGGCACGTACTGGCTCATGTCCTCGTTGAACTTGAGCTTCTCATACGTGAGGGGGTCAATGAAGGGTTTGATCAACTTGAAGAAGCCGGTGACGATCCACGGCATGTTGATGATGAGCGCCTTGCCGAGCCGCTCAGGGTAGTGGTGCTGGAGAATGTGCAGCACCTCGCGCGCCTGGCCAATGCCGGGGGCCGTGTTGGAGCGCGTCTTGCTCTGCTGAAAGTTGATCAGCAGCGCCAGGGTCTCCTGCCCGGGCGGCATGATGTCGATGACGCGCTCGACCATGTAGACGACGTGCTGCACCTGGCGAGGAGACGGTTCCGTATTCTGGCGGCCGGGGCTCATGTAATGGCAAACGCGAGCCTCCTTGTCATAGCCGAGGATCATCTGCTTTCCGGTCTCGTTCTCGGGCGAGATGTGCTCAGCCGTCAGTTCTTCAACGCCGTATTCCCTCCGCCAGGTGAGCGTCTCGAGCAGGCGCTTCTCGGCGTCCTTCTCGTGCCATTTGGTGGCGCGCAGGTAGCGCAGCAGGCATTCTCTGGTAAGCCAGAACTTCTCGCTGTCGGTGAGCGGGCCCGCCTTGCCCTTGGCAGAAGGAATCTCGGTCCAGGCCTTCACTTGCTCAAGGAGCCAGTCGTACTTTTGCTGCTGCTCGGCCGTAAGGGGCTCCCGCGGCTTGGGGCGGCTATCCGGAGTGGGAGCGAGCAACGGCACCTTGAGCGGGCCAGCAGCTTTCTCGTGTACCGAGTCAGTGCCATGGCCCGTAACGGTTGTCGCCATCGCTGACAGTAAGCCTCAAACTACCCTTTGCTGGAAGAGGCTAAAACACGCTCAGCATATGGAGGACGAGACTTCCAACGAAGCCCCGGCTGCACTCACCGCCAGAATCTTGGGTACTGTGCCTAGATTTTATTCCCCGTTCCTCTGCTGGTCAACCAAGTCTTTTAAACAGACAGGATAAAATCGGACGGAGGGGACAGGGGACTGGGCCAATTGATTCTCCCGAGTCCAAATAGTAGTTGAAGGTGTGAGAATGGGAGGGAGTCACGGCCTCAAGTCACAAGCCGCCTGATGACAATCCCAAGGAAGCGAGCACCCCCTGCCGAGGAAATCGACGGCATTGGACGAAAACAACGCCAAGCAGGGAAGGCAGCGGCAGTTTCCGGGTCCCTGCAGGGCTTACCTGCGCTAGCGCAAAGGAGATTCCTGGCGCGTTGTCGCGTTGAGTGCCTCTCACGTGTCACCCGGAGCACCGCGTCCCATCCACAGCAAAAGTTGCTTGCCTCCTCCATTGTCGCAAAGTCGGAACACCTCGACTGCACAGATCGCGAGGCCAAGAACTCTCATCCAGGACACTCATTGAACCCTCGACACGACTGCCGTCCCACAATGACCGACGAAACGATCGCCGAGCTGAACCAGTGGTTTGGGTCAGCAGGCAAGGACCTCGAGGCCGATATCGTCGCCGAGTTGAAGTCCATCATGCGCATGCACCAGCTGTCCGTTCAGGACCTCTTCTTCAAATGGGAGTCATACGGCATGAAAATTGGTATGGATGACTTCAAGGTCACCATCGACACCCTCCGCGCATTCAAGCAGAACCTCCAAGACGAACTTGAGAGGAGTAGTCGGTCGCGTGTGCACATCAAGACGGAGAAGCGAGCCGGCGCAACTCCTCGGACGGGCAAGAGCGGCGATGTATTTGGAATGCTGGATGGGCTTGCCACGCCGGGACCGGGAAGATCTAGGCCAGCAGCGAAGAGGACGCCAGCAATATCCCGTGCAATGGCTGAGCCAACAAGCTCGCCCCTGGGAGTCGAGGACCAGCTCAACGCCATGGGCGTACTCCCGTAAGAGGTTACGGACCCCCCCTTTGGGTTGCCCTGTTAACACTATGATCGCTCTAGCCCATCATCCTTCAGTGACCGACCGAATCCCGGCGAAGTCCTTGAGATCCTGAACGAGCAACTCGAAGCCGCCGAACCACCCATCTCCCCCTTCAGCGAATCCCGTATCAAGCTTACCGCTGCGTCAGACCAGAAAAAGCTCGGGTACAAGGGTCTTGCCATGAAACTGTCTGAGGCATCCGAAATCCTAGATGACAGGATAGAGGACTTTATCGGGCTAGTCATGGAGCATCACAAGTTGGAGGACTCGGCGTTCGGAAGCCCAGCCAGCCAAGGCACCTCCGAGATCGTTGCCGTTGGACGAATCGCGTCAGACTCGCTCGAAGGCAAGCTCAATGCCGCGTCACTAGTATTGGAAAGCTCCAGGAGGTTGGGCAACGGGTTGCGTGTACCCCTGAATCTCGGCAAACTCAAGGGCTACCAATTCTTCCCCGGCCAGATCGTTGCTCTCAGGGGCATCAACTCCTCGGGCCGCGAATTTACCGTCCACGAGGTCCTCGACATTCCCCTCCTTCCTAACGCTGCCTCCAGTCCCGACGCTTTCCTTGCCCACCTGCAACGGCTCCGCGGCGGCCCGGACGCGATGGATTCAGATGACAACCCCACCTCCCCCCTCACCATTCTCTTTGCGTCCGGGCCCTATACCGCAGACGACAACCTTGGTTTCGAGCCCCTCCACGTGCTCTGCAGCGAAGCAGCCGACACCTACGTCGACGCGCTGGTTCTCACGGGCCCCTTCATCGACATGGAACACCCACTCATCGCCTACGGCGACTTCGACCTGCCCCCGGAAGCGACCTACGACCCGGACACGCCCACCATGGCTACCGTCTTCAAATACTTCATCTCGCCCGCCCTCAACCGTCTCGTCGCGGCCAACCCGACCGTCACCATCCTGCTCGTCCCCTCGGTGCGCGACGTGCTCAATAAGCATGTCTCGTGGCCGCAGGACGCCTTCCCGCGAGCGCAGCTGGGCCTGCCCAAGACGGCGCGCATCATCGGGAACCCCATGACGCTGAGCATGAACGAGATGGTCGTCGGCGTCAGCAGCCAGGATGTGTTGTTTGAGCTGAGGCACGAGGAGATCTTGGGCGGCGCGAGGACAGGGCTAGATGCGCTGTCGAGGGTGAGTCGGTATCTGATTGAGCAGAGGCATTTCTTCCCGCTGTTTCCGTCGGCCGATCGGAAGAGGCTGCCCAAGACGGGCGCCGTAGACGGTGGGAGTGAGGGCGTGCCGCCTGGTGCGATGCTCGATGTGAGTTACTTGAAGCTGGGAGAAATGGTCAATGTCAGGCCGGATGTGTTGGTGGTGCCGAGTGCGCTGCCGCCGTTTGCAAAGGTATGTTCTTTCCTCGCTGCGTTTTGTGTCTGGTAGGGGTCGGCTGACAAGAAATGGGTCGTAGGTTGTGGAGAGTGTCCTCGTCATCAACCCTGGGTTTCTCTCCAAGCGGAAGGCAGCGGGCACATATGCAAAGATGACGCTTTATCCGCCGTCCAAGGAGGACATTGCGAGCGGTGGAATGGTCGCGCACAAGATATTCGAGAGGGCGAGGGTGGAAATAACGAGAATCTGATGTCGGATCTGTGCGGCAGCAAAATCAGTTGTAACATGCGTGTTCCAGGTCCATAGCATGGGTTTTCAAGAGAAACTCGTGGGCACCCTGACGATTTCATACAAGTTGTATGCTTCCGCGTTTCGGATTCAGAGATCGCATCTATCTGGCGTCCAGTCTCCGCCGCTTATCGCTTTCGTACCGATCTCCATTTCGTTCCCGAGACAGGGATCGTTTGCGCCGATCATCCCGGTCATGCCTTGGTGACCGTGACCGTCTCCGATCTCGGCTGCTGTCTCGGCGCCGGTAAGAGTCAAGACGATCGTCCCTGTATCTGTCCCTACTCTGATCCCTAGCCCTGTCCTCATCACGGTCCTGGCGTCTGTCGCGATCCCTATCAGCTCCAAGCGGCTTGTCCCTACGGTCTCCAAGCGGAATCGCATTAGCACCCTTCGCGCCACTGTCCCCTCCCCTTTCCCAGTCCCGACGGCGATCGTCTGGCCGAAACCGCTCGTCGACGTTGCGGTCAAACTCGCGCCTGGGCCGGCCGTCGTCCAACCGCCCCCACTGCCCCGTATCCTCGCTCTTAAGATCCCTGTACTTCGTCGCGCCCTTCTTGCCAATCTTGGTCATATCCCTCAACTGCAGCGCCTTAGGTAGCAGTTCCCGGTTGACATCGTCCGCGAACTTGGCGCCTACCAGATCCCGCTTGTCCAGCCCCGCGGCCTTGCTCTCGTCATGATAGAAGGCGCCCTTGTGGAAGTACTTCTGCATGTACGACATCTTACCGCGGCTCTCCTTCTCCTCGCGCTGCTTCGCCAGGTGCGCCTCGTCCTCGGCATGCCGCTCCTCCTCTGTGAGGTTCCGCCGCCGCTCAATCTCGGCGAGCTCCTTCTCCTTGGCCTCGATCGCCTCGCGCTCGCGCCGCAGCCGTTTCAGCTCGCGCAGCTTCCAGGCCGCGTACTCGGCTTCCGGGTCGATGTCGTCCGTGTCGTCGACCTCATTGTCTGAATCGCCATCGTCGGATTCCCAGTGTTTCTTGCCGGCGGAGCGTGCGGCAAGGTCCTTTTTAATTTGTTCTTCGATTAGCGCGTCGGCGGCTTTGCGGCGCGCTTCCTCGGCTGCGGCGGCGTCTTCTTCTGGGGAAATTGTCTCGGTTGCGGCAGCTGGTGTTGCGATTGCAGAGCCGCTCGCCTGCCGTTGGCTCTTGGGGATGAACTTGGGTCGCATCATCAACCGACGCGGCGCCGCTTCCTCTTCACTTTCCTCCTCTTCCTCGCTCTCTTCTTCGCTGCCTTCCTCATCGCTTTCTTCCTCTTCTTCGGTCACGAACCCCTCCTCTTTTGCCCTCTTTTCGGCTTCCAACCTCGCCGCTCGCGCAGCCTGCCGCCGAACTTCGTCTTGCCCATCTGCTACTGCAATGCCTTGAAGGTTTATCTTGGCGCCGTCGCCTCGGCTGATTATGCGCCCGGGGCCAGCCGCGCTGGCGAATTTGGGGGGTGGTGCTGTCCTCCGCGGCGGTGCCTTCTTCTGGATATCTTCTTCCTGCTCGGACCCGCTAGCCTCGGATTCCGATGATGAGTCCGGGCCTGCAGCCTTGCCCGCGCGGTAACGCGCAGGCTTGACCGGGTTGGCGGTCATGCGCTTTTGGGTTGGCATTGTCGTCGCCTGAAAGTTGATGGATGGGTGATTTGCCAAATGTCTGACGAGCTCGCCAAGTCCAAATTGGAATTGACCGAGTCGCCAAGCCTTGGTAGGGAGCTGAGCACGGGCCTCCGGGTACTTGAGCCGGGAGCGTCCGAGCAATGGAAATGAGCCTGGCTAGTAACGTTATTCCCAGACCAGTAGTTTTTCCATTTGGAAAGGGGATGTTGACAGCCAAGGCCCGGACAATACCTACTAGACTCGGTAATTGAAGGTGGCTTGCACTCGTCGAATGACTCGTCTTGATCGTTCAGATGAAGACTCGCAAAGAATGCGGGAGAAGGCAAAAAACCGTGTGCTGCTGGTGGTGAGGAGCCTTAATGGAGCATGGTAACTTCACGTATCTTACCCAGCGAGGAACAGTTGAGCGGGACGAAAAACATGCTGCGACACACCATGCAGTCAAACCCACATAAATCATCATCATTCTCCAAATGTCGTCCCACCGTATACTCACAGAGCCCGTCAGGACTTCCCCAGCTGCAGAGCCCCAAACACGCGATCCAGCTGCTCGCCCTCATTCGGCACGGCCATCTCACTCGCACCTCCTGGCCCATGCCCATGTCCATTCCCATAACCATCCCAAGTTCCCACTTCTTCTCCGTCAGGCCCTTGCACCGGCTGCCGCAACGACGTCTCCCGCGGCCGCCCAGCCTCTGCTCCAGCCCCAGCCCCAGCAGCCCCCGCCCTCTCAGGCTCCAACAGCCTAGCTTCACTGTCCAACCACCCGGGAGCAACTCTCCGCTTCTCAGCCAGGTCCCTCGCCTTGATCCGCTCCGTAAACTCGGCGAGATCCTTTTCGGCCTGCGCCTGCAGCTGCGCGACGTGAGCGTGCAGGGCGCGACATGAGGCGAGGATCTCGTCCGGATGTGCCGCGTGGCCTGAAGGTGAGACGACATATTTGGGTTTGTGGGCTGCCCCCGACGCGTGGTGCGGGTCGGAGGACGAGGTGGTGTTGGCGGGGTCGTCTGTTAGTGATGGTGCGCCGCTGGGCGCGCTTGTTATGGAAGAGGGCGGGAGGGTCGAGGGCATTGGTTTGTACTGGTATGGGAGGGTGGTTGCGGTGGGGAGCTTGACGAAAGGGGAGACGGTGAGGGGGACTTGCTGGAGCAGAGGGTGGGTGCCTGATCTGGATATTAGGGAGCCGTTACTGTGAGATAGGATAGGGCTGCTTACGGTTGTCGTGCATGATGAATGCGGTGGCGGATACACGACTGTGCGAGGGCGCTTGGTGTGCGTTTATCTGTCGTCGCGAAAGGCTGGTTTCAAACAATCTGCCCGAAGGAGGTAAAGTGCGCCTGGTTCAAAGACGCCTGAATTGAAAGCAACCTATGTTCAGTGAGATATCTTGGGTGCGGAATCTAGCTCAGTGGATGGATGGAGCTGACTGTTGAGAGCGGGATGTTGTGTCGCAACTGGCCGTTACTCGGAGGGAGCTTAGGCAGCCGATAAGCTGATAAGAGCTCGACCCCACGCATTATCTCGAAGCTGCAGCCTCACCACCTGAATCATGACAACTTTGTGAAAGTATACTCTGCCAAAGTACGCAAGCCCTGGTCGCGCGATGAGTCTAGAAACAGTCCGGTTACCATTCGCTTTGAGCGACTATGTTCCGCTCTCTGAGCACCAAGAGCAGACACCCGACAGCTTCTACGACGGCAAGCCCGTGCTGCACTACCATACGACAGGCGCAAAAGCTTGGATCCCCAGATCCCAGCTGGGCAAGCTGCCCTTTTTTCCGGCCGACCTCTCTTCGGATCCTACAGCGCCCGAAAACAGCACGCTAAGCGGCCAAACCCAAGAAACGATCGAACAGAAGGTTGATATATTTGTGAACTCTCGGTACGAGTCTACCCCGCCCCGCCCCCAACCCAAAATATCGACTCCATCCGCTGAACTGACACTCATCTCACCAGCAACCTTTCTATCTTCTGCCCTTCTGCCGAATGCGGTGCCTCAATCCCCTACCAGCAAATTAGTATCCACGCCGTCAAAACACTCCGTTCCAGCACCAGCGACCAAACCTTCCCCTCGGTCTACCTCCAGCTCGAGCTCGCCGAAGGCGGCGCAGGCGACGACGACTTTGACACAATCGAGCTGACCCTTATACCGAACCTTCAACCCTCGTCGAGGCCAACTGCCCAGGCAGAAGCCGGCCCCACATCAACATGCAAACCCGAAGCGACGCAACTCTTTGAGGCCATCTCGGAATGCTCCAACTTGAACCCTGACCCCGTCCAGGACGGAGATGACGACGATGAGAACGAAGACGGTGCGCGAATCATTTTTGAAGGCGACCATGAGGCGATCGAGGGCTTCACGGGCGTGTTTGCTGGGGCAAGCGACGGAGGACTGCCGCCCGCCATGTCCGGCAGCGGCGGGTGGATTACGGCGGAGAATGTGCATGAGTTCTTTGACGAGGAAGGTAATTGGATTGGGTGCAACGCGGAAGGCGATGAAGAGGGGATTAGCGGCGAGCTTGGGGAAGGGGCGGGAACTGTTCGTCCGAGGGAAGATGAGCACGAGGGGGTTAATGGCGAGGGGAGGGAAGCGGTAGAAGGTGATGCCAAGAGGGCGAGGTTGGACTAGGTGTCATACGTCGCTGGATGTTGTCGGCAATTCCAGGATGATGTTGGGGCGCTGAGCGTTCTATGTATGCTCGTCGTCGCCCGTGGCTCGCAGAATCCCTAGAATACAACCCTAACCCTAGCCACCTGCTTGGCTCGAGCGTTGTGTTGATGTTTTAGGTTTTATTTTTGTGTCGCTAGCAGACCAACTTACCACTGGGAGCAACCATGACGGCGCTACCCATCAATTTCAAATATGGGAAACAAAACACGCGATTCATTAGCGACCTTCCCATCTTTTATTTTCGGTTGATGTTACTGCCCTTGACATTAAGTTGGCCGGGCCGTTTGCGCAATACTTACCCCCTTCGCGCTGTCCAGTCGAACGTGTCGGGAAAGGGGCTTCTCTGCTACCAGGAATAAAGCAACGCCTTCCAGCTACCACAGGTTCGTGGTTCGTGGTGCCATCGTTGATCGATTGATGTGTTTCTGCACATAGGTTGAGGGACTCTCGGTGAAACTGATTTAGTCTGGTCTCAAAATGACCCCAAAAGTCTGGTGGCACCGCGTCGGTGAGGGTCCTAGCAGGACTCGTGTACGACAACGACTCAGAGTGCGGCTCAGGCCATTTCTCATCCTCGGCCTGGCACTTTTTTGCTTCCTGTGGCTAGTCCTGCCGTACGACAATGCGGTCCGCTTAGCCTTTTTGTGGAATGCGAAAAGACTCAAGGCTGCCTTGACACCGCGGCCCAGTGAGCGTTGGGTCTATGCACACCCGCGGCACCCTGTTGACCTGGGCCGAGATGTTGTCGTCATTGTCAAGACGGGGTACGGCACGAAAGAGAGGGTGCCGGCATGGCTCGACGCCCTGAGCAGCTTGAACGAGTTCAGGGACATTATGGTCATCGGCGATTCCGAGGGTCACATCAACTTCGCCGACGACTTTCACGATCGGGGACTTCAGGTCTATGACGCGGTGGGACATTCCCTGCGCATGCACCTGCGCGCCTACCAGGACCATCCGAGGGTGAACAAGTACCATCAGCTAGCCGAGGCGCTGTATAAACGCGATGACACGTTGGCACTTGAGCTATGCAGGTCGTTTGGGTGGGAGCTGGATGCGATGAAGGTATGCTGGGCCCTTTTCTCTACGTCAATCGCCCTCGATACTAACCGCACACCCACAGTTCATCTCCGGGCTCGAGATGGCTTACCAGAAGTATCCTGGCAAGCGGTGGTACCTGCTGGTTGACGATGACACCTATGTCGTCCAGCCCTCGCTGAAGCCCCTGCTCCAGCACCTCGACCCGTATCAGCCACACTACCTTGGAAACGCCGTTGGGGATTTCAAGGTCCGCTTCGCCCATGGAGGCTCCGCCGTGATTCTCTCCCGCGGCGCCATGCGATCCCTGATCGAGGATCAAAAAGCCCTCGCATCCATCTATGTTGACTCACTTGACGAGACATGGGGTGATCGGCTGCTGGCTAAAGCCTTGCTGCAGCTCGGCATCCACCTCGATGAGACGTACAGTCACTTATTCAATGGCGAGCCTCCTTTGCTCAGCAAGATCCGCGCCGACAGACTGTGTTCTCCAGTCATTTCCTTTCACAAACTGCCATTCCCAGACGCCATGAGGGAGGTCGGTGACTACTTCAGAAACGTCAGCAAACCGGTCACGTGGATTGACTTGTGGGAGATATACGGAGAGACGCCTCCGTGGCGGCAGAGCGAAGAGGCTCTTCAGTACGATGATTGGGATTACGTCGGCGAGCCTGACGAATCGACCCTCATAATCCGAAACGTCAAGACGGCTGGGGAATGCGCGAAGCACTTTAGCCGCCGGTCCCGAACCTCTCTGGCCTGGTCATGGGATCGCGTGACGGAGCGGTGTTACATCAGCCATTGGATGATTGTGGGAAGGCCGGCGGCAGGCCGTGTTTCGGCCATCAATGTCTTGCGGGCGAGACAATTGGAAACAACATGCATATCGTATTGAACAGGACGCTGATGTCTGGCAATGAATGAGGGGAGTGTACGGAATATCTTACGGGCTAGACGGGTACGACGGGTACGATATAGGCCACTGAGCAGTGTCCTGGGCACTGGTAGTTTGAATTCGGCAGAAGAGCCCAATGGAGGTAGAGTGGGAGTCGGACCCGAGAATGCTGCGCCGCGTGGATTGGGACTGCTGTTGCAAAATGACCGGCTTGTCTACTTTTTCTCGTGCACGTGGATTGCGCCGCAGCATTGGAAGGTAACAGCGGTAGTGACATGGCGAGCAGGTCACTGGGCCATGGGCACTCAACCTGCAATATCCAGACGCTGAGAGCCCGGTGACCCCTCCTGTCCTGTCAGCACAACTCACGTCTTTGAGTCTGACACAGGTGTATCAGGGAAAGGAGCCTCTGCACGCAATCTCGAGGAAAATACTGTTAGCCAATGGGGTTGTTAATTACGAGGCTGCTCGTCGAAAATATGCAAGACAGCGTGTATTCAGCACCGAGTTGCTGGGATTTTCTCCAATGATATTATGTACCATGATATATCGTGTATCTGGCACAATTGATCCAGGGCGATGTGATGGAGAGGTGCAGTATTCAGTTATCCAGATTCCATCGAAGGCCATGAAGCCGGACCCACCTCCGGGCGGCTCATTGTAAGTGGGGCCTGTGACCTTTGCCAAATCTGGGGGTTATTCGCTTTTCCCTACGGCGCACCTTCTCTCCTTCCAGTCCTTATCATCGCACTTCTTGCGGTCGCTAACACGCGACTTGGGTGCCAAGATGCGCATTTCTCTGAGGATTTCCGTCGTCCTATGGGCAATTGCCCTAGTGACGCTCCTTGCATCATGATTCCCGCCTTCTTTTCTTCAAGTCCATCTTTTTCGAGCATGCAGGATCCGACTCACTCAGCCGCAAGTCGCCGCCGCGTCGCCGAACGACACCAACATTCACCCGGTCCCTAAGATCGTTCACCACATCTTCCACAACTGGCGCGAACCTGGATATAACGAGCTGCCGTTGGAATGGGCCACTATACGTAAGGGATGTCGGGATTTGAACCCGGATTTTGAGTTCAAGGTACGGCTTTTTCGAAATTCAACCCATTTGCCCCTGTCAGCCTGGCCGCTTGCTGACACTCAATTGCTTTAGCTCTGGACCGAAAAAGCGTCGCGGGACTTCATCGGATCCGAATACCCTTGGTTCCTAAACACCTACGACGGCTACCGATACCCGGTGCAGCGGGTTGATGCCGTCAGGTATTTCCTGATGCTGCATTATGGCGGCATCTACATGGACCTGGACAATGTAGGTAACTTCCAGGGCTGGCCTCGCCTCTGACGCAGAAGTGCTGACTCTCCGTTACTAGGGTTGCAAAGCCAACCTCACTCCGCTACTCTCCTACCCGGTCTGGGTTACAGATGGTGGGCGCGGCGCTCTAAGCAACAACATCCTTGGCGCTCGACCGAACCATCCGTCTTGGCACCACCTGACCCTCTCCCTGCTCCGATACAATTGGAACTGGCCCTTGCCGTACGTTACCATCATGTACTCGAGCGGCCAGTGGTTTCTCACGGCCATATGGGAGGAGTACCACGCCCTGCTTCCCAAGGCCGAAGCCAACCCGGATCTAGAGCATCGCCTTTACCACATCATGATGGACGAGGCCGCCGGCGCCGACCCCTGGGTGTTCTTCTACCACCAGGACGGCGGTGGCGGGACCTGGAACAACTGGGACAATAAGCTGATGATGGGCATTGGCGATCACATATTCTTGTTCTTGGCGACTCTGGTCGGTGGCATTGCGCTGGTGGTTTGGCTTGGCTTGCGGTGTATCCGCAGGTACCGCAAGCCAAGGGGAGGCTATACCCGGTTGACGAATCGTCCTGCCGGCGTGGTGTAGGTCGCCATGCTGGAACAGCTGCGCCGACGTGTGCGCAGCGGAAAGAGGCCGATACATCACCAGACCCGGCTCGTTTCATTGGGCTGGCCCTAGACGGGCCTCCTGCCAACCTTCCAAGTACCGGCCACCTCAAACGGGGAGCAAATGCCACCAAGCCATGTCTCATTCTTCCTCCGCATTCAGAGGTCCAAGGGCCCGCTTGGGGAGGATGCAATCCTTAGCATGCTATCCGCGCTAGGGCACAGTGGCACCGCTCTGAGGATCAGGGTTTGTGCCGCGGCCAACCACTGCCGTCTTGAACGGGGCGGGGCCCGCAAAATAGTCCAGCAAAGTGCATTGACATCTTGTCAGTGCCGTTGGACCGAACCAGGCTGTTGGGTATGACCCGCAACTCGCGCTATTTTATCCCCAAATCGGGCGAGGCGACGAGTGAGGCAGTGGAAGGTTGAACTTGGGACATTGGTTTCCCGCTCTCACGAAAGCTTATCGACATGCTATCACTTGGCTTGGCGCCCTTGGTCAGATTCGACGAGGATCTCTCCGAGCTGGCCGGTGTAGCCGCGAACAGCACAGGAGACGAGCTGAGAATGGTTAGATGGCGAGGCAGGAGAGTCGAAGCACTTGGATATGCGGCTATATTCTACACAAACAACGATACCCCTATACTCCCAAACTCCCAACCGGCTCACCGAAGATGAATGCTACTGACTCAATTCCCTGTCCACACCTTGGGGCCCGGCGGCGTGTACTTGTCAAAGGGAATATGTATGTTGAAAGTCAACCCCTTGGCATCACCATCATACGAATAACCCGTGTTAAAATCAAAATTTTGATTTGGAACAGCATTCCCGGACCCGGATACGTCAAACTGCACACAACTTGGGTACGACTCGGCCCCCCGCGAGGCGTTCACCTTGGGGCTGATATCCGCCATGTGCAGCGCCAGGAGCTCCTGACGGATGAGGTATTTGTCCGGCGCCAGCGCCTTGGGCAGCGTGAACTCGGCCTTGCCGCCGTTGTTGATCATCTTGATGGTCGCCCACTCGCCGTTTTCGAAACCCTGCTCGTCAATCTTGGACCATATGGGGCCGGTCCCGTTGCTCACGTCGGCGGTCGCGTACTTGGCGATGTAGGTAAGGATGGCGCCCTTGTGCGACTTGTCCAGGATGTCGGCCGGGTCCACGGGGTTCCAGTGGTACCACCGGAAGGCGAGCTTGTCGCCCGCGGCCGCCTTGACGAAGTTGGGGGCCGCGATGTCACCGAGGTTGTTGCAGGCGATGGCGTCGCTCTTGAAGTCCCTTACGGGGTGGTTGGTGCTGGGCGAACGGATGGTGATGTTGCGGCCGTCGCCTTGGTCTTTGCCGTTGACGAAGATGCCGTACATGAAGGCATGCCCTAAGGCGGTGCTGGTGAGGGCCAGGGCGAGGGTTGCTAAGCTGAGGAGCATGGTGCGTCGGGGTTAGGACGATACGAGATGAATAAAGATGGTCAGAAGCAAACAGGAACCGGACGAGGCCATTCAGGATCGACGCATGGATGGCTCTTATAAGTTTTCAACGAAAGCATGTATGACACTGCTTGTAAGCCAAATCGGACTTCTCGTCACACGAACTGTCGGGACCAGCGTAGCCGGCCAGCCCCTTCCAGGTTTGACCATCGATTGCGCATTCCAGTCCGAGACTCAGCCCTAAGGCAGCATTCTAGAGAGCAATGTCCCACATTGGATTGACGCCCTGCGCTTCGAGACCGTTACCTCTGGCCATCTCTGTGGTGTTTCAGGGATTCCTGATGGAAGGAAGGGTCGGTGTGAGCATGGTCGGGGATGTGGGGTTATCTGCCGTGAACGGTCGGGTCACCCGGCCCCGTGAAGGCCGCCCGTCTCCAATCTCCCTAAGACCTGGTTCTCTGGTAAGAAAGCACCCACACCCTTTTCCAATCGAGGTCTTACAGAAAGAGTCCCTACAAACTCTGGTCAGTATCCATACCGAACGAAAGCCAATCTCCGTAGGTAGGATCCTCTCCTCAGTACATGCACACCAAGGAAAGATCCGCCTCGGCGCTGTCTGCTTTTATCCGTCCCCCGTTTGTCCTTTGCATGTCATCTTGCGCTGGGAAACCCATGCGAAAAGGCGCATATGACCCTGAATCTTGTGAAAGAGTTGAAGAGGCACATCTTGAAGGGTACCAGATTCCTATGGATACCTTCGGATGGGGAAAATAGTTGTGTTACCTTTGAAAATCAAGTGTGGGGGGATTATATCGGCATTGCCATCCCCGGGGTCGTTGTTGTTCCCGCCTCTATCTAGTGCCCATGTACTGTTATTGTTCAGCCTGATGCTTGGCAGTGTCCTCGTCAAGGTGCCGTTGGAAAGACTTAGGATGCAAACAAACTGCGACTCTAAAGAGAGGTTGTCGTCGGCTGGAGACCGTCCCGAGTTTCCGCCAAGGCCAGACTGGTTCTCCCCGCCCAGATGATTCCAGACCTGGTCGTGAAGAGGAGTCACCACTGGCTTTGGCAGGTGAAGTACTGTGCCAGTGATAAGAAGTTGGGCAGCCAGCAGACGGGAACTCCTTCCCCTTTCAGAACTGTCCGGCGAGGATATCTTGGCGATCCCCACGTGGGATGAAGCGGGTTGCCGCACGTTTTATCCTTTCCAATTCTGCGTCTCAATACCAGGCCGCGACGATCAGCCTGGGTCAACTAAGGCGCGCCACTACCGAGCCGTTCTGCATGTCGGTATTGCAGCAATATACGGATATATTTTATATTGCAGGAACCGTGCGCTCGGGTCGCCGCAAATGAAAGCCATGGAAAAGATCCTGGTCAACTGCTCCGCGACATGCTCCACGACGTTTTTGCATGAAGCCTTCACGTGGCATCGAACTGGCGCTGGTGAAACGGACTGTTACATTTCCCCACAAACAATCGTCGACCACCATGTGGATGCGATACCCGCATCGGAAACAGCCTCCCGCGTGCCCCCAAACGGGATAGCTGGAGCGTGGCGTCCTGGGGAATCCCCATCCCTCAGCCAATGGCATCCGGACCTGAACTCCCTGGAGCTCGCAGCTCAGGCACGGCGAGGTTGCTCCAGGACTCCAAGAGGATCCAAGACGGACGAGAAGGCCGATATCCCCCCCTCGACTACGGAGCCAGGATATCATCGCGCTTGGAACGCTACCGAGGCGGCGCCATGGAACCCGTTGGAACACTCGGATTTCACAACATGCTGTCATCTGCTTGGAACTTCGAACGCCCAGACGGACGGACATTCCAGTCGAGGTCCTAGGGGCACATTGCTCACTGATCCCGACGCTGGTGTCCTCATGACCTTGGATGATGGTCCAGGGGACAATGTCGTCTCTTGTTCTATAAAACACCACAGCTTTCAGCCGTGATTTTCGTATTGATCAGCACCCTGGTCTAGAGCATTCCCACGAACGACCGAGGACCATCTTCTCTCACCCCTATCCGTACTACACCTCAAGCGTTGTAGACATGTCCAAGGCATCCGCCCTTCTCGTCTCCCTAACGGGTGCGGCTCTTGTCGCCGCCCACGGCCATGTCAGCCACATCATTGTCAATGGCGTCTACTACCAGAATTACGACCCTACAACCCACTGGTACCAGCCCAACCCACCAACAGTGATCGGCTGGAAGGCTTCCAACCAGGACAACGGCTTCGTTGAGCCCAACAACTTCGGCACCTCCGATGTCATCTGCCACAGGAGCGCTACTCCCGGTGGCGGCCATGCCACAGTAGCTGCTGGTGACAAGATCAGCATCGTCTGGGACCCCGTCTGGCCCGAGTCCCACGTCGGTCCCGTCATCGACTACCTGGCCGCCTGCAACGGCGACTGCGAGTCCGTCAGCAAGGAGTCGCTCAAATGGTTCAAGATTGACGGCGCCGGCTACGACCAGGCCGCCGGCCGGTGGGCCGCTGACGCTCTCCGCGCCAACGGCAACAGCTGGCTCGTCCAGATTCCGTCCGACCTGAAGGCCGGCAACTACGTGCTCCGCCACGAGATCATCGCCCTCCACGGCGCCTCTAGCCCCAACGGCGCTCAGTCCTACCCGCAGTGCATCAACCTCCGGGTTACCGGCTCCGGTAGCACCGTCCCGAGCGGCGTCGCCGGCACTTCCCTGTACAAGGCGACCGACCCCGGCATTTTGTTCAATCCCTATGTCCCAAGTCCCAACTACCCCGTCCCCGGCCCCGCGCTCATTCCCGGCGCCGTGAGTTCCATTCCCCAGAGCAAGTCGACCGCCACCGCCACCGCCTCGGCCACCCTCCCCGGCGGCGGCGGCTCCCAGCCCACCACCACGTCTTCCGTGGTCACCAGCGTCTCGAGCATCAGCCGCCCGCCCGTGTCGACCAGCACCACCCTGAGGACGAGCACCGTCGTACCGTCCAGCTCCACCACCCCGAGCCCCACCGGCGGCGCAACCCAGACCAAGTACGGCCAGTGCGGCGGCAGCGGCTGGGCCGGCCCGACCGCATGCGCCGCTGGCTCCAGCTGCTCGGTGCTGAACCCTTGGTACGCCCAGTGCGTCTAAGGGGCTGTAGAAGGCTCTATGTAGAGTGGTGTAATGCGATGAGTAACGGTGATGGGCGAGCCATGATTGACTGCCAGCGGCGCACTAGATGCCCGCCAGGGTCTGGATGATGAGCTTCAATATCTTCAATGTATGTAGTTCCGGGGAGCGTGCCTCCTCCATGTCCATATATTAAACTCAGTGACTTAGCTTCATCGCTTTCGTCTGCTGTGTGGACAGGAGGCTCAAGAGTCTTGTCCTGTTCCATGCGCTGAATATCGGACCTCTTTCTCAGAAACTTTGCGACAACGTTCCCAAGACTCTCCGCTCAAAATGCGGGGTGACGTTGTCTCCGGTGGAACGGTGTGTTTCACGTATATTTCAGTCGTACTGAGAACCTATTGATACAGTCGGGTGCTCCTTTACTGTACCGTGATAAAACACCGGCCGAGGCTGACCTCAACCGGCCTATTATTGACTCTATGTATCCACCGCCACTGTTGTCATACTTTACACAGCCAGCTAGAGATACAGATGCAACCCAAGCCCACGCCCTGGAATCCCGCAACCAAGGTAAGATAGATATCATAGTCTTTCATGAGCGGGGAATCACTGCGCAGAAATGGAAACCGAAAAAAATTCGCTGCCCGTAAACGCCCCTGAGCCAGTCCTGTGCCGAGTTACACCGTACCATGTCATGCCGTACGGACACGGACGCCCTTATCCAGACACTTCTCCCCTGACACGCCTTCGCAGCCGCTCATCATCCATCTTCCCTTTGGTCAGAGAGCAACTGGGAGAGGGAAGATTAGAAGAGACCTCAGAATTCCCCGTCTCCGCCACCACCCAGCACACCAGCCGCCCATAACCCAACCAGTCCCCACCAACTAACCTTCCATCCCCTCCACAACCCATCCAGGCCCTGCCCTCTCCTGTACACCGCCTCAGCCACCCCCTTGTTCTTCCTCGCCTTAGCCCCCGCTCCCGTGCCTGCGACCGTGCCGGGCACGACATGGGACCCCTCCTCGTACACAATGGCATACATTGTCCCAAACACGCCGTCATACCTCCCCACCGGGACGACCGTCTCCATTTCCGTAGCAGCAGGCGTCTCATCCAGCTTCCTACTCTTCCCCTTCCCCCCCGCATCCCCCCCTCCTTCCATAGCACTGAGATACCGCGGCGAGTTAAGTACGGCAACCTGGCCGCGGCGGAGGACCGTTTCGAGCGGGAGCTTGAGAGCCAACGCGACGGTGGACGAGCAGAACTTGGCGACGGAGAAGGTGGTGGGCGCCAGCTCGCGGTCGATCATGAATTGGGTGCGGAGGACGAGCGGGGTGGAAAGGGTCAGGAGCGGGTGCACGAGGGAATGCAGGATCGTCGGCACCACGAGGGGTGAGGGGCAGAGGTAGGACGGCAGGCTGCGGAGCGCAGAGAGGGTGCGGCGCGAGGCGCGGGAGGCGGCTGAGGTTATTACTAGGCTGCCATGGTGGTCGGTTCGTCAGTGGGGTTGGAGGGAAAGGGGGTGAGGAAAGGGCTTACCGGGTGCGGATGAGATCGAGCGGGGAGAGGATGAGGCCTGTTACGATGGCCGCCGCGGCGGCGACGAAGAGGGAGGCCCAGGGGTACGGGGTTGCGATGTCTACGAGCCGGTCCAAGTCGTTCTTGACGCCTAGATCCGGGACGTTGAACAGGGCGCTGAGGAGGCTGCGGGACCAATTCTCGAGAAGGGACTGGAGGACGGAGTAAATAAACGTCGCGTTGGAGCCCTTCCACACGCCCCAAGCGCCTTCTTTCTGCCACAGCTGGGCGATCACCTCCAATACTGAGTCGGGCGTGCGAATGGCTAGTTGGTGTGCTGGTATTGGCCTGGAAGCTGGTTGTGGAGATTGGGAGGTCGGATGCCTCGGGTGCTTTGAGCGAGAGAGGATAGGTGATGGTGTTCGCGGTTGGTGAGAGGTAAAGAAGGCCGACTCGTCGAGGTCTGAGTCTGAATCATAGTGGGCATCCTGCAAGTTGTCAGTGGCGGTCCCGTCCTTCGTATGGCGCGCAGCAGACCCTACCTCGTCATACATATTTATCCTTTGGCTGGCCTGCTTCTGTCGGGCCTCCTCCGCTGCCGCTGCCGCTGCTGTGGCTGCTGCCGCTTCTAGCCCTCCGAGGTCATCCTGAGCCCTTACCTGCATAATGGTTTTGGCGACCTCGAAGGGTTGCGCCATCAAGACGGACGTGTACTTCCATAGCAGCTCGTCCAACACCTCCTTGAGTGTCTGTACCGCCGACGGCGATGGCTCAGCAATGTAGTCCTTGTAGTCTATGTCGGAGAAAATGTCGCGTGCCTTGGAGGCGTACCTCCCCGTCGAGTTGGCATGGGAAAATGCGCGCGGGCCAGGGGTGGGCAGAGCTTCGGGCGGTTCTCCGATGGTTGGGGGGATGTAGTACGGTCTCAGGGGATTGACCCCGTCGTTATGGCTCGCCATGGTGTCCTTTGTACCCGCAGGACCATGGTACAGTGCCTTGTCGTTTGATGTATCCCCCGCAGGGTCGTGGGAAGCTTGTGGGTGGACCTCAGCAGCGATTATTTTCCAAGTCGCATGTGCATGACGAGGAGAGGTGAATCGGCTTGGCTTGGCACGGTGCTCGGAAATCTGATACGGCCAATCCGTCATCCTGCATTATTTGCTATTGCATAATCGGGGTGCCATGTCCGGGTCCACATCGGCCGAACAATTTCTTATAACGGAGAAGTCGGAGCTTAGATCGCCTTCGGCCGACCCGCGAGGTGTCTCGATCCTTTGCATTTTGCGCGCGTTGATAAGAGCTACAGAGGCGGTACTGTACTCCGTATACCCATCTGAATGCCTATGTCCGAAGAGGGGCGGGGTGTTTGACTGTCTCAGTTGTGCATACTTCATACAGATACGGACACATTCAGGGTGCTTGTTTGCCTTTTGCACTCCATTTCTGAGCTTTTCGGTCCTCACTCTTGCCCTTGCTTCAGCAACCCACTCGCCCGCGAATGCTCCCCGCCAACGCCGCCGCCATGTCGAATTCAAAAATGTTCGCGCAGTTGCTTCCGAGTTTACGGCTCGTTCCAAAACGCAGTGCCAGCCCAATCGCGCGGCATGTACGATGTTACGCCAAGCCGAGCGTCGCTCCTCTGCCTGCCTCTCCGGCCCGACTTGTGCAGAGCCCAATGCGGCGGTCGCCATGGTCGACATCGCTCCAAACACGAACGTTTTCTGCTTCAGCCGCCGTGTCGCACGGCCACGTGGACCCTCCGACGCCCGGTGAGGAGTGCGTACCCCAAAGTACTGCCTCTTATGTTCACCCGCTGACCACCTTATTTCAGGCTCTACGTTACCTTTATCGACAAGGAAGGCGCCGAACACAAACTCGCCGTGAGCAAGGGCGACAACTTGCTGGACATAGCCCAAGCGCACGACCTGGAGATGGAGGGCGCATGCGGCGGCTCCTGCGCCTGCTCCACATGCCACGTTATCGTCCTGGATCAAGAATACTACGACAAGATGCCCGAGCCGGACGACGATGAGAACGACATGCTCGACCTGGCGTTTGGCCTGCAGGAGACAAGCCGGTTGGGGTGCCAGATTGTCATGACGCCAGAGTTGGACGGCTTGCGGGTGAAGCTGCCGGCCATGACGAGGAATTTGCAGTCGAGCGACTTCAAATGAGGAATTCGAAAATGCCCGTTTCATATCAGTCACCGGCGTTTCTGCTTGATGCATGGGGACAGGGAAAGCGCGCATAGATACCAAAAGTATGGCCTGGACTTGGCTGGAATGTTTGGTCGAACTGACGCGGCGACGCCTCCTGGAGATTTTGAGACGCGGTCGTGGCGGGGCCATGCACATGTACGAATAGCTCGCACCGCCAGGAGGTGCTGTACATAGACAAACAGAGACGCTACTCTGAAGGAAACGACACCAATACCAACGTCCAAGCCAACCTGTCCCATGTTACGCCTCCTCCAAGCCACCTTTTTTTAGCCCGCCGCCTCCACTTGCAATCAAGTCCAAAAACCCCTTCCTACTCATCTCAGTAACTTTCTCCTCCTTTCTCTTGGACCCGACAACTCCCTCCCTCCTAGCCAGCCGCTCCGCTTCGGCCGCCTTGGCCTGCGCCGCACGAACGGCGTTAAACAGCTTGACCACACCGCGCTGCGCGACCTTGCGCAGTCTCCGCTCAGCCGCCAAGATCTCCTCGGTCGTCTGGGCCCCTTTCTCGTCCGGCACCTCCTCGATCTCGCCTGTCACCACATTGAGCGTGCGCGTCTTGCTCGCCACCAGCACGTCGCGCACCCGGCCCTTCTCCATGGCCAGCCGCTTCTGCTCGCGCAGCCGCTTGCGCGCTTTGGCCTCGAGCGCCGCGTCGACGGCCTGGCGGGCGTGTTCGGCGGCGGCGCCGCTGCGGGCAACGATGGGATCGGCGCGCCGTGATACTGGCAGTTTGGAGGAGAGCATCTTGGAGATGGAGGTTGCGAAGGCGGCCGGGTCGTTGCGTTTCGATTTAGGTCGGGAGGAGCCCTGAGCGCTGTCGCTGTGACTGGCGGCGTCTGAGAAGGAGTCATGTTGATGGTCGTCTGCACTATCGACGTTGGCTTCTTCGTCGGAGGAGGCGGTGTCTGAATCGGGCGCATCTTTGGCGACGAAGGACTTCTTTGTCGGTTGTTTTGGCTTGGGCGCCGGTTGCCGTCTTGACGTCGATTCGGCTTCGAAGTGCGAGTCAGAGTCGGATGGTGAACCTTCCGAGGATGCGCCGTCGTCGACTTCGATGTTGTCTAAGTCCTCATCGTCCGAATCGAGGAGATTGGCTGGGACGGGCGCGTCCTCATTGTCACTCGCGGACTCTTCTGAGCTGCTGTGGTATGCGGCCATTTGCCTCTGCTTCTTGGTGGGTCGCGCCGCCTTGTCCTTGGGGCCATTGTTCAATGAACGCTTCTTTGTTGATGTGCCGGACATGGCGTGCTGTCGTTGTGGTCCAATTCTTGCAAGAAGGGTATGAATCTGGGAGCTCGACGACTCAGGTCGATACCTTACCAAAGTGGTACCCCCGAGGTTTTTGGGCGGTGAGTGGCGGCAGTTCAGAATCCCGGCATCCCCTCAAGGTGCATAGTCGGATACTGTAACAATGCAATGTATGGATATGTACACTTCTATTCCGTACCCTGGTTTGTTAGTAGCGAGGCACTTCGTCACCTTGAACATGTTAAAATTGGCCCGACATTGGCAACTTTAGTTCACTCTTGTCGCCATTCTGACAAGACTCATAGGTGCCGATGTTTCAACTGCGAACAGGCTCCCCTACTCGTGGACCTGCCCGACGATGAGCCATGGCCACTAGTTCCACCAGACGTCGATATTGCGGCCTCTCAAGTCAAGAAGTCTGAACTCTCGGTATCTTTTAACAACGTGCTCTACAGAATCGAAGGGCAGCCCTCCGAAATCTAGAAAGTGAGGGATGAATTCGAAAATGCCAACTTCAACAGACAGCTGGAGACTGCGCAATTCCGGTCTGTAGGAAAGTGTTGGGTAAGCCGAAGATCTGAAATGGCGAGATATTCCTCGACGGCTTCATGATGGATCTTTACAGTCTTGTTCCAACGACCTGCCGCCATCGCATCGCCGCGGCATTATGCACCAGATGATCCACATCGTTCAACAATTGCATGACAAACGCATCATCCATGGAGATATCAAGCTGGAGAAAAAGTTTCTCGACAACCAGGGCAAACTTTGGCTTTGTGATCTTGCTGAGGGTCGGTACCTGGACGAGGACGAGCATGTCCAGGACGGGAAACAACATTGCACAAACAGGCTTCTGAGGTCGCAGCGTTCTGGACGAGACCCTCCGCCGGCGATCATCGACAATGACTTGTATGGCCTCGACCTGAGCATCTGGCAGTTGTACACCGGTAGGATTCTTCATGGGGATTTGGGTGGCGATGACGTGGACGTCTGGGCGAGACAACTGAATGGAGAAACAGTCAGCGTGACCGAGGTACAAGATTGGGAGGTCCGCAGTATCATCACAAACCTCCTTCGCCAAGGGGGAGCACGTATCTAGCATGCTCTTACTTGCGATGTCAGTACTTTGAAAAACAGTTCATATGAGCTCTATCCATGATGACTGGCCATTTACGAGACCAAGGGGACTTCAATATGGTCTGCCTTCTTGAACACTGCTTCTTCTTGTCCACAACGGCAACACGACGACCTTCATAACAAGCGCTGCCATCCGTTTTCGCACGGAGGCAAACGGCCTCGCTTTGTTCCGGGTCGGATGGAACCCCAATCAAAAGTGGTACTGTAATCTGTACAAGTAATCCGTACCACAATACCGACCAACTCGACTCAGCAATCTTCAACGCGTTTGATTTCGAGAAGCCTCGCAATGCCTCACTGTCCACGGTTCGTTTGACCTGGGTAATCCGGCGGGATCTGAGGTCAATGCCGAGGCAGAGTTTTGAGGTCCAGGCATTCATCTTTACCCAGATAGCGTCAACGGCAGGGTCAAGAGCTCTAGGGGAGGCCTCGGGGATGGGAACTGAAGAAAGCAGGTACGTTGCTCTGAGAGATCCGTATCGAAACTGAAGCCATAAAGTTATCATACATTTGACGGAGTATCTCACTTACTAAGACGAGCATTGCCGCCTTTCCACCCAAACTCGAGGGCTTGGAGACAAGCCTCATCTCTTGCCACAACGATACGCCTCGCATCAGATTTTCTTTCCATCACTGCAGGATGCTCCAGCCATCAAAATGCACAACCCATTGTCAAGCTTCAGCAGCCAATGTATCTGCACCTCGATAAGAATATCCTACACGATCCCCTAGTGTCTTCAGCTACGTGTACCGGACGATGCAGCCGGTTCAACAGCTGCCGAACAAGTCCAGGATAACACGATTGAGCCGAATAGGTGAGTGAGCGATGCAACACACGGTAGAAAGCAACCGTATGTAAGATCAATAAACCATTCCTCTTCTTGGCAGAGCCTATGTTTCCTTTTGCCGTCAAGTGTTTGCGGATGACGTCTGGTTGCTAAAGGGATAAATGCCCGTCCCCCGCTGCCGAAATCCCCAACCTGCCCCCAACAGTCACCGTTCCACTTCAAGTTCCTCATCGTAACTTTTACCAGAGAACAACCTTTGCCATGCTATTCTCTACCAATATCACCGCGGCCGCGTTTCTCCTCGCCGGTATCGTATCTGGGCAGACACCGGTGGACTTTTCCCCCGAGGTCAAGGACAAGCTGGAGATGCACTTTGGGAGCAGAATTGTGGAAACACCCGGCGCCATTTTGACAAGAACAGGTAGGTCGGTAAGGTGAGAGATATCCTGGATTTGTGCAGGTAGCTGATACGATCCAAAAACCGCAGAAACCGCAAGACAACCGACTATCGGCACCAGCGACGCACGCTTGACAGGCGCGTCCTACCTATGGATGATGATAGGTATGTCTTGACTCCCGGCATTACTAACCCAAAAAGGCTGACTGACATCCGCAGACCTCGACGTGTCAGCTCTGGGCTCTCCGTATTAGTTCTTTTTCACTCTCGTTTCATGCTCTCTTTAACCCAATACCAAACTCTCTGGGTCCAGACCCTCCAACTTCCAGAACGCCTCCTCTGGCCCCCGCCGCACTAACCTCCACGCCCTCTAACCTAGTGCAGCTGGGAAGCGCTGATTGGGTTTTAAATGTCGGAGCTTCCGAGGCAGATATAGACAACTGAGATGAGCGACCCCAGTCAGCCTCAAGATACCACAATGAGTGGTGACTTGCTATAGAAGACTAGGAAAACATGGGCAACACATACTACCACCTTTGCAGAAACCCCCCCGATTTTCTCTGGGTGCGCATGCGAAGTCTGCGCTGCTCCTGGAATCCCGTACGTCGCAGCACAGCTTTTTGCAACAACATGAGTTTAGGGACAAGCGCGTTTCCAGGGTCTCCTCAAGAAATCCGAAAAAAGGTTGGCGATAGGGCGTACGGGATATGAGATATCACTGATTCGATTGATATACGGATGGTTCGCTGATGCTCTGCTTTAGGTTCAGGTAGGCATTCTATCAATTAGGCAGCCTGGCTCAATGTCGTCATAAGGCGGCTATTGAGGAAGCTCTCGTATCTTTGCCGGGGAACCTAGAAGAGACTGACCAACGCATAATTCAACACATAGTTACTGGCAGAGCTCAGAAAAGACACAATACAGCTCCTACAGTTTCTAATGCACTCAAAGCGGCCTTTCCAGCTAGCCGAGGCTAAAGAAGCAAAAGCAACACAGGTTGAACACGAGCCACGGGGGTTAACGTCAAGCGTTGACTAGTTTAACTGTTTAGCAAGACCGATAACATTAGGTATCACAGGTCCGAGCGTACCAAAAACCCGGTTTTCGGTCCGCCAAAAACCGGCGGGTCCTCATTTTCCCCGCCAAATTCGGCTCCGTGCTTGCAGGTCATTTGCCTTGGTGGGCCTTCGATTTCTCGTGGAAAACCCAATACAAAACGCGCGCGGCCCGCAGAAAGAAATGGCGAAGTAGAAGGCCACGTGACTAGACTTTACGTGCGCAGACCTTCCAAAAGACGCGACGACGGCGAGAAATAACGTTACGCAGCGCAGAGAGCATCGGCACTCAAACACCACTGCTGTCCACGGTTACCACCCTAGGACAAACCCCTAATCATTCCTTTCTCGCCCGATGACTATGGCGGCCA